TCAACAAACGTGAGAACAAAAGAGAAGTCGGGAAGCAAAAACGATGAAAGGGAACTTTTTTATGATGTATAGGTTTATGTGTATAGATTTAAACTCTCTTTTAAGTTCTGGCTTTGTAAACTATGCACTGTATATTCCATGTAGTTTGAGGAGGCTTGTTTAGCATGATGCATCAGGAGAGACTTGCTGCTCGATGAAGAGTCACCTGGCTGACATGAAAGGTGCCAGGGTGCACCTGTGCTCCCCTCTGACATGCTCAGTATGTCCCTGCCTGCAGACACAGGTCATGAAAATAGGGGGCGAAAAAACAATGTATTATGTATTTTTACTCTCTGCCCTGATTAAGTTATTATGTGGATTCTGCTGATCCTGTCATCATGTGTAGGAATGTGTATGTATGTGTGTGTTTGAGTGTGTGTGTGTGTGAGTGTGTGTGTGTGTACCTCCTCTGCAATGACCACTGAGGTAACTTTGTTTGTGTGCAGCTCTGTTGCTGGTACTGTACAGGAAGACTGTCTGCAAAAGCCTCCATGCACACTTTTGTGATGACCACAGCTATTTATTATCCTACAGCTATTTATTGGGTTATTTATTATTTATTATTTATTTTATTTATCATGTAAAGCAGTTGGATCGTGCTTTTGAAGATGAGATTGCTGCAAATGTATTCCCACTTGAAAAATGAACCGTTCGTGTCCAAGTTTCACACAGATCTGTCTCTTATTGTGCTGAAGGCTTTATATCGCTATCAGGTTAGCGAAGAGAGGGTGAATGTGCGCCGCTGTGTGATAGAGATGCTCTGATTTCAGCCAGTGGAACTGAGACTTCGCCCACATTTACTCCCACGACAGCCATTATGGCTCCAACCGTAACATTTCATTTTAATGCAGCAAGCTATTGTGTCCCTGCCTGCATTAGAAAGTGAAGAATGAACCTCAAACTGAACCAAAACATCCACCTGTGTAGAGAGGAGAGTCTGATCTGATCCTCCCATACTCTCTGATGTTTTCAGCCAACACATACCCTCATGTAATGGGTCTAAAGGTGTGAGCTCACTTTGTGTCTTTATTGTGATCAACATAGCAGGTTTGAAAGCAACATGTTGTGCAATTCAAAGGCACTTTGGAAATAACTTTATGTAAGATTTGTTTTGGGATAAGATTTAATGCAAATTTAAAGAGATTTTTTTGCAAGTCAAATTTTTTTCCAAATCTGAAAGATATTCTTTTTTTTAAAACAAAAATCATTTCTGTTTTTCATTAAAACCTAAAAGATTCGCTTATTGTCTCCATCAAAAAATGCACTCGCTAACTTCCTCATTAAAAGCACATTAACTCCAAAAGAAAAAGAGTTTTTGATCTGCTTCTTTTTTTAATCACATATTCATTTAATACTGTTTTTTTTAGTAGGGTTGAATGTTTCAGTTTCTTTCTTTTTTATTACAGTGTGTAAGGTTTTTATCCTGCTCTGTTTCTGATCGATAAAGGCACAAATGTGACCTCAAATGAAGGACGGTTAACAAACTGGCGAAAAAATCAGGGATCACCTGAAGTCTTCCTTTCCATCCGTCCAGTCTCATGTCTCTCACAGTGTTTTATTCCCAATGTAACCAGATGAACTCAACTATGATACTCTGCAAACCTGTTTATTTACTCCAAGTATAGCATCATCCCTTTGGTTCTACAAGTCATTCTTTGTAGTGTACAACTTATTATACCTGACAATAAACTGAAACAAATGGGAAAGTCGACTCACTCTGGTGCTGTCTTTCATTAGTCATGAGCGTCTGTGATGTGAGGTGGTGTGATGCAGGTTTTTCACCGACAGATGGCACTGATGGGAACATTTTTGGTACCTGATACCCATGACTAAAACCTCAAAACACGGGCTAGAAAGTTCTCCATCTCTGGTGATCGTTTACACCCTTTGATTCAATCAGCTCAGAGGAAGAGGATGTGATCTCATTCAGGGACTGTGATGATGTCAACGACTTACAACTTTGGCAAAAGATAGTGAACCACTGTGAAAAAAAAATATGTATATGAATTATTTGTTGTAGCAAAAACTTGGGGAAATCACACAAATACCGAAATGTGTTCCAGTGAGAAAAGTTCATTACCTGAATGTTACAGATTGACGTTTCTGCTTTGGGGTCTGTGTTTTGCTGACTAGATTTGTCATTTCCTAACAGCAAGATGAAATATGGTGGCACAGTGGTGTAGTGTTTCGCACTATTGACTCACAGCAAGAAGGTCCAGGTCAGGGTATTTCTGTGTGGAGTTTGCATGTTCTCCCTGTGTCCACGTGGGTTTACTCCGGTTTCCTCCCACATCCCAAAAACATGCAGAAATGGGGTTCGGTTAATTGGTCACTTCAAATTGCCAGAGTTGTGAATGTGAGAGTGGATGGTTGTTCATCTCTATATATCAGCTCTGCGATGAATTGGCAACTTGTCCAGGGTGTCCCCTGCCTTCGCCCCAAGATGCTGGGATAGGTTTCAGCCCCACGACCCCCAGTGGGAAAAGCAGTAGAAAATGCATAGCAGTTGAAATACTGACCTCTGGAGTCGGTTAACTTTGCTTCAGTTAAAGTCTGCGGAAAAGACACAATGAAGAACACTTTTTTTGCTGGCAAGATTGTCTTATTTTCCAATAATCAACTGGAGGTCTAACTTCCGACTGCCCAAGTGCTCAAGGAGGCCCAACAAAGGTTCAACTTAGCGTGAGCCTGTGGTGGGAAAAAATGGCGGGTGTTGTATTGGTCACCAAACTGCTGTACGCTCATAATGGCGATAGTCCCTTCACTATATATGTATACAATATAACAGAGATTTGTGTGTGACATTAAAGAGGCTATGATGAAGCAGAGACATTTTCTAATTATTTAAAGCTAAAGAGGTTAAACCTGCTCTTGAAAATGGCCGAATTTTCTCTTTTGGGTCATTAGCTTGAACTAAAACTTGTAACACATGTAAAAAAAAAAAAGTAAATAAAAATCCAAAAGCCCAGAAACATCTGCTCAAAGAATTTGGTGTTCTCAAGTCAGATTAAACTGGAAGGAAAAAGAAATCTGACCAAATTCAGATGTCCTGAATCTCTCATCTCTTTTTTCATTAAGTTGGGACGTGAGAAAGCTTCAGAGCTGGACTCTATAAAGATATGTCATCACTCACAACCCAGCTTAGTGCCATATACCTAACTCATAAGTAAAAACAGTCAGCTGATACATAAGCAAATACACGGGTATCATATAATGTGGGTTTAAATTCAAAGGGATGTTTCCGAGTGTTTGTTTAGCGGGTTCTATTTCTTCTCCTTTTTCCTTGCTGGTGTGGAGTGATAGGGTGAAGTGCATGGGGAGTTTCCAAAACAGATCATGTTATGTACATGCCACTAACAGGCCAGTATCATACAATAGTGTGCTGAGATACAGCTGCAATAACAGTCCGCCAGGCTGTCAGCAGCTTTGAGGAAACACCTCTTTATTAATCGCCTGTTGGTGACATTAATCATACGAGGACTGACAGAAAAACGTCACTGACACTGATCTGATAACAGCCTGTAATGAAGTTCAAGAACATTATGGGTTATAAAACGCTGACCCTGTAGCATCTACGCACCAAACTCCTTAGTGTCTGTATCTCCCAAGTGACCAGAGATAGTCCTCAGTCCTGCATGTCAGCTCTCACCACTTTCATATCAGGGAGCTGAAGTGATGAGCAAAGCTGAACAGTCTGTGCCAGTTGCTTATTCAATTGCTGGTGTAATCTCGATTCACTTAATCCATCTTGCATTGCTGTAAAACTCACATAAAAAAAAAACGTTCCTCTAAAAGTGGTCTAATAGCACAGTTTAAAGCATAAAAGTAAATCACTAATACACTTAGTGCTGTATTGGTATATAAAAATGCACGGATACTTGAATAAGAAACTTTTATGTGACTCTTTGCAGCACTGCACGGTTAAACTTAAAAGCGGAGAAATCAGTCCAGCGTGCGATGAGGCTCAGCAATGACATGTGATGAACGTCAGAGCTCCAAATATCTGTTAATAAAGTCTTAGCAGTCACGACATGTTTTGAGTCACCTCATAATCGGCCAAAACTTTGCTTCTTTTCCAGAGAGGTAGTGTCTGTAGAAATTGGAGGGACATATCGTGGGTCCAAGATTTCCAAAAACCTGCAATCTCCACCGTAGAGATGAGCTGGTTTTCCAGAGCGATAAATCCACTCCAGGATGTTTATCCGTATTTGTCCTTCCTTTAGTCAATTTTTGCTTCAGTGAACCAAATTACAGTGCATGTAAAGGTTTTCAATGTTGCATCAAACTAGTAGCATCAAATTCAGCTCTACAGCTGCCTCCAACACTAAAAGTGCACAGATTAAAAGACTAGGATGGAGTAGAAAGCTGAGGAGGGATCGTTGGATGACAGAGGGGAACAGGTTCCATCCAGACCTGTGCTGAAGGCTGAAAGGATTGTACCTTCTTTACATGAGCTAAACCAGAGCCCCTCTTCTGTGTCAGCATCCCGGCTGCTGCCTGGTTTATGGCTCTGTATGCATTGTTCATTTACATCCATGTAACAATCTGTCATCATGCTGTGTATTTAATATGAGGCTGATTATAGCATGGGACATACTGTACTGTAAAGAACATCATGGTCCATACAGTATCATGTTAGAAATAGCATGTGAGTCTTATCTGGGCTTTGTCTGCTGGCCTGGTCAGCTTTCCCAGCAGCCTCCTAGATTCTTCTGGCTCTTTGGGACGTCCAGAGAGGGCAGAGGGGAGAGGAGGGGGATTAGACTCCGCAGGGGGAGGCGGGTTTCACAGCTGCTGTTGGGGAGGGCCTTCCTGTTGGATTCCTTTCCAGTGCTATGTCTCCCACAAATAGATCCTCGAGTACTTTCCATAAAATTCATCAGGGGGGTCTTGAGTCAGAGAGGAGGGCTCTGCTGACAGGGGTGGTGTCACAGTGTGTATAAAAGCTCACAGCTGAGAGGCACACAGTACGTTAGGAAAACATTTTCCAAGAGGCCAAAAGGTTCTCGCTCCTGCAGCCAGCTGCTCTTCTTCTCTACATCAGCACTCCTCTGCCGCCCAAACTCTCCAACATGACTGAGAGGCGTATTCCTTTCACCCTGCTCCGCACCCCCAGCTGGGACCCCTTCAGGGACTGGCACAGCCGCATCTTCGACCAGTCCTTCGGCATGCCCGCTCTGCCTGAGGAGTTTGCCACATTCCCCAGCAGCCACTGGCCAGGCTACATGCGGCCCTCCATCATGTCTCCTGAGATGGGCGCCATGATGCCCCACACTCCCATGATGTACCCCGGCGCCGTGATGGCTCAGCAGGCCCGACATGCCCTCTCCCGGCAGATGAGCAGTGGCATGTCAGAGATCAAGCAGACCCAAGACAACTGGAAGGTGTGCCTGGATGTGAATCACTTCTCCCCCGAGGAGCTGGTGGTCAAGACCAAGGATGGAGTGGTGGAAATCACCGGTGAGTGCTCCTTTATCTTCCACTGGCCTCTGTCACATTAAGACTTAAAGAGATCAACATTTTGAAGTGATCTTATTGGTCATTTAACAGCTACAGCTGGTAGAAGTGAATACTTTTTACTTACTTACAGCTGCATCTTGAAGAGATGTCGGTTCTTCTTTTCTGAAGTAAAGATGATAAAGTTGTACTCATCCAGAAGAACAAAATAAATCACCTGAAATCAAAGCTCCAAAAAGTAGCTTTTAAAAAATATTATAATAAGAAATGAGAAGAAACACCTCTTTTCTAAACAAGTGCAGTACAGATACATGAAAACCGTACATGTGTACCTGAGTTATCATGCTTTATCCTTATAGACTTCTTATCCCTTCTGAACACAAAACAATAGGGGTGTGTCCAGATGGGTGGCTAAGGGTGGCGTTAGCCCCTCTCAAAATCTGCCATCCACTCCAAAAGTCTAAACCATGATTGGTCAGACACACCCCTATGGGACAGATGTGTCAAAGGTGTACAACAACAAGTCTCACTGTATTGAATGTTAATGTTATCTTGTAACACTCTTCTTTAATAGAGGGATATAATTTGGTTTTTAGATTGCTCTATTTTCTAGTTTTGGTTTCAAGTTTAAGTTTTAACTTTTATAAGTGTGAAGGAGAGGCTGATTTTCTTACTGCTCTCTGGGTCTACTGGGATCACATCATATATTAAATATATTATCAAGATTTAGATTATAACCAAAGACCTGGGGCTGCTTTTTATGCAGGAATGACTGTTGTAAGATTTGTAGATGTTGAGCTTTGATGGGTGAGGTTAGAAAGTGTGACAGCTAACCTCGGTCCTCCCGCTGAGGTTTGTTCCTTCCCTTTGTCGGAGGAACTTCTGCAGCACTGAACAAAACACAAGATAAAAGGCAGGAAACCTTTCTGCTAGGTCAAGCACAAGACAGATGCATTGCTGCAGAGTTACATAATACCTGGAGACACAATATACTGGGATTTTTTTATTGCACAGGAGGGTGGGGGCTTCTGGCTGCATGCCTCCCAAATGCAAAACAATTCAACATGTGGGAGTGCACCTCTGAAACAGCTCACAGAAATACAGAGTTCAAACGCCCATATCAGAGATCTGGTTCCACTCTTTCGCCAATATTTTCATTCTTGTGCAGGAACATAAAAACCCCTGAGGAATGGCTGTTAGGATGATTTAGCCCTGTGAGGCCTTGAGCTCTTCCTTCAGTCCAGTCTCAGTCTCTGAGCCTGACATTTCACGAATAATCACTCTTAGAGTAAGGGGTTTAACCGCAACTCACCCTCTGTGTCTGCTACTTTAAAAGGACTGCTGGGTCTCGTCCAGGTCCAGGTCCTGGGCACCGTTAAATCTGATATTTCCCTGCTCAGACAGTGGGCATAGACAGGACCAGCAAAGATAAACAGAGCCCACGACTCAGTCCAGAGTGGAATCTATCACCTCCTGTGTCATCATACGTGTTTAAATGTGATATCATCAGCTTAAGTTTTGAATACACATGAAAGTACCACCTCTTTACGCTCCAGCCCTCCTCTCTGAACTACATGAAACCTGGCATGGTCACTTTAAGCCTAGCTGTGCCACACTCTCACCAGCTCTGTCGTCCTGTTGAAAAGAGGACAGCTCCCCGTGGAGAGGGAGCTTTATCATCCGTCGTCAAAACAAACATATTACTGTGGTTAGAGCCAGGATGGTGGGCAACTTCACAGCCAGACCTCTGAATGCCTAAGAGAGACTGTCCATATGAAAACTGGTCAGGGCTGTCTGATGATGCTGTGGGTAGCAGCTGTAGAAGATAAAAATACCACAACAAAGCCTCCATGGCACAAAACAGCACAGTCATGGTGCTGCTTGAAACGCCCTGTGTCACTAATACAGCAGAAACAGCCGTGTCATGGTATTTGAGGATATATTTTTTTCCCATTCTTGATGAAAGTTATATGAAAACTTTAAAGTTTACAGAGTTAGCAAGAAACAGAAATTTATCTTCAAGAAATACTCTACAAAATCTGATTTAAATTAGTTCCATAAAGTTCTTGTGCAAATAGTAATGTCTTCTAAAAAAAAAGTAGAGCTCCCTCTAGTGACTGGCTAAAGTACATGTAATTAACTTGTCTTCACTGCTATAGGAGGTGAAACATGGTTTAAAGTAGAATTTTAATGATACATCAAATTGTGTTTTTTAAAACCCCTGTGAGGAACTCTGTCTGTGTTGATTTTGGCGCCCTCTGTGGACAAAGTAGAAACTCTTATTATGTTGTCATACCGTCTTATCTTCATGAAAGTAATGATAATTGAGAAAGAAATCTCCTCTTGTTGGCTTATTAAGGTGGAATGAATCACAGCAAATATGCACTGTTGGAAAAGTAACTAAGGCTGTTTCTCTGGCATATTAACCTCTTTAAGCAGTGACAGGCAAAAATTACAAGAGAGAAATTTTCTTTTTTTCTTTTTATTAATAGTCTCGTTTGCTTTTGCACATCATAGAGATGCATCAACTGTTAATCTTAGGGCTCTATTTTGGTGCTTCGCCGGAGATCTGCCGCAAGCGCAGCGTCAATCAGATCCGCCGCGCTGACAAGGCGTTCCCAAGCACATTTTGGTATTTTGGTGAGCCGCGCAGCCCGGCGTAAGTATCCCCCCTCCCTAACTCAGCTCCTCCCAGCACCATAAGTCGGAGAAAGGGCGTGTAGTGATTTTAACAAAGCCGAGACCTGTTTTCTCCAATCACATTAGCTCCTCTCCTTGCCTTTAAATCCGCCACCGGCGAGGCGTATTACTATTTTCATGAAGTAGTCAAAGAGATCAAGAGATGTCTTAAGACAGTAATGCCACAAGATGGCGACAGAGGGCAGCTCCTCAACAAGTGTCCTCCACACTCTCTCATATGAGCACAGATGGATTTAGTGTGCGTAATGTTGGTCCCACTGGTAAGACAAACACCCTTTTCCACAAATAAAGACACTCACATAAAGTTGCTCATATTCAAACCTCACGTGACAAAGGTGGGTTTAGCGCACAGATCACAACATAAACTCCAAAAATGGCATTAAAATTGGAACCATCTGTGCGTAAATGACGCATCGCGCTCCGTGGCCTGGCTCTTTCTTTCATAGATGTTGGCATATAAAATAAATTTGGCCCACAAAACTGAATATTATAATATCCGTATGTCGGCTTAAAGTAGATCACGCATCTGAGCACTGAAACAAATCATCTGTTCAGTCGCAGCAGCAGCAAGACGGACAGAGGACACGGAGACGTGTCCAGGTCGAGCTGCGCGAGAAATAAGAGGAAGAGGAAGAAAGAAAAGGAGGGAGACGAATTACATATCTTGTTAACTTCATCATGTGTGTTTATTTACTAGATATTTAATTTAATTTGATGCGGTTTCAGCTGTGTTGATTCGGTCAGGTTGTGTGTCCAAACGCGTGCCAAACGCGCTCATCAGATCAGATATAGATCAGAATATATCTATATAGATCTAAATATATGTGCTGACTCAGATTAATAGTTGATGATGATTACTTATTGCACTGAAATGTGCCTGACACTGTGGAAACCTGCCGGTGAGGCATCAGTGACGTATGTCGATACGCCGCCGGTCTACCAAAATACTACTAGACCAGCTGCGTTCCGCCTTGCGCTGAAAGCTGACCAGGTTTGAATCGGCGAGCTTTCAGCGCACTTTACACGCCGTTGGCGAGCACGAAAATGTCACTGCGCCAGCTGATTCTGTCAACACCTCCCCCTGCCACACCACCACGCCCAGCTTGGCGGATCTCGGCTCGCCTCCGTGCGGCTCATGCCACGAAAATACCAAATTGGCCTTACGCTGGGTTCCGCCAGACGAAAATACAACTGCGCGGGGCTCGCCGCCCTCCGCCGCCTCACCGGCGCGAACGAAAATAGTTAATCTTAGTCTGATTCATGACCAACTAGAAACTCCTCACAGGCTCTTTACACATGCTTTTTTCCTTGTAGTTCATTCTCATCATGCTGATTTAAATCCTCTAAAAGTTTAGTTCAAATCAGTTTATTGATGTCAAAAACTGATCGACTGACAGCATTGTGAACTGGTTTGGGCTCCTGCAGATTACAAGGAAGCTGATTAATTGACTGATGGCGTCAGTTCAGGGGCTCCTCCAGCCAGATTGCCTCTGCAGATGCCTTGGCTGTAAAATTCCTCACCATCAATATTTTGGTGCCCATCTCTGCAGTATTTTAGCTGGAAGTGTCTCGTCCATATTTATATACAGCTGATGATATTACCCAGAAATCAGCTGATCTTGCCCCTTGTCAGACCAAACATGAGGTGAACCTATGCTGTAGAATCCAGATCCATTACCTGTTTTTACTAAAACTGACCTAGCACCATGCAAACACAAACACATTGCCAATCCTGATGAGCATGTAGGGAAGAGTAGTAGTATGAGTACCAACTGTAAGTCAATGTGGACACTTGGAGTGGACTCACCCATCTCTGAGGGAAACCATGCCATCACTGTGGTGAGAAAAGGCTTTCTTCCTGTGGAAGCTGAACTCACTTTGAGACACACCCCAGCCAATTGGTGCAAAGTGGTTCTAGCCAATCACAATAAGGGGGCAGGATAACGGGGGGCTCTTTTTTTGGGGAGATGCCAACCTCAGAGGGGAGACTATGGCAAACCATGACTGCGATGGAAAACCAACTTGTTATTGAAGGGTTGACAGCAGACCTATTTGCATCATCCCTCAGACATGCAGCTTGTGAAACCTGATCATGGGTTTCATCATGGATGTATTTGGTTGAGTTGAAGCAGCTCCAGGGTTGAAGTATTGTGCATCCTTACTGTACCACACAAAATTTCTGCTCATGTTAAGTTAAACCCGTGATAAGACCAATTATCAGCATTTTATGGGTAGTTGAGTGTTGTAAAAAATAACCACTGTTCAGTTTAAGTGTAAATTCAGTGTAAATGTGCAAGAGTTAAACCTCAAGATTGTCTTTATTAATTTCCTTTAAGGAATTTCTTCCTACATGATTGGTGCATCATGATACATTTTTAATTCCTGGCTCCATGAAGTGACTGTGGCTGTCATATTAGTGCCACATCAGTGTAAAAGTATGCTGTCTGTGTCCCCAGGCAAGCACGAGGAGAGGAAGGATGAGCATGGCTTTGTGTCCAGATGCTTCACCAGGAAATACACGTAAGTAGCTGAAGTTTTCAGAGTCATTAATTACCAAAGATTAAGCTTGAAGTCTGCTCGATAAAAACAAGCTGCTGGCCATGCAATATGTCAGCAGCTCACTTCAAAACTGACAGATTTCTTACTAAAGGCGGCTGGTTGTGGCTCTTTGATGGGGGCTTTGCAATGGATTTTCACGGCAGAAATGCATTACTCAGGCTGAGTGTAAACTCCTGTGATTCTCTTAATGTGGCTCTGCAGCTGTGAGTCTCTTTAGTTTTGGGTTGGGCAGTCTGTAGAGGCCTGGCTGCTGCTGATATCTGAATTTCATGCTCTGAAAAGCAGCAGCAGCAGCAGTCTCCACCTTGTATTGTTCATTCCTCATCTGAGTGAGTTTGGTGCTCTACAGGACTCTGCTGCCATCCAGGGGCCAGATCAAAGACAGGCTGAGCTGGTCCTGGATCTGATTTTGCACAGTCCAGGGTGACTCAGACATAAATATTCCAGTTTGTCTAAATTTAAGACACAGGGGAGTTTCTTTTTCTATCTTATATGAATATTTTGTAATTTTACCTGATTAATTTTGGGAATGTATAATCAATAAGATTTGTTATGTAACCTCATAAAAGGGTTAAATCAACCACACTGAGGCCTTGTTGACCCTAAAATCCATTAAAGAAGAACCCAGCAAAGAAATAAGGATGGAGAATGGTGGCTTTACTCTTTCAATCCAATAAACTTTCTGTGGCTTCAAGGGGGTATAAAATGTGATTACAGAAAAATAAATCATTTAAAAATAATTTAAAATTTAAAAAATACACATTTAAATATGTTTTTAATTACAAATTATTTGAGAAATGCGCTCCATTTTTAGGTATTTTAAAAGACCTGTAATGAACTTTAAACTTGTCTAAATTTTAGCGCCCCTCTGTGGACAAAGGAGTCTTAGCATATCTTGTCCTCTGTCCTCTTGAAGCCTGACTGCTGACAAAAAAAAATCGATCATTTATCATGAATTTTTAACGTTGAAATTATCAAAACAGGGCTGTATCTCCAGGTGCTCAGCTGACACCGACTCCCTCAGACCAGTTTCAGGCATTAAAAATGACAAAACAGAAATGTCCGACTTGTTACTGGTGGTCTTTTTTTTTTTTGGCTTTCCGTTATCATGATAAAGAGTCAACATGAATTTTAGTCTACTTTACAGATGTAAAAAAAAAGAAAATCCTCACAAGAGCTCTAAAAACACATTCATGTGCAGTACATGTATACACTAAATTCAAAACACAAAACCCCATCAATTCCTGTCACACTCATGTCAAAAGATATGTAAGTTTAAATATTTCAACAAGGTTTTATTACCCAAAAGTGAGTAGGAGAAAAGAATCTGAATCTAGTTTACCTGCAACTGTGTGGAGTATGATAAAAAGGATCAGTTTTAGAAAACTTATCCATATTTCCTTTAATTATGAGAGAGAAAGCTGTATCCTTGAGCCTCTGTCAGACAGTGTGAGACTTCTGCTGTAGAAGTTAGCAGCATCTGTCTCATGAAGATGTGAAATGAATTATTTCTGTTTGCTCCACAGTCGGCTGAACTGACACAGTGGATACCGATGAGTGTAAACCCATAATGGTTGATTTCACCTTGAAGCTCCTGTAAGGAGTTTTTTTGATATTCATAAAACAGATTGAAATACATATTGATGCTTTTTTATGATCTACAAAAGCAAACAAGAAAATTAGGAACAAGATTGACAGTTTTATGTCATAATTTTTAATGTCTCAAATGAGAGCAAGGGGGAGGTGTCAGCCAAGCATCTAAAGAAACAGCCAATACCAAAAACAGCAAATACCCAAAATTAAGTATTTATCTGACAGTGAAAAGTCTGCGGGAAATAAACTTTTGTTAGAGGACGCAACAGAAGCATGTGATGTACAAGAAGCAAACTGAAATTGGCATAAACCAAACAATAGTGGAGAGCTATTCAAAAGCTGTCTGCTGATAATTGTTAGTTTAAATTTTTTCCCCCTGTAAAATCAGCCGATTTGTGTTATTTGATTTTAACTTGCAGGGTTACAAAGAATCCTTTCTTTAAAAATTTGTTTCAGTAAGTTAATATTTCAGTACTATTCAGTGTGTTTCTGAAGTCTGAAGTCAAACCCATTCTAACACAGACTTGTGCTGACTTTTTAAAAATCAAAGAGGTAGTTTAATCTCGCCAAGCATATTTTTCCTGTAATAAAACATTTAACTTTAAAATATATTTGAAAAGAAAGAAAAAACTTTTGAAACTAAAATTCAAGAGCTGAAATTGATTTACTCAGCCATAGATAAGAGTGACACACTTAAACAGTCAAATCTTCAAAAATGCATAAACTTTACTTTTGCATTAAGTCATTGTACGCAGTCTGTTGTAGAAGACACTAAGTAATTTGCTTAAAAATTACTATCAAAACATAAGAGTCAATGTCACTTTGCATGTCTCTAAAAACCAACATTTCACAAATATTGCTCTGTTTTCTTATAACTCTTGTAAAACAGTTAAGAAGCTGCAGAGATGAAGTAGCATTTATTTCAGAGCTCATTTCTTAGACAGGAACATTTCTCAAAGCTTGACCACGAGGCTTTTCTTCTACTTTTCCTCCCTCTTCTTATAGTTGTTATAACTATTACTACTGTTATTTTTATTATTATGATGGGTCATAGTAGCAGTTACAAGGTTGTAGTTCGTCAGTGACAGATGCAGGATTTTGTTATCAATTCATCCATTCCACTCTATAAATGTATTTTGCCAGCTCATCTGAATACACAGATTGACACACAGTCAATTAAAGAAAAAGTAAAATTAACATGCAATTTAACATTCTGTTAAAACACACAGAATGTAAACAACTGCAAGTTTTAATCTCCTGAAATCAAAGATGTGTCTTCCTCTTCTCCCCTGCAGCCTCCCTCCCACAGCTGACGCTGAGAAGGTGACTTCCTCCCTGTCTCCCGATGGCGTGCTGACCGTGGAGACCCCTCTGAAGATGCCCGCCCTTCAGACCTCAGAGACCACCATCCCTGTCAACATGGACACCAAAGGTGGCGTGGTGAAGAAGTAGAGAGAGAAACTTCCGTCGACTCACTTCCACACAAACACACTCTCAAAACCAACACTTCATTCCCATCACATGACCTCTCCTCCTAAAACAGGGATCACCCTCACTCTCTTCTCTCCCCTCTGTCTCTGGTAATGAGCAGACCCCAGCTGAGTGCACAGTGATATCACATCTGTAGCAGAGCCACACTCCCACTCTTCCTGCTGTAATTATGAACGTGGGAACTCTCGCTGAACCTCATGCATAACACTTTTTTCTCTTCCTCTCTAAGACAAATGAAAACAAATTTAAACCTCTTACATGCTGCACCTACAGGCCTGCAATAACAGCGGACTTAAACATAAGGAACTAAACCTCAGAGGAGCAATCAGGTATAACTGGTACAGAACAACACCTGTCCACACTGTGGGCTGTTTTTATCTGTTGTGGCCTTTGGAAACTTTGTTTTCATGCAAAAACTAAATAAAGATTTAACAACCTTTTTTTAGTCTCTTTCTCTGTTTATATGTTTGCTGGCCAGCAGCCTCCTCTCCATGTCCTAAAGCAGCTGCTGAGAGTCATGTGTTAGAGGTCTGCAATAAACAATACAAGCGAAAAGTCAAATCAAAGCTCCTAAATTTTTGTCAGTTTTGATGATATATGATTCATCCGACAGTTATATAAACAGAAAAAGGAGCAGCTGAAATATGCCAGCCCATCTCCTTATCTCGGCTGCCTCACACTGTCATGTTCAGTACAACATTGAAGAACAGCGCCCTCTTCTGGTCGTCTGATTTTAACACAGTGTGAGCATGCACAGTCTTCTGTAAATTTATGTAGTGTGGATGAGATGTTGGTCCTGGCTCTTTTGTGTCATGGTCCTGTTGTTGTACAGTTGTTAAGTAAAGTGCTGCAGTGTTGTTTTTGCATCAGAACTCTGGGATTGATGCAAGTCCAACAAATTTCAGCTGAATTTCAATTGTTGTGTGGGAATAATGACTGAAGTGGCATACCTGAGTGAACTCTTCCTTTGAGGTAACACTTTATTATTCATAAATTATTAGCTGGTTATCAGTTTAATTAGTTCATTATCCAGTTTTTAAGTAAGTTCTTATATTTGAAATTATGTAGTTGGAGACGAAGAAGCCCAGGGGGAAAAAAAGTATGATCCAAGAAGTGCTATGATAATTGTTTTTCAGTTTAAAAATGCTGTTAAATCTTTCATAGGATTAATTGCATTATTAATGTCATGTTTTAAATTCCTTAACTTTTCTGATTCAGATTCAGACAACTTTACTAACCCCCGAAGAGCAATTCATTTCACAGTTAACCCACCTTGTTATTAAACGATCAAGGAACAGACAAATGCCAGACATTTACAGCAGCATAAGGCCCAAACATTCTCCTGTCATAAAAGAAGAAAAATAAGAACTAAAACAATCATGAGACCCAATTTCAACACAGGCCACCAATCAGCTACAGTTACACTTTTTAAGATTATGTGAACAATTTTAAGCTATTCTATCCGATGTCTTGATATGGGAATCAAATGAGTACAATAAAACACACTTATTGCTGCAAAAGCACTGACAGCCATAGTTTTAGTAAAATCAATAACAAACTGATTAGGACTGTCATGAATTTAAATTATTAGCTTTACTCTGATAGTGTACATAAGTAAGGTTGAGGCTTTAAACGAGCATCAGTCATTGGTTTACAAATGTGACTGTGACTTTACAAATTATCCTTCATATTTTCACCTGATTTCTGTAGGTATAAAGTGAACCATAGGTGGGGGTATACAAATGGACAGGATGTATGTGTGGTAAAAATAAGGCCAGAGGCAGCTTGAGGAAATTCATTGACTACATGGTATCAGCTGAGGGCCCTGTTACAATCAATACTCTGTGCAGCTGCATGTATATGTGTTAAAACTAAATGCTCCTCTCCCTCTGATCTTCAGTCAGTGAAGGATGAAATGTTAGCCAGATAACAGTCGGTAACATCCTAAATGATGACAGCCCAAATCTCTGCAGCTTCTCATCACTTCTCTTTCTTCCTCCTTGTCGACTTACAGTCATTCATGCTGCATGCCAGCTCCCTAATGCACACACTAACTCTACTCCTGACTCCAGAGCTGCAGGGGAGATCTATTTATAGAGTGCTCTGCTATGTACTCAGCCTGCAGCATGTTGTATAGTTTCACATGGTAGACAGGAAATGGGGCTTATTTTACCCCCCAGTGGTCCCAGACCTGACTAATGGACTCCTAATCAGGAGTCTCAGGTGGGTTTCAGACATTTTGACTAATGTTAAATAACACAGAAGCTATTTAATTGTGCATCAAAATCAATAAATATGCATCCAAACTGCAGGTATTGAGTGTTCAGTGCTTGTTTTCCACAGTAGCTAGACAGACACTGCCTGAACACGAAGCAGCACTCCCCAAACCACTTAGCATTTCAACTTTTCCTCCTCCATGAGTCACCATTTCCTCCCCAGTTTAATGCAGGCCTAAATTATTCATGCCAATCCCCATCAATCCAGGAGCCATCCAGTCTTTGAAGCAGGGAGGTGCCTGGAGTGCAGCACTGTTTGCGACCAGGCTGCTGATTGGACTCTTTTCAGATGTCCCCCCTGCACTCAGACTGACAGGATGAAGAGGGGAGGCTCGGTTCAATAAGGGTCTCAAGTGGTCCTTGAGTGTGTGATTTAAGAGGAAACAAACCCACTTTAATGTGGTGGACATGCTCTGTTTGTATCCCAGGCAACACATGTCATTAGAGAAGCATTACTCTGTATTTACTTTGAGGGAATAAATCATCACAGGCTGCTGCTGTCACTCTGCAGTTCACTCTGTGCTGTCTGGAAATGCAGCAGCTGATATGTTTCTTCAAATAACTATGACATCTTTTCAGGAACATATCCTGAATTGAAAATTGTGCTCGCTGCATTGACATTTTTACTCGTTACAATCTTTGACTTGTTGTTTTTGGCTGGGAATATCTGAAAATAAGGTTTTAATCGCAGGACTCTTCCTGTCTGAGTGAGTTTCCTCGTTGTCTGCACTTGCTTTAAATCTGATTTTCAGCTGCTTTTACTTTCAGTTATGTGTCACTTTGAACACAAACCTTAAATTACAATTCAACCCATAAAACACGTCAAATAGCAGGGCTGTGTCCAGATTTTTTGGGACTGAAGTGACCCAACTGTGGTGCTGACATGAAGCATATTGGAGTATTTGTCTGCCATGTTTATTTACCCTAGCTACAGTTACAAATGTGAAAGTATCATACAGTTTCAATGTTCATATGTTCATGTTTTCAAGCTTAAAAAAGTCACACAGTACAAACTGTAAATCTCTCATAAGGAACTTTCTGTCCGTGTTGATTATAGCACCCCCTGTGGACTAAGTAGAGATCTTCATATTGTGGTTGATTTTTTCTTCTCAAATATGGCCAGTTTTGTCTTCACTAGTCCTATTTGCTTTTACAACATAGGGACATTTATTTATTTGTTTCAGCCTGTTACATGACTGATAAGAGTTTGTAGCGTGACCTTATTTTTTAACTTCTCTGTTAATCATGGCTTCATACATTGACCAGTGTAAATGGTTTGATTCAGTCCAAAACTAAACCAAACTGTATCTTGACATACATTTCTAGTGTGAATCAGAAGAGCTGAAATGAGAAAATGAAAAACCGCTGAAAAAATGTCTTCTGCAGGCTACATAACGTAACAGAAAATGTTACTCTGCGTGATGCACCAGTGGCGAAGAAGGCTCTCAGTTTTCACAGAGTGACTGAAAGACTTTGAAGTGCTCAGCTTTGAGGAATGACTCAATGCACTGTAAATCCTGAGGGACAGAGGTTGCAGGTAAAACTGCTCTTACAGTATATTGTAGTCATGGTGCACCTTAATGTTTAGTGGATTTTCCTATTTCGTTTGTTGCTCTTACTTTTGATGTTGAGGGCTCTGGTTCTAAAGCTAAAATGTTAATTTCAAGCCTTATATGGGTACCAAAATAAATGTTGCAGAGTGCAGGAGTTTGCCTACATTTTCTAATGGACTGATTTCTCCCCACCTGTGTTATGAAAAAATAATAATAGCAATAAGTGTTTCCCTTTCCTTTTTATCTTTCTAGTTTATTTATCTGCTTCAAAGGGGGGCCATACCACCCCTGGCAAACCCTTTGGACATGCTTCTGATCGAGCGGAGCTTTGCAGATTTTTTTTCTTTCTGACAAATAAGATTAAAGTCATCAAAAATCAAGTTTTTTTCCTGAGCTTCCATCTTGAAGTGCTGATTTAGTGCAACACACTGTGAAAACTAATGTGACGTTACTACAGCTAAAATAAAGGTTAAAGTCCAGCACTGATAGTAAAGATAAACAACAGTAACAGCTGGGCACCACGTTACATGGCACAGCGTTATACTGATCTCTCCATGACTTAATTCAGAACAAATAACACAGTAAATAATGCACAAATGACACTCACTAATATGATGCACGAGCAGGTCTTTTCCTCCTATGTATAACACTTAAAACTGTGCAGCCAGTATAATCATTTAAGTACATCCTGTGTGTAAACAAACTGTAATTACTGCTGCTGCTTCTTAAATGTTAACTGGTCCTCTAATGGCAGCAAGCTCTCCACCTCTAATCTAATCTAAAGATCATAAAAGAGGGACTAGATCAACAGAAGGTCTGGTACCTCAGAGCTCAGAGGGGAGCAGGTGGTGCTCTTGTTTTCTGCTTAGCAACAGCCTCGGGATTGGCTTGTGACAGCACCCTCAACCAGAGGTGGTCGTCCAATCACACGGCAGGATGTTGATTGTCTTTGAACCAATTAACACTTGGCAGCTGTTCAATAATTAGTTCTGCCTCAGTGATCAAAGGAGGTAATTAGTCCAGTTGTAGCTCCTGATTGACTTCCATTCACAACCTTTTTTGGGGGATTCTAGCTGCAGTCTTTGTCCTCACCAACAGCTCTGTTATTTCAGTCCACTCACCTTCATGGAGCCTTTGATTGTAAAGGAGAAATGAGGCTGACTGTACGTGTTTAAAGGTCTGGTTTAAAGGTAATAAAGCTTCCCTTATCCTGACTGTTTACTGAATAACACACAAGTCTTACTAACTCCGTCAGCAATATCAGATACTAGCTGTTTGTTTCAGTGCGACATTACCTTATTAATTTTTGAAGGTCTTGACAAAGAGAAAAACTGTTTCTATTGAATAATTCACATCAAGCAACTCAACTTTTATCTTTATTATCAGCAACAGAGATGCCCAACGTCCCACTCTGGATGAATGTTCCATCAGTATATTGTGCTAATAACAAAAAAAAAGAAAAAAAAAAAAAAGAAATACTCAACCACATAATTAAGCTGTCTACATGGTTAGTATTACACCCGTTTGACTTTAACATGTTAGCCTCGCCGTTGTGATTATGATGTGGTGGTGTTAGCATTTAGCTCTAAGAAATGCAGTGCGAGCTTATGTTTAGAGCTAGCTTGGCTGATGTTTATAATTTTTTAAGCTTGAGCTCGTCCATATTCATATTTTGATAAGTCTGTAGTTTGCTCTTGTATTTGACTTCTTTGATACTGCTGTCTCCACAATAGAGTCATTAAATATTATAATATAATAGGAATATTCTAAGTAAAATGTAGGAATAAAATAATTTAAATCTGTTTCTAATGGACCATTTTAGAAACAAAAGCAGAACTGCTCTGTCACAAGCTTTATGAGACAGCTGCTTTTGTTTAGATAGAGATTTATCATTTTATTTTGGCTGCTGTTTCTGTTGGGGATCTTGCAAATCTTTTTTTTCCTAAAATTTGTTAAATAAATAAAATTCACACTTTAGTATTCTTTAAGTGAAGATAATATTGTTCATAACACTCATATTCTTTTACGCCTCTGACCTTATAGTGTCTGGTGATTATTCCAGTCTTCATAATGTGTATAAAATATAAATATTAAATCCCTCAAATGCTCTGCACAATATCACTGGGATAAGACCTGAACACATATGCTAACAGGAACGATAATGTGATGGTTAGTCCCTGGAAAGAAAAGCACAATGACACACAATCTTAATACGTTTAAACATGTCAAAGAAAAGGTGAAAACAGGACACAGAACAAGATTTCTGAGGGTGACGAGTCTTCTCTTACAGTTACCTTCACAGTAACAGGATTAGTCAAAAAGCTTTTCTTCAGTCAGTTAAAAGGTTGTCCTTTGTTTCTCACATTTGGATGCAGTGATCGCTTCCCTACACTGGATTTGATATGAGCTTAAATCCATTTAGTAAAATTAGTAAAATTAGTAAAATAGATGAAAATATTAATTCACCTTTAATGGTCTTACAGTTATTTTCAAAATCTGTGAAGTTCTTTAGGTGAAAAATTCTTATTTTTTTACATATTAAAAATGCCACTACTCCTTTTACAGCTGTAAGACTAATTTTATTAGAAAAAGAAAAGTTTGCCAAATAATGGCACATTGCAGGCAAGGGCGTGTCCTGAAGGGTAGCAACCCCATCCCCTCCCACTATTGGTCACCCCCCTAAAAAATCTATGATTGATTTTACACCTCATCAGAGGCACTACTTGCAGCATTAACTATTTCAACTCTGCTGCAATAGCCTGTGTGTAGCTTTCCCGCATTAAAATGCTCTATTGTATGTCATAAGACAGGTGCATGACTCCCACACACTGTCAGATAGTGCTTTGATCATTTAACAGTATGAAACAGTGCACTTGTGATTTGTTTTTCGATCCTTCAAATTGTGACATTAGACAATTATCTTCTTTTGGAATAATAAGGAATAAATATAAGAACATGTAAATTTTACTGGTCAAAAATCTTACAAAGAAAAAGTGTATACTACTTCAATGATTGTAAAATGATGTACGAGGTAACAAGAACTGTGAACCATTGCTTTTGCATGCAAGTTTGTACTTGATGCCGCCCCTGCAGTGCCCCAGCTAGGCCTGTCTGTTCAACATGTCTGGTCACGCTCCTGATTATAGGTAAGGATTGGAGTGTCTCCAGGAAGTCTGATAAGTTATTAAAACTAGAAATGTTTGGATGTGTGTGTGTCTGCGTGTGAGACGTGGACCTCAGAAGTGCTGAATGTGAAAAACAGAGACCCACAATTGAGCAAAAACTGATTGAAGCAATATTTGAGATCTCAAAGTTCTCCATCTTGTCTGTGTTTTCTTCACAGAGGTGTAAAACCACTAGAAGGGGTGGACCCCGCATTACACTCAAAAGTATCCAGTCCCCTCAAGAGAGAAGAACAAGTATATGTGTGTGCATTCTTACACTATCCCAGTCAAAAAGCCTGGACACACCCTTGATTATTCTATGGAAGTAACTGGTATACTTGAATATGACTGATTTGTTGTGCATTTAACTTGAAGATTTTGCAGTTTGTTAATCATTATGTTTGTTTTGGATTTTACTGACCTTTACAAGAAGGCTTTTAAATCTGTGAAGCTCTAAGATGCTGCAGAGCACTCCATAAACCTGAATATTGTATCAAAAAAATATCAAAAGCCTGTTTTTTTTTATTCCACATCCTCTTCCCCTTACCAAGAACTGCATGTCACCATGGCGATGTCCGTAACAGATCAATTTATTGTTAACAATCACTGTTTTGGTATAGCGTACTTCAGCAAATGGAGTAAAGAAAACACAGATTAAAATAAGGTCTAGCTAACAATCGCAATAAAAAGAAATAAATAGAAAATAATCCGATTAAGGTTCTAGTAATTCCATGTTCATATGAATACATAACATCTACAGTATAAGTTAATAAATTGAAGCTACTGTATAAATACATCACCAGCATGCACAATATTGTATTATGGAGAATATTGGAGCAATTATCATCTTACACTGAAGAAACAGTATAATAGGCAAGTGCATTTCTTGACCAAGAAGAAACTGAAGACAAAGTAAATCCACAAACCTCAAATCTGCTTTTAGAGCTCCCATCTAACATTGCATGTGCTCTGTCCACAAATTATACTGAGATCACTAATCGAGTCAGTGGTTCAGGTGCCGTTTCACAGATCCTACTGGTTGTTATGAAGATAGCATAACTGGAGAATAAGGGTGGATAATAGTCAATCACCATTTCTTTGTTTTTAATTTCCATTCATTTTTATTTCACCGTCCAGATTTCTGCCAATCAATTCCTACAAACAAAAGGAGCCAATAAGAGTTGTAATAGTAACGACAATACTGACAATAAGAATTAGGTGTCCAAAAACAGTTAATTTTATTCATTAATAAAGCACATCAGCACATGAGAGGGACAAGCTGCACTAAGTTTACTTTATGAGTTTGTATTTTTAAGTTACAGTATGACTGTGTGACTGAGCTGGACACATACCTGACACAAAGCAAACAAAAACAGTTTCTTTTATGTTATCTTCAATAACAGAGACAACCTGCTTTTCACTCAACGATCATAGTGTGGTGCAACTAAAGATGTCGGTACGTTTGGAGTTACGACGATGAATTCGACACCCCTAAAAGCTCGTCTTCTTCTTCTTCATCATCATCATCTCTGCAACCCGTCTGTTCTCTAAATCACTCGCTCTGGTGTTTCTCTCTCTCTCTCTCTCCAAACATTCAAGGTTACTCTAATTTTTCCCTCTGCTCAAGCATCAATTTCTGAATGCTCCTCCCCTCACCAAATACAATAAGACAGCTCAGCTTCATTTGCGCGATAAGACCAGTCTCTGCAAGTGTGAAGGCATCGTTACCCAATAGTCACACTGCGATGAATGACACACCTCTTTGCTTCTAAAGTTGTATTTTGGCAAATGCTGCAGAGGCTACCAAGGAGGGGGTTTCACTCTTTTAATTATTTGTGTTTTATTCTGGATTAATTCTCAAACTAAAATTGTCTTCCCTCCTCCGACGTTTTTTTTTTTTCACTTTTAATTTGTTGAAAAATAAAGAACAGCAGCCGCGTTAGTACCATCGGCTAAATTGGCAGCTGATGTTTCACCACCGCCCCTCCCCCTCCCTCTTTTTTAATTTCTAAGAACTTTTTAACTATTATTATTATTATTTTGTCATCATTTGTGAGCGCGCGTGTTGTGTTGTTTTGGCAGAATGAGGTTTTCGGACTCTTTAGTTGTTGGCCTCTCCTCCCTCGTCGTCCTGCTGGTCGCTCGTCCACAGCGTCAAGTTGTCTCGTAGCAGCTGCATGATGAGAGTGGAGTCTTTGTAGGAGTCCTCGTTGAGGGTGTCCAGCTCAGCAATGGCGTCATCGAAGGCGGTCTTGGCCAGGTGGCACGCCTGCTCGGGGGCGTTCTGGATCTCATAGTAGAAGACGGAGTAGTTGAGAGCCAGACCCAGGCGGATGGGGTGAGTGGGCTGCATGTGCTCCTTGCTGATCTCGTGAGCCTCGCTGTAGGACTTTTCGGAGGACTCCACCACTGCGGCTCTCTTCTCCCCTGTAGCCACCTCGGCCAGGTAGCGGTAGTAGTCGCCCTTCATCTTCAGGTAGAAGACTTTGCTCTCGTGCTGCGTCTCGTTGCAGTTCTTGATCAGGAAGTTGTCGAGGAGGTTGAGCACGTCCTGACACACGGTCTCCAGCTCCTTCTCGATCTTTTCCCGGTAGGCCCGCACCATCTCGATCTTTTTCTCGTTGCCATCGGCTGTTGTTTTCTGCTCGATGCTGGATATGACACGCCAGGATGAACGCCTCGCCCCGACCACATTCTTGTAGGCCACAGAGAGCAGGTTCCTCTCCTCATTGGATAGTGATTCATTCAACTCTGTCACCTGAGGACACAGGAAAGAAAAGTACTTTTGTTAGCTCAATTGTCTTATTTTTAAGTCAATGCTGACATGGTGATAATATCAGGAACATTAGGCCTTTGTCTGCTATAAAACATCTGCCAGATACTTGTAATGTGATAGCTTTGATTTAGTATCTCTACTGGTCTAATTCAATGGATCCATTTGCTGTTTGAAAGGGAAAAACTAGTAAATGGTGGTCACTGAAGGAATCCTTTGTTTGGCTGTTGACACAAAGCACAATTAAGTCTCGTGTGCACATGTCCTATCACACCACTACAATCTAACTTTAGCTCTAAAAACTGCCACAACTGCTTTGTTAAATCCAACTACACCCCCAAGCGACAGTCTCTGCATCCAGCCGGATAAACCACGCCTCAGGCTCCCTGACATCATCCTCTGATGGCGAGTCCTGATTGGCCGTCTGCCGCTCTGAAAGCTGGTTTTGTTTTGTTAGGACAGGCCTGTGTCTGGCTGGAGGATTTAATCCTTTATACCCCACTGGGACCGTGCAGCAGAGGCATCCTTACAGACCTTTTTTCACGATAAAGCCTGTTGTTACTTTCCTTTTTTTTTAGGACAGAATCCAGCTCCATGAGCGTAACACAGCAGGGGGCCCGGCCCATCCCGTTGAACACAACTGAATATCTGCAGAAAACTTCATTCTGGGTTTAATACTGAGGGGATTATGCTCAGACTCATATATGTAAAAATAGAGAGTCTAGAGCTGGCTTTAGTTTCAAGCTGTTTTGCTTTTAATTTAATGCACCAGACTTGACTTTTGAAAATCCATCTGTTGGAGGCAGCGATTACATAATGCTGCCTTAGTCTTTCACCTCAAAAACACACTTTACAGACCAGGACATCCATGTTATCTGCTGATAATACGTAACAACTTCCTTTTCACTCTCTCTGTCTCCTCCCAGACTTGGAAACTGATTGAGGGACTAACCTGTTTCACACCTTAGATAAACAAAACTAGGCGTCAACAGCCATGCTAGGTGAATTCGAGGCCCAGCGACAAAGCTAACTTGTTGCTTACATTAGCTGGTCTAAAGTTTACTAAGCTCACCACCTTTGTTTAATATGGTAGCACGCCAACATTAACAAATGAGAAGAGACTGATGGGAATGTCATCAGTGCTGTGGACTGATTCTGAGCAGAGAGCAAAGTGTCATTGCAGACCAGGTGCCTCAGGGGCATTTTAATCCAAACTTCACCATGTATGAATCGTTTTCATCACGTTCATTGTTCATTTGGATCATATAACCTTGATTATGTATTATGTAGCCATAGAAATTTTGTTTTGTGTAATTAGTGACAGGGGTGGAACTTGTGTACAAGCCAGTCGGCTTCGTTCCCTCCTTGCACCATCGAAAATGTGTGTGTGCTAAATAAATAAACCTAAACCTAAAGCTTATCAGGTAAGTTAAACAAATATGACATTTGAACAGTTTTTTCCACAAGTTCAACTATTGTATTCACACGGATATTAAGTAGGTATTTAATAATTACTAAGTTATAAGATTACAAAGTTGTTGATAAATACAGTTTCAATAATTGAGAAAAATATTTAAATTTACGTAAATACTGTTGAATTTGACCATAAACGTCTTTTCTGTCCTGCTATTCTCCTTGCTAAGCTCAAAGCATCTGGTGGTAGTTTTCATCAATTCTGGTACCATTTTGACCAGCTGACAGCACAGATTGCCCATGAAAATGGACAAGTGTTCGTGATGAAGCCAAAACCTTCATAGCCCCTACACTGACTGGCTGCAGTTTAGGTCCCAAACCCCGCCTCCTCCATGTTAACAGACCAGTTCCCTTTTAACATGGCCTCCGTCACTGTAGTTTGCTCTAATTCTGCTGCTTTATGTGTAAGTGTGAAATTTTGAGGTATTTGGTTTCAAAAAGATGACTGATGGACAGTTTGGTTGACAGATGCGACTCCTGCGGCCTTCTGTACTGGAGAAGCAGAGTAGAGGAGGGACCAAGCAGCAACTTCCGATCTTGAGAAATGGAGCCAATGTAAAAACAAACTCTACAGCATGAACAAACATGTGAACCGCCTGCTTCAAAAACATTGTGGTCTGAATAAATATATCCTACTTTTGCACACACTGCATGTAAGGTGATTTTTTTTGTGATAGCACATTAGAAGATATTCAAGTTTGGGGTATAGTATAATTATTGGGATGGCTGACTTGATGGACAGGACAGGCCTGGACTCTGCCTCTCTGTAGGTCGACTGAAAGATGAGTCAGCATTTCCAAAAGAACGACTGCCATCGAAAGGCTCCAAAACTTTTCAGCTTCAGAAACTAGCGGGTGTCTGCGTCAGTGTTTTACACAGTCTATGGGAGGAAAAGTAAGATAAAAGAGGTAACACCATAAAAATAAGTCACCAAACTTCTCACAACCATGACTCGATCTGATGATGTACCATCCTAGGGAATCTTATTTGGTTTGTGTGACTTTGGACTGCAAACTCCTTTGCTGCACTACTGCGACATGTCAGTGCCCTCACAGGCAGCATTATGGCTTCACATCTCGTAAGGGAAAGTGTTCTGAGGCTCTCCACTGATCTCAATATAAAGACAATAAGACTCACTGCCTGGTTAACTTTCCGATGAGCTGTGTGGCTGTCAAAAAACAAACAACCTCTACATCTGACATAAGATGATGCCAAACTTCATCAGCAAACTGTCTTGGTCTCAGATGACCAAAAGATGACCAACTGAGGGACTAAGGCAGGGGACACAAGCCTTATCTTCAGGATAGCAGGGTCATGATAAGACCATAAAGGAAACAGATCTCAATTAAGTACAAAACTCCTGATTTTTACAAATATGTTTTGTTTTTTACAATCAAGCTTTTTAGCCTGCTCCTCATTGCAGATATGAATGGGCCCTAGCTAAGGTTATTTGGATACATCGGCTGGGGGCCACAACTGTTGGTATAGATTTGCACCATCAATCTGATAGACGTTGGGATATTTTACTTCTTACTGGTGCAGCAGGGGAAAAAAAGGCAGTTAGATTTATCTTGGGGGGTAAAAACATCTATAAAAACTTGATTTAATGGGGACTCATCTGACCGATATGTCCAAAGCACTGGACCATATAACAGATTAGCATCCATAGAGCCATAGCATAAGAATAACTTTATTAATCCCTGGAGGGAAATTCAATTCAACTAGCAGCAGGACTAGTCATGATTATCCTCATCTACATTAGGGTTGTCCTGATATGATATTGATATCGGATTTTAGATATCGGTCTGATACCAGCCAAAAAACAAATATCTGATTATATCGGTCTGCATCTAAGATCTCCAATATCAGCACTCCAATACAAGCAGTCCATTCCAGACTCCGCTCCAGCACCTCTATCTAGCAGCGCCTGGCTTCAGCATGTTGAGCCCACGTGATCACAACAATAGTGTGTACTAAGGTACGAACAAAGAAGCAAGGAGTACGAGTGATGTAGGCTGTGTGGCAGTATTTCCGTTAAAGTCCGAAACAGACATTCCAGCTGAGTGCAAAATTTGTCATGCACAAGTTTGTGCCAATATCAGATCAAAATCGGTATCGGACGATACTGAAGGCTACAATATCGGTATTGTATCAGAAGAAAAAAAGTTGTATCAGGACACACCTTATCTACATACTCCATTGTTTCATTAACGGTGAGAGGGTTTGCAGTGTTTCATATCCTGTTGTCATCCCAACTACCCAAACAGGTTTTTCTACACTGCTGCCGCAGTGTAGGAAGGGCACTAACGGTTGACTTTCTGAACTTTTTTCAGACATATTAAGAGAAATGCTCCCCAGAGGCTGTGCTGCATGACAGGTTGCAGCATCCTTGACACATGGCCGTGCCTCAGCATCTCGCTCAAGGACACAGGCGCTCTAGAGAGCTTAGACCTGTGACCTCTAAGGTGCATCGGAGCCACTGTGAGCCAGCAGCTGTTTCATCCTTCTTTGGTTAGACTCCAGGAGCAGCTAATCCCTGCTTCAGTTGTTGCTACCATCTCCGCTCATGTAAACCAATGACTAATGATGTATTCATCTGATGAAGTCAAACCAGTCCTCTAACGTCTACACCCACTTTTAAGGCTGGGTGATACACAGAGCAGCAATTACAGCGACACTTCAGTTCAGCAGACCTAACCGTCTGGTTTTATCAGATTACTTGAACTGTAAAAAAGAAAAAGGGAGTGGAGGGCAAAGAGCAACCCAGCTGTGCAATCTCCTGTTTCTATGGCGACTGTAAAATCTGCTTTGTTTGTGAGGGCCATGTTATCTCTCTTGGAGACACAGGCCATAGGCTGCTTAATGGCAGGGATGCTGACGTGGCTGAGGGTATATAAGAGGCTGCAGCGCTGTAGGTGGGGACAAGTGCAAACAAGCTACTCTATATCTCACACCTTTAGCCAACTCACACACCAGGAGTCACTTTGATGGTTGGTTACAGGACACAGACTAGATCAAACGTCGTCCAAACTTCAAGTTACTCCAGCCATGCTCTGACCTTAAACAAGGTATGCAGAGCCTGAAGTTGCTGATGTAAGTTGGCTAGTCTGCCAAATCTCCTGAGTTTATTAACACCACAAAGAGGACAAACCATTTCTATCCTATTTACTTAACATCAGCTTTTATGGATGGTCAGGGTGAGCATGCATAATGGCATACTACTGTTTGCTAATTAAACCAAGATAACTGCAACCAAAGTCTGTGTATTCATGATCACCAGGGGATGAACCTAAATGACTTTGGTTAGGTTTTCAAGCTAAAGCAATGCAAGAGGAGCAGATTACCAGGGAATTTTAGGAGGAGTTCCAGCCTTGGTTGGTCTGCGTGCCTAGCATACAGGTGCATTCATGCTGCCCAGAAGATGAACCATTTTTAATCTGCTTATACACATTTATGAAAACTATGAAGTTCATTTTCATGAAATGATGGATGGCAATGTAAAACAGTCTTTTGGTTACTGTGATATTTTGCACAAATATGCATGATCCCCTGAGGATGATCTGGGTGATTGTTTCTTCTGTACTATTACTATGAGGTTGTTTTTGTGTAATGTGTTGGCAACTACTAGGTGCACTCCCTTCTTAGTAAGGTTGGCAGTGCTTCAGATTATTTTCTAATAATTCTGATGAACTCCATCCGGTATTAGTCCCACTGCAGAGCTCCAGTAGCTCATTAACAATTCGCCTCTGAGTCATGGGCGGAGTCAGTGCTGCTCTGCACACTCCTCTTCACGTTAGCTTGCAGCCTAACATTGCTTGTGCAGCAAAGGTGGCAGGTAACAGGAGCTATTCATCACCCAGACACTAATGTCTTTGGGGACATGATGAAAGCAAATGCTATAATTAGCTTTCTTACGAGCATTGCAATTCGCTAACCCACGCGCTTGTTCCGCGATTGTCCTCTCTATTTCTCAGAGTGTGGCCTGCATAAAGGGGCTACAGGGGCGGAGCTTGGATTTACTATGTCGGAAATCTCACTGTATCTGAGCCTGCTGTTTGGGTTTGTCAGAGATTCACAGCAATTTGAATGCAGAAATACTCAGAAATGCAATTTCATACTTATTTTTCTCATAATGCGTATGAACATGCAGACAACAACAAAAACAGGATTTTCATTGGAGTGGGTCTTTAAACTTCGATTGGTGGTATTCTTTGGTTTTTGACACGGTATGTGTTGAATCAATGACATTCTTGTCAGCCTCAGAGACATTGTGTTGGGAGAGGTGTTGCCCTTTTTTACACTGTAATAAACAATGCAGCACGTAGAAGGCCACTGGCAGGACTGTTAACTTTTGTGCTTGTTCAGTTAGGACTGTTTCAACAGAAGACGTTGTAAAATTTACAACTGGCATAAATAAAACGACCTCTGTACTTGAGTATGAAGATAGGCAGACAATAAAATGACATCTGTTGCGTAACGATCCCACTTACAAGAACAGGAGAAAGTCACCCCGCTGCTCCCCATTAGTCATTACTGGAGCTCCGCCTCAGCTCTTTACCACTCTTAACCATAGCCCATTAACTTACAATTAGTGTCAACAAGTATCTGACCTACAGCCAAAGCAACAAGCAGAGTAGGTCAGTGTTGGAGCAGCAGAGAGGTCAGAAAAACAAACGGCTGTAATAACATGGCAGCCTTTGTTTCAGAGGGCTGTAGGTCAAGCAGAAAGCCCTGACGGAAGCTGCGGTGCCGGGATGACAATGGGCTTCTGTCTGCCCATAAAGCTCATCAATCGCGCTAGCTCTCTCGTGACTCATCCTTGCACAAGGCAGTCAAACTTTCAAACAACTGAGTGTTAATACAAACAAAGGCCAGGCAGGACAATCAATAATTTCCTCTTTGACAGCTCTCTGCGTGGCCATTAATATCCGCAGGAGAGACACAGAAAGAGCTGCGGGGCTGGGAGTTTGAGAGGATATGTTGGGGCTAAGTAGAGGCTGGGTAAGACCTCAATGCCTTCTTCCTTACATTTTCATTTAATGGATTACAATTCATGTAGAGAAAGCTTTCCACTGTCCTGAAGCTTCTCATTTTTCCTCTTGACACGCTTTCCCTCTGCCTCTTCCTCGCTCCTTTTCTTGCACTCCTGTCTCTTCTAACCTGATGTGACAACCCCCCTGCCGACCCTCTTTCACTCAGCCGAGCACAAAGGCGCTGTGGACCACCGGACGTCACAGGCAGTGTGTGAATGGAGCTGGAGCCTGGCGAGGAGAAAAGGGGGATGTGAAGCGGGTATGTGTGAGTCTTAGTAATGATGGTGGAGAAGGAGCTTCGAGTAGCTTCTTGTTGCTATGCTACCATGTATGACAGTCTTTTCGTTTGTCCAATGATACAAGCTCATAATAGGATCCAGAAATAACAGAAATGATGAAAGATTTGGAGACCTAATTGGGCCAGAGAGGCCAAACAAGACAAAGACACAGGTATTGTTGGATGAGATCACGGATGGAGATGCCAGTATGGCTCAGATGATGAGATGCACCTTTTATAAAAGAGGCTTTAGTTCTTCACACAGGAGCTGCTGGTCTCACTCCAAGTCTTGGCCTTTTGCAGCATATCATTTCCTATTCGCTCTTCTTCAAATTCTTCATTTTAAGACCACAGTCTGTACTTTCATCTCTGACTGGTGGTGTTACTAACAATGACAGTGCTGAGAATATTGTGTAATTGCATTAACCAATAAGTAGTCATAGACTGATACAGGGTTTGTGAAGTTTCTCCTTATAGGGTTGGTCTATCCTGCAGCTATCATGATCTTGGTCAAACCTCTCGTTTCATTCTTTCCAGGTCTGCAATAATCCTATTAAATCATTCAGGGGCGAGAAATCCCAAACAAATAAGCCTCATCATGGAGCCAAAGCAATAACCCAACAACTTCGACCATTGTTCTGCTAAGATCAGAAATGCACTCTGTGAACCGAGCAGAAAAAAATTATATTAAACATGAGAATCCAGTATCAAATGAAATGAGGGGGACACTCAAAAAACATGTTATGAAAGCCAGAAAAGTCCTTTTTAAGACAGCGCAACAGAATCCCTCTTTGCTCCACACCTGAAGCATCACTCTGTTCAGGGCCAATGTTATTACATTAGTATAAATGAGAGACATGGACAACATCAACTAACAACGTTAGGAAGAAACTAATTCCTGAGCCATTCAACCAAAAAGAATTTGGTTCTGACAAACTGATGTTTAAAAGTAAAATAATAATCAAAAACTGTCAATATCGAGTTATATTTATTCTACAGAGCCAGATACAGGATCCCTGAGTCATTGGTTTACAGAGTGTGGTTTACACCAGCAGAGCTAGCACCTCAGACCTCCTTGCAGGTTAAAGCCAGTTCTGGTTATATCTCACTTCCAAGGGACTTATATGCCACTTAAAAACTTTATCTCCATTGTCTACATCAAAGTGCTGATGAACCCTAGCTCAAGTCATCAGTCGTGTTAATGTAAGTCTAAAAGAAGCTAACAAGTCATCCACCGTGTTATTTCACTTCAGAAAATTGCCTGGTGTTCACTAAGTATTCTTCTTTCAAGGCTCTTACTTACAGGAAACCAGAGAAACTAATCCTTTTGGACAGATAATGCATGTAAGTGTTTCTGTTAACAGACTGAGCTGGATCAGCCACATTTCTGAAAGTGTACAGATCATAATCTGTTATAATAGACCCTGGAGTCCATCTGCGGTCACTCAACAACAATTGGTCTTTAGTTAATCTCCGAAAACAGATGAAAATCTGCTCTTATCGGTTTCTAAACCCCAACTCTAGTCTTGCTTTTCAAGTTGTTAGTTGCACTGCAAACAAAGGTCACGCAAGGCTAAGGGAGTTTTGAAGTCTTGAAGTCCTGTAATGTTGCCCTCTGGCAAAACAGGAAGCCAAAAGAGTTGCCCAAAGGTCCAGATATCATCACCAGGAGATAACTGACTAGTTCATTGGATTGTCAGATCGTGGATGTAAGTCAATCAGCCTGCAGTCACCCAGTTGATAGAAATTATTTTCATTTTAATTTGTTTTTACTCATTATAGATGCAAAGTGAAATGTAGCAAACTACAATACACTAAAATAAAAAAGTACAACACACAACACCTGAGAGACTGACATGTAACTTTCCATCCTTTCCCAGTGGTCGCCAAGAGTGCTGCTTAAGTGTAAGAAATAACACTACTTGTGTGTTTTTTTCACTCTAGACAACACCCATGAAAGTGAATATCCTGGAAGCAGACATCTGTCTGTACTTGTTTCCCCCTCACTAAGACGGCACTCAGCACCCAGTAAGAAGCAACATGAATACTCCCTACTTATTCCTTTTTTAGCTTGTCCTTGTCCTCTCCTTTGAGCAACACAACAACTGCAGGTTTGGGCAGATGTGATGTTTTACAATAAAGCTAGCATTTATGTCCCGTCACTGTCTGACAGTGAGTCAGCAAAAGGAAAAGTAAACTTCACAGAGAGTGAGTGAGTGAAAGATAATGGGGGTACTCCTAAACTTGGATGTCCTGCACATATTACTGCTAAGGTAAGAAATGCTTTCAGATGTTGTGATATGAGACTGATTTTGTTGAGTGTAGGTGGGGTCAGGTGGGTGTTTTTTGTAGTGCCTCTGTGACTCATCCCTGAGTCAGGGCTCATTTCGGGACACTGACATGTCCTGAGATGACATTGGGCCGCGTTCATTATTGGATTGAGGTTTCGGGGTATGCTCATACTACAGAAATGAACAAACAGAAAATGGCTGCTTCCTCTGCCTTCAGGACAAAAACAACAGGGAAGGCATGATGGATGAGGATGAACCAGAAAACAGGAAGTGGTGGCGGAGAGAAGACAGACATTTTCTGGGGCTATAACCCTGTTTCCTACTTTAGCACACCGACTGAAGTGATCACTTTCTAAAATTAAGCTCATCATGCCCTTCACATGTATTTTAAGATCAGAGATCTCATTTAGCCGTGAACCATCCCCTACAACATGCAGCATCCCACTCACACCCACTCCTGAAGAGACTCTGATCGCTCCTTCATACAGCAGTGGTTTTACATATCAAAAATACGTGCTACAGCAAAAACAACACGCAGCGAGCCTGAGGATTTGGATTTTAGCAGCTAGAACTCAAAGGGGATAAAAATATTATGGTTTAAAGATGTGTTTCTCTACCAGCTGGTGTTGTTTCCCATGGCAACCTACAAATCAGATGCTGGAGTGTCAGACTTCAGAGTAGCTGTGACTGTGCTGTTGATGCTTGCAGATTAGGCTTGGATAAAAGATTCCCATTCAACTTATTTCCATTTAAATACTAGATGTCTGGTTCTTCCTAGACTTACTGATATGTCAACCTGTCCACATGACCTCACTCTATCTAGCCTGTTAGCCAACCGGGACACTTTTCGTTCTCTTACAGCACTAAGATGCTTTCACTTTGTTTTTATTCCTATGATACCAATACTTCTACCACAATACTTTTGCATGACAGGTCTTTTTTGAACACGTTTGCATGTTTGAACCAAGATGTGAGGGCGCTGAATACCCGTTAATAAATACTTTTATGTATTGCACACTGACGGTCCCAACAACAAGCTAATGAAACAGAAAAGCAAATATGTGTACCAAATGGACTTAAAGTAATGTAGACACCACAAGTATCCACCTTGCTTGAAGCCAAAAGATTTAGAGCTCCCCATGATGACGGACTACAGTACATATTACCGCGCCTAACTGTGCCGCCATAATAATAGCAGATAGGAGAATGACCGGACTCTAAAGTTAGAACACACTAAAAACATGGTTCTTTCATCAGCTGATTTATGTCCAAATGCTCATTTTCACAAGAAGTTTTATTCTATTTAGTTATTTGACTTTAACAAAGGCAAATGAGACATGGTGATGTGGGCTCCTGCAGTGGTCTGTACAGGATAAGCAAATTAGAGGAGTAATGGCAAGAGAAAACATAAAAAAACACAGACTGAAAAAATAACTAAACTTTCCAAAAATGTGAGAGTCTGTTTCAGATCAACACAGGAAACTGTTGTGCAATGGATCTTTGATTTTCTATCATAAAAATTGACTGTGTGTTGACTTTTGACCCTGTAATCGTCTTGTCTTTGTTCTTTCCCTTTTGAATTCAGAGTTGTGCAAAAATCTAATTGCGGACACACTATCATGATGATGAAATTGTACATCTGTGCTCAGCCTTTCACGGTACAGACAATAGCTGTTAAACATAATCTTAATGCATGGAGCAGCTGCAGCACAATGCATCTGTTAATACACTGAGCGAAAGAGTCACATATTAGCTCTAGTAAATGTAGTGGAAGCTCTGGCTCTGAGTGCCATGCATCTTCTGTGTTAGTAAAAGCTCATTCTACATGAAGCAGTCAGAGCAGCACATCACACAGTCGATGGTAGTTTGATTAATTAAGGGAAAAGCACGAGACTGAGAATGAAGGCCGACTCTTTCTACTGCACTGATTTAAAAGAGTAAAGGTTGTCGTTTAGGATTTTTATATGCTTCTGATCATGATTTCTTTTAAGTGTTTTAGTTCTTCACCCCTGCTCCATGAATAGGCCTCACTGCTGTACGAATGCTGCTCAGTTCACTTTCATGTCACTGCACTGCAGTTAAATTCATTTGAGTGTTGGTGAAGTTTTAACAGAGATGGGCAGGTAAATAGTGTGCAAGCATTGGATAAAAGATGGATTAGCAGTTTTCTGACTACTGTTGCTATGGGACTTTAGATGTCAGATGCTGGGATTTGTAATACCCCTTTAAGACCGACAGAGAAATGGGTCAAACCCACATCTGTTAATCTGAATGGGGCAGAGAGCATCATTCAAAAGGGTTTTTCTTGACCCTTATCCCCACCAGGATTGAGCGTGATTTGGAAACCGCCCACTCCTGATGAAAAAGAAGGATCTAAGGCTGTTACTTTGGACATTTGTGTCGTGCCTGGGTGGTTCATAGACGGCACACAGTTACTTAACACAGTCTCAACTATCTATGTCTGCGGTTTATCAGTCATTTGCATTGAGCTGCGGTCTAAGTGGACAGTGATGCTAAGGGATTAACTCGTGAAGGGAGAATCGAGTCAAATCGGGTTAAACATGCATTCAGTAAAGCGCATCATACACTGGTTTGTATTGATGGATATTTAAGCCTTCTGTGGCTCCAAACAAGCAACACTGAAGAATATCAAGATGAGGAGAAAATGCCCAAAAACCATGAGGTACAATCTTAAAAAAAGTGACTGATATTAGGATCTATATACTGAGGGCAGCATCTTGTGACTCTGTTCATTTTTAGGGTCCTTTTAATGAACAGGATGAGATTAAAGGTGTTCTAGGTGTGGTTAATATTCACCATTGTAACACTACAGCAGTTTTCTTATGCTGCTTTCTTAGTTACAGCTATCATTTCTGTCTCTAATAGGCAGTAAAAACACATGGATATGGTCTGAATGAAGCTTCCCAGAGGTGTCGCAATCCAAAAAATGGTGGAAATTTTGACTTCCACTAAGCTGACTTTTAGTCAATCTAGAAACAGGCAAAGAGGTAGAGCTGGGAGAGGCCTTTACATTCCTACAACTAGGTAGGCCTGCTCGATGATGGCATCAACCATAATTAGGATTATTGTGGTTGATACTGAGATCACAACAATCAAACTCACTGAACTTATAGAGTCTTTAAAACAGGAGCGGTCGTTTTACCTTTTTAATGTTCCAAGGCACGCCTCTCTGTCTAAGTGGATAATCTTGGATTGACTGGAACTTGGCCCCAAATGTCAGTAAAGTGACGGTGGTCTCTAGGACACCTTCACTCACATAATGCACAAAAAGTTGATTATGGTTGTAAGCATTAAAACTGCCCATCAGTAATAAGTCTTTAGGTGTTTTGGTCTGTATTTGTCACGCCCACTAATTTTAAACAACATTACTTTGTCTGTTTTGTGCGACAGTAGAAAGGTGGTAGTATAAGACAGCTGCATCAGAGGAAGGGGACTGCCTAAAAATGAAAATATGAAAGCGTCATTTAAAGTTAAATACATGACTCTTCTAATCCAGGTGATTGCAGACTCACTTAGCCACACTTGGTAAGGTTTTTCCCATTTTCACCAAGTCTGTCCTGCAAAATGATGCTAAATATCACACACTGTATCTAAAAAACTGGATAGTTTGGATTTATAACTTCTTTTCTACTTAAAGGACTGCACCCTATCACTGACTGTTTCTCTTCACTAAAGGACAGTGGATTTCCTCTTTAATAACTAATGTTTGTCGAAAACAGCTCGGAGCTGCATTATCTCCACCGACTGGACTGTAATGGAACAAAGAGAGACTATTTCAAGCAGTGGGTGAAATTTGGGTGCATTGATAAAAATAGCTCCTTCTTTAAATATGAATTGGTGTGACTTGTTCGTACCAAAGAGCATTTATGGAGAACCAGAGCACTCGTGCACAATCATCAATGCGCATTCTTAATGGTAGGATTATAAGACATCCTGGTACATTTAAACAGCTTGATATGTTTAGGTTTATTCTACCAGACTTTAAGGGTGAGTCACAATTTGATATATTAGGCTCTGTCCCCGTGTGGATACTATGACGTAATAGTTTATTAGATATGCAAACTGAAGCACAGAGTTCTTTTGAGCATGAATATTCAATACTCCAAGCCCCACTGGAAAGTGACTTCTAAAAAACTGATGCATCATTTATGGTAAACTGCATGCATTTAACAGATCAGGCCTCTTACATTATAGGCATTACAGTGCAAAATTAAATTTAAAGTACAGCTGCACATGGTAGAGGTTTGTAGAAAACAAGGCATGGAAAATCTGCGAGGGTTTTTAGCATTATCTCCATCACACTGAGTAACAGTCTGAGGTTTAAAATGCTGAGAGGGACAAATACTTATGAGTGCACATATCACATTGCAAAGAGTACAGTCATGACCTGCTGTACATGCAAATTCTGATGGAGGTATACAAGTAAGATCTCCATCCATTTCTTAATGAAATATGTTTGACTTTTTTGGCTTTTAACTTCCTTGTTACTAGTAAAAACCAAAACATTTCAGATAGACTAAACACAATTTGTAATGTTTTTTTCTTTGTTAAAAATCCAGGAACCTAGTTTCAAAATTCAGACTCTTGGTCTGGAGTTAAATGAATCAAAAGTGCTAAAATATCGAATGCTAATGTTTAAATACAAAACAAAACCTCACATTTTTTTGCAGAGCAAGAAGGAGCGCATTAATAAATACTCCTTGACGTCCCTAACAGACAGAACGAGGACAAGTTGAATTTAGGGCTGCTGAAAAACCTGTGATGTCTCATACAGCTGCTAGAAAATGAATCTGCAGAAAACATGGAGAGATAACGAGTCCCTGCAGGAACACTTTTTTAGGATGTCAAAAAGCAGACAAACCTCTAAATATCTGGAATAAAATCAGAGCCAATTGTATCTTTTTTTAATCATTATCCCTTCTGCAGACTACAGTCCCAGGTGATGAAAATATCTCTATAATCTTCAGTAAATTGGATCTCTGTGTGTTTATACTCTACTAAAAGAAAACAACACAAAATTTTGGGTGGTGAAAGTATACTAAATTTTGAAATCTTGTTTTTTTTATCGTGTTGGGACAGTATTGAGAAAGAGAGAGTGAGCAGCAGTCCTTCATAAATCATTTTGGTTGGCTCTGGTTCAGGAGTGCCTCCTGAGGACGGGTGCGGTGTCGTGTCCTGAGATCCTGGTTATTTGGTTGAGTTGCCACCGGGGCGGTTACCATGTCTGCAGTGGCAAGGGATTCCCCTGAAATGATGGGCGAGGCAGCAGACACACCCCGCTGCCCGGTGCTGCAGAGAGACTGGCTGGGTGAGGGGCAGCTCTCACTCTGACTCGGCAGAAAATAGGAAGGGGTGGAGCCGGGCCCACTCTGACAGTACCACTAGAGCCTGGTCCTCAAGAGCGGTGCAAAGCGTGACCCTTAAATACACTGACAGATTACTTGTTGACTGTTAAAGTTGAAGATGGTGTAGGAAAAGTGGCTTCTACTAATATTTGTTTTACCTTTTATTACACAAACGCTGGCTTTAACAGCTTTGGCTCACTGTTCCTGCTGCCTTAGCAGCTTCAGTAATGAAAGCAAACAGATACTAGATAGTGCTTGGGGAAAAAAATAGGTGAGTGAATTTAGGGAAGATAAAGTAGGTTGAAAAATAAAGTCCTAGAGGCAACATTAAATCTATAAAAGACTGTTTAAAAGGTCATTATTTGTCATCGCAGGCTCTAAATAAACCCCTGTACAGATATAAAGGCCTATCTCTCCTTCATTTCCCTCTCACAGTGCACAACATTTCCCCTGTCAGTCCATCCACTCCTCTATCATCTTATTGTCCACACAGTGCCCCCACAGAGAGATGCAGCCTTTGTGGAGCTGTGATAAAACGCTGCCTATGAAATGGTGCACTACGGGTGGGCCTGTGCTGCATCTTGGCAGATGCTGCGGCACGCCTCTGTGTGGGAACCTGCTGGAGGAGGTCGAGGACGCAGGGATGCGGCTGCTACACACAGCATCGATTAACACAGACGCTCCTTCATAATACAAATTGCACGCACTGTTGAAATAAAAAAAAATCGAGCATTTTTTTTTTTTTTTTTTGCTGCAATATGACATCCACAGAGCTTTCTGGAATGCTGTCCGTCCACCAACACCCACGTCTGAATGAAAGGTGAGCGCTTCGTAGGGTTTTTGTGCGCTGCTTCTGCGCAAATCGATCAACCTTCAGCCAACATTGCTCTCCGTCAATGCGCCAAAAGTGGAGCAATAAGGAGGATGCTGCCTTATTCGCACCATCAAGATGGAGAAAATGAGGTTTTCCTCAGTAAATCAATGGAGCTCAGCATCCTGGAAACCGGAACACGACCATCAGCTCAGCCTACGATGTCACTCTCATCATGGTACCACCTAGCCGTCCTCTGCTCCGCCACTATGCGCATCTTTCGACGAGATTATTCGGATTCTGCTTCATTTTTGGAGCAAATTAAATCGAGAAGACGCTTTCAAAGCCTCTTTCTCGCCTTTTATTGATTTATTCCCCTCTATTCTTTCACAATAAGGCAGCCTGCTCGTTTGTAACGAAGCCTGTCGAAAGGCACCGCCCCAAGATCAAACAGTCCGCAATTCAGACAACCCCAATCCACCGCAGCACACCGCCAACCAAAGCCCACGATTTACTCGAGAGAAATCATTTCAGCTGAAGCTGGTCGTGTCAAAATAGTTTGATAATGTCTGAAATGTTCGGAAACAACCGGGTGACATGTGAAAGCAGGCTTTACAGGCCTTGCAGTGCTGTCCAAAATGATGTTACCCAAACTGTATGAAAACGTGTTTATATCCTGCTTACATTAAGCTCCTTCTTATAATTACAGTCTTTAATCAGAAGTTTAATACACCATTTTTGTCTGGCTTATCCGCTAAACTGGAAATGTGCCCTAACACAGCAGCACCCTCCTTGTCTGCGTATTACTGCCCCTCATGCTAGCTTAGCTTAGCTTTTGATATTTCTCGCATTAACACCTATACAGAAGGGGATATGCTGAATAAACGTGTTGGTTTTTTCTAAGGAGAAAGGTGGCTCCAGAGGAAGCTACTTACCGATTTCATGGCAGCTGCCATATCATCGTACCTCTCCGCCTGCTCGGCCAGCCTGGCTTTCTGCACCAGTTGCTCGCGGTCTACCATGTTTAGGAGTGTGTGTGTTTCTGTCCGCTGTGTTTCGGAGCTAGAAAACTGTAATATGAATGTTTAAATGCAGAGGAAAGGGTACCGGGTCCTCTCGCTGCAGCTGCTGCCTGCTGTCTGTGTGCCTGCCGACGGGACACCCCTCCCCCTCCGAGCACTTTCCCTGCGATTGTGTCACCACCCAAAAAGGCGTGTCTTCACCGAGTGATGTAACGAGCCAGGCAGTCCAGGGAAAATGACAGCACAGCCTATTGCCCTATACTCAGGCAATGTGGGGCTTACACTCCTCATACTGGAGAAACGTTTGGTGTTTTATGTATGGATTTGGTTGAGGATAACACTGCCACATTTTCAAAATAAAGTGCCAAAGTTAAAGCTTGTCTACCCACTGATAGGAAATGTCCTGGGCCTGTGTCCCACCTTACTGTACAGCAGCAATTTTCCTTTGACCTCTTGCTCTGGCTTGAAAGCTGAAACTGTGACAACATTCTTATTTAGCACTGCCCAGTTTTGAAATTGCAGAAACATTGGGAATTTGGCAGAAAGTGTGTTAATGTAGGGCTAAGTGATAGTACAAAGGTCAGGAAATACCTATATGGATATCAACATCTTCAGGCCAAAGTAAAACAACTTGGATTTCTATAGCTGTCTATAGCTGTCTAGTCTATAGCTGTGTCCCAAACTCAGGGGCTGCACCCTTCAAAGGCAGCATACAAACACCGAATGTGTTACAGTGGTGCATCAAAAGGCTTTCCTAATTTAAAGGCTCCTCCACAGGTCCTACTTTTCTTGAGCCATGAAGGCTGCATCAGGTGCAACCTTTGTGGCACCACTTATTCCGTGATTCTTTGCACATTAGAGGGATATTCTGGCATAAAATTGATTTAGGGTCAAACACATCGTAACACCAAGTTAGACACCCCCTCGAGTGATGAGTGCTGCTGACCGCTTGCTTCTCTAGTTATACCGACCTCAGTAATGACTGCAGGATAGCAATACACAGGGGTATGAGGAGCCATAAACAAACCTCAACCAAAACGCAACTCTATAGCCACAAATAATGCTCAGAACAGCTCCTAACTTCATCAACAGTACATATAGGGTCCCAGCCATAGCACTAGCCACCAAACATCTTTTTAACTTTGCCTGATTTCTTTTGGAAAGAGACTAAACACAACTCACCTACTCTCTTCCAGCAGCCAATTGTTTGTAGCGAGACCTCAGGCCAGTCCGTTACCGACTACAGCGGGGTGACACAGCTCAAGGAAGAACATTTATGACCATTTCTTCATGGAAATGCAATCAGACCGAGACGGTAAGGCAGAAGAACCACATCTGCAGTGCAAAATGATTAATATGGTGATAATTACTTAAAGGAAATGATAAAAAAATGATCATAAATGTATTTCCTTGAGCTGAGTCACCCTGCAGCAGTCAAACAAGAGGCTGCTGGAAGAGAGTAGGTGAGATGTGTTAAGTCTTTTTGCTAAAGAAATTCGGTAAAGTTAAAAAGATGTTTGGTGGCTAGTGCTGTGGCTGGGACCCTATGTGTACTGTTGATGAAGTTAGGTGCTGTTCTGAGCATTATTTGTGGATAGAGTGGCGTTTTGGTTGAGGTTTGTTTATGGCTCCTCAGACCGCTGTGTGTTGCTATTGTGCGGTCGTTACTAAAGTTGGTATGACTAGAGAAGCAAGCGGTCTGCAACATTTATCTCTCAAGGGGGTATCTAACTCGGTGTTATGGTGTGTTTGACCATAAATTAATTTTATGCAGGAATATCCCTTTAATACAGTCAAGATAGCAGACTCTCAAACCACGCAGTAATATTCTGTGGAATAGTAGTATTTTACTCAATAGTACTCATATACAAATATAACAGATGGATGCATTGGAATTGGAAATTATCTTTGAAATGTTGGTGATGGTGTTCTGACACGACACTAGCTATGTTAGCTGCTAAACCTAGCAACTACCTGTTGCTAAGCAATAAGTGCAATGTGATTTGATGCAATAAGTAGGGCGGTGACGTAGGCACTCTTCAAAGGGTAGACCATCTCAATTCAGTTCACTCTGACAGGACTACACAGGCCACAACAACCAAGCCCTATGAAGAATGCAACCTCCAAAGTGGGACACAGTGTCCAAAGTGTTTCTTCTTAGCTGCATTCACATGTGAGCAAAACTATTAAGAATTTAAGAAATTTTCATGTTTTTGCTGCTTATCGCACCACAGAGAGCCAAAATTTGCATCCTGGAGTTTTCATACCAGCCCCCTTATAGTGGTATAATTTTTTAAATGATGTCAGGGTGAGCTGATGAAGAACACAGCAAGAAATACTCAAGAAAAACAGTCCTGGGAAAGAGGTTGACAGGGTTTAGATTAAACTCAAAAGATGGAAAAGTAACATTATGAATATAAACAGTTTGAAGAAGGAGAACCACTCTGAGGACATGCAAAGATGTCTGCAAAACTGTGTTTGCTTATAGAAATAATCACAGCATGACATATATCCATTGAACCATTCTTCATTAATTATCAACATCACTCTATTATATGCTTTTAATGTGGGTGTTAGTCTGAAAAACAATTATTGAAATGTCTAGTTTCTGTCAAATGTCTTTATTCTTCAAACCAAATGTTGATCCAAACCCTGCTCTTGTATGACACACTGGATCACAGACAACTTGAGCAAGAGTGTATAGTGTTTGTAGATAAAGATCTTTATGGACATGATGTGTTTGGATTAAGTCTTGTGGTGGACTTTGATCTTGGTGACCCAGTCTGTAGTAAAAGGAATGGACAGTTTGATGTTCAACAGGTTTTCAATGTCAACGTTATTGTTAACTTTCAGTCAGATTAACACATTGACTGTTGTCTTTGTTCACTGAGAAACAGTTAATATGGTTAAATTCTGTCACCATGGTGTTTGTTTATGCTGCCTTGTTCACTTTTGTATTATTTGGTGTCATTAAGACGCACTACTAAGAGAACAGTCCACACAAGGTCTTCATTTTCAGTATCATGCAATGTGATTTTGTTGTGATTTTGTGCTGAACAGATAATTGTTCCTTGATCAGCCATAAGCAGTTACATAAGGCTTGCATCAGCTTTAGGTTTTTCTGGCTAACATTACTGTTTTTAGATGTTCTTTATTATACAGCCTCTTGGTGTTGCAGCATTAGCTGAATGCTAAAAGAGATGGAGGGAGGAAAAAGACGAATAAGAGGATTGACAACTGGTTTCCTAGACCAGTGATGAAATTTCATGTATCCCAACACAGCCTGAGATAGCGATATAAACAGTGCATGAGCAAAATGAATGCGTAAATCTTTCTCCAACAAATGATGCTGATAGATATATGAGAAATTGCTATATGAAGTCATTTGCAGGAAATATGCGCTAAGTGCATGTCTTTCTGAAGCATGTCATGTGAGCCCCTGCAGCTTTAAGCTGTCATAATATACTTCCATTACTCAGACTACTATCACAGTCTCTGTAGTAGATTTACAATCCTTAGGTCTGGGGTGAGTCAACTTCAAAGTTATTGTAGCTGACAAAGTGAAGACACACCTAAGACACTTAATGCACACAGCCGCACCTTACAGTATGTGCTGTTTTAGACTTTAGAATTGTTTCTTCTCAGAGGGGCATTTTATACAGCTTACTGAAGCAAAAGTTTAGTGATCACAAAAAAGGCTTCAGAGTAGTGCTTTTTCCCCAAAATAGATTGAAACATTGGAAGGTGGTGTCCAACATAAAACAGTCGCCATACTTTCTAAATCTGTTTGTGACTCCACCATTATATATATGGTCTGTCATTTTCTCATATTCCTGGTGAATGTAGTGCTGATCCAGGCTCATAACACTGATACGCTGAGTCATTTTATCATGAGTCATCAAACACACCCTCCTCTACAGGACGCACTGTTTCCTTGTGCATGTAGACACTAGACATCTCTGACACTGATCAGTTAGTTTATACTTTGCTCCTGTGCCTGTCAGACCAGGAAAGGAAAATACGAGGGAGGTTTATTCTGCACTTTTTTTCCCTGTTCACCACATTTAAATAATATCTACAGATTCCTATAACACCACTTTTATGCCTCATTTCCAGTTTAATGAAAAATGTATTGAAATCGTCCTTTTTTGTGCAATTCTGAATTGAGCTGCAAAACTAATCTTTAATTTTGATTTAATGTTTAAGATTGAATTTCTTTAAAACTTACAGTAACTGAGGATAGAGTGACAGATTTAGGCTGTATATAAGGGAGGTGACAAAGAATTGACAGGGCATCCACTTAATGGGATGGGACATTTGTGCAGCATACCTGTTTTTAAAGTGAGGGTAGTAAATACAGCACTGAGTCATGTTTTACTTTCTTCTCAAAGGGCACACACACACACACACACACACACACACACACACACACACACACACACACACACAAAAATATATATGTATGTATACAGTGTATATATATATATATATATATATATATATACGTATATATATATATATGTATGCACACTTAACATTACAACCAAAGAGTTATACCAGGACTTGCACCATAGTGTGTGTCCTGAGTTACTCCCTTCATGTCTGTTGGTGTTGCTTTACAAACTCACCTGTCAGCATTCCAGCTTCCTCCCCTTGGTCCCTCCCATCCCCCACTATACTTTAACCCTCCAATGAGATTATCAGATTTTTTCACCACCCATCAAAGCAGCCCCACCTCTGTTAACACCACCCAAAGCAGTCCCGCCTAGATCTGTAATCTCTTAACCAATCATCAGAGCTGTTCTACCTGTCCACCTTGTTCCCATCCTCCAGAGTGTCTCCATCCATCTGGTTGACCCACTGAGCAGTTCAGGCCAGTCTGATCAATCTTCAGGCCATTTGAACTGCACCGTTATCTACCCCCCAGGCCTTTAACATGAAACCTCTTAAGTTTCCAGTCTATTAACAACTAATTCCCCCTTTAGACCCCTTCACCTACTCCGCTTAATGTTCCTGACTAGCCTGTTAGCATGAAACCATGTATATGCATCTGGGGATGAATGACAACATCTTGGTAATTCCAGTGGAGCCAGTGGTTAATGGGAGACAACCTCCAGCTAAGACTTTTTTTTCTGAAAAGTTTTTTTTTTGGCTGATATGTCAGTACCACTTAGACTACAAATGTACTTTAAACAGGCTCCAGAACACCTTCCATGTTTGAACTCAAGACATCCAAGTACAATTTCTACATTTTAATGTGGAATCTGCAAACACAGATCAATAATGTTTATGTCTAGTGTTTCCGTTACATACTGCAAAGCAATTACAGTGCAACCCAGCCACAACCCCTGCTCCACCTAAAGCAACAGTTCAGCTCTTTAATAGTCTTTATCTGCACGCAAGGACAGCGAATAATCAGTTCTAACACTCTGTCAGTCCACTTTAACTCACTTCTAAAGTTGCCAGTTACAGTATGATTGATAATGCATGCAAAAGGAGGTATTAGCTGGACTCTTGTTACACTGGAAGATATGAAAAAATATTTTCAGACAACAGCTAATTGGCTTTGCCAACAAAAGAAAGGATGATACAAAAACTGCAAGAGCTGAATTAGGTGGGACTCTGAGGGTGTTTTCACAGCCGTCAGTCTTTGTTTGGTCTCTATTTGGATGATAAAATGATGCATTGTTGTGCATCCCCCTCAGGTGTTGTTGTGTTTACTGAAAATTGTAAAGTGGACCACACCATTGCCAGGCTGTCCTTACCTCATTAAATTACAGCCCCTCTGCATAGGTAATTAAATGCCATGCATAGTGGTCATGCTTTGCTTTGTAAGAAGCTAGCTTCAGGACACTAGATACTCAGCAACGTGACCAGCTTGGAAAAAGTGGAGGGTCTTGGATGAAGAAGGACAGAGTACCCAGGTTCAACAAGCTTGACAAAGTCCTCTAAACTAAACCAGTTGTTGTGGAGTCCTGTGACGTTTCTGTGCCTATAGTCTTTCTGCGAATGTCAGACTAAATCGGGACTGTGAATGATGTCAGCCTATTGTATTTACATGCAAATTATCTCACCTACCGCTGGAGGGTAAACCATTTTGGAGCCATTTTTGCCTTTACTTGACAAGACAGCTTGAGAGAGTAAGTGTAGGGAGTGGAGAGTGGGGTAAAATTCAACAGTGGGTCATGGCCAGCAGTCAAACTTACTAACACTGTGACAAGGGCTGTGGCTTCAGAGTCAGCAGCTATTTGTTCCAGTTGTTCCACATTCTTCTTGACAATAGCTCAACGGTTTGACTGGGAGCAAGTCAAGACAACCTCCTCTAGGTGTTTTGTCTTTGCTCGATGATTCCACATTTGCCCAACCCAGGCCGAGGAGGGTAACTCCCAACTTGGTTGGGATTATGAAACAGTTTCTTCGAATGATCCTGGTGTGAGAGTACACACATACACTCTAACATAAAAGACACTTTGACATCTCAGGGTTAATCATTTCTGCTCACTACTTTCTAATAATGGTATCATGGTACTGGCACAAGTTAGCAAAACTAAAAACCTGGTGTGATGCACAATTGATTAATAACTATGACAAAAGCAGATACTGATTTATGTCTCCTATTTTACACCAAAGCATTAGTATCCAAAAATAAGAACATTTATTTTATCACATGTAAATGATTATAAGTTACATTTATTTATGTGATGGTTTACAGAACATAAGTAACACAATTATTTGCAAATGGAGTGATACTGCATATTCACAAGATATAACACATTTATGTTTGAGTGGTTCCAGTTTCCCCCGCCTCCATTTGACCTCTGTTAAACTGGCTTTATTTTATTTATTTATTTCCCCTGTTTATATTTCAGTTTGTATAATCCTACACATTTGCTTATTTCTGAGACCAAGTATTTCACCTTTTTTCAAAATAATTAAAAATTCAGGACATCTACCGTATTTTGTCACCGAAGAATCACATAGACAGTAAATACTTTAACATTTGGGGTAAAAACAGAGAGACAGACAGTTAAAAAAAACTTTGTTTTTTTTTTTCATTTATCAAATGAAAAACTGTGTATTTTGTACCTTATTTCATATATTTACTTATAAAGTGCTTATTAGGCATATATTATAGTATGGATCATACTGTATATCGTCGTATTTGTTATTTGTATGTTGTTTGTGGTGAGGTAATCCTTCAGCATGTGAAAGCTGTTATTTACATAATGTATACAAGTCCCAGGTTGGTATGTCTACTTCCCTCCTGGTTCTGCTGAAATCACGACGGTGAGCAGGTGACACCAGCATCTTCAGTGTGGTCACAGTTGTGCACTTTCCAGGATATATGGGAGCACTGCTGCAGGTTGGCCTCTGAACCACTGCACTTGAGATTGTCCAGCTGGATTATTCCTGTGCCGGGTCCAAAGAACGCCTCCCCCCTAGCTGCTGTGGCATCGCCACAGCCTACTTGGCGACACACCACCTGAGCGTCAGGGAGGTCCCAGGCATCATCGCATACTGTACCCCACTCAGAGTTAGAGTATATCTCCACCCGGCCCTCACAGTGGTGTTGTCCATCCACCAGCCGCACCATTCCTGCAAAAAGAGAAAACAATTAGACTAAATGTCACGCAGCCAAGAGAGAAAAAAAGAGATTTAAAAAGTTGGAAATATATTGAAGCTACCTTCAGTGGGGGCTGCAGTGGTTGTGGTGGTGGTGGGTATTGTTTCTGTTACTTTGAAGTCACGTCCATATCCAACATAGAATTCAAAAGCTAGGGAAAGCAGAGGAAGGAGGAAAAACAGTGATGCTCCATGTTCATCTACGGACTCATTACATTTTCATACATTTTTTATTTTTCAACTGCAACAAACTTGTAAAAACTGTGGCTTGCAGCCTTTATTAAAATGCATAAAAGTGTAGTCCTATAGGCCACCTGGTACCAGTGAAAAACAAATACATTATGTAAAAATAGAGTCACCAAAAACTGGATTGTTTTATGAATCATGAAAGATTATGAAAACAGGATTAAGGATTATTTGACCAGTGAATGCACGTACACTTTGACTGAACAGCTTTATTTTTGTTTGATGCAATTTCTATTTTTGTAATCCTGTTGCTGGTCCTTCTTCTATTTTATGCCTCTGTCATGGCAGGACTCTGTCACAAAAAGAATATTCTGTCAAATAAACTTTGAAAAGCAAAATGTGAAAATAAGTCAACATCACATTTTCAACCTGAATCTGGGTAGAGGGTAGCCCGTGTGTGCTTTTGGTTTAGCTTCTAAAAAGTGAAATTTAGCCAGCAGGCATGCTGTGACGCTGATGTGCCTTGACTCATCCACTGTATTTTTTATGCTCCTCCTCCTCCTCAGAGTACTACAGTCATACACCGAAACCGGCCAGCTCAGCAGGGCGGGTACACATGACTGGATGAAAAGGGAGCGTTCAGTGGAACTGATGACTATAGACAGAGGTTTGTGATACAGACACTCCCGTCTATACTGCTCAGTTTTGTGCTTTTGCTAACTAGAAGTATATGTCTAATGAAGCCTGCTTTAATGTAAGAGAGGACTTACGTAAGCAGATAACTCCAGCATCCTCATGATGGCCACAGTTGTGCTGACCCCAGCCCAGGTTGTCACACTGGAATAGATCCCGTTCATAGCCATTACACTGCACATTGTCCAGCAGGATGGGGCCAGAACCATAGCCGAAGTGAGCCTTGTCTGTGGCTGCGATAGCCGGGCCACAGCCAAGAATCCTGCACACCACATTGGCGTTGGCCATGTCCCAGCCATCATCACACACTGTCCCCCACCGTCCTCTGAATAAGACCTCTACACGACCCTGGCAGCTGCTGTTACCGTTCATCACACGAATGGATGGTTTGCCTGCACAGAGATAAATACTGCATCACTTTGAGGGCTCTATTTAAGGCTTGATCAAATATGAAAATATACTGTTTTTATTATGATTTAAAAGCATGCTTTTACCTTTTGTCTGAGCTGTTGTGGTCACAGCTGTTGTTGTTGTTGTTGTTGGAGGATCAGTGACTGGGACATTTTCTGTAGCTGGAGGAAATATTTCAGACATGACAAAACGACTTGATGCTACAATAAGACTGACTACATGTTCATGATGAAAGCAGTTGCAATACTGAACACATATGCTGGGTCAAAGCTAAAAAAAATCCATGGGGAAGAAATGGCTCCCCCTGTTGGTCATTTGTCAGTATTACATCCATGTACTACAAATATCTATCCATCCGAAGCACTAAGATTCAAAGTGTTCTTTTTTTGCACATAATAACGTGTTATGTACTGTGTCTGCTTACCTTCAGTGTTGTATGTTTCCCAGTTCCTCTTGAGTTCAGTCACTGAAGGAGCTACAGTAGAGACCCCTGGAGATAGAGGAGAGGAGAATATGCAACAAGCCAATCTTCAAACTATGGCACGACTTATTACAGCTGCTTCTTGTAAAAAAAACACACCCAAACTAACTTTTTTCATCTAGCTTTTAACCGTTATATTTTCTGCTTTATCTTATGTAACGTTTAACAAGTTTTAGTCATGTCTTGATATATATATATATATATATATATACATACATACATACATACATACATATGGGTTATATTTCTTTTTTATCATTATTATTTTTTCTAGAGAGTGTGTTTTGGTGATTAATTTTAGTAAAATTCATCTTCAGTGTTTTCTAAGTAAGGTTTCATGACAGACTTGTCGCAGTTTCTTGCCTGCTTTCATCCAGTCTTTTATTCTTTTTTTTATTTCATTTTTTCCATTTACATAGATTATAGGGTTGGGATCATGTTGTTTTAATTGTTTGTTTGTTGGTTTGTTCACTTGTTTGATTGATTGTCAGACTGTTAGACTGATAGAAACACAGATCCCAGAACTATATTACTATGATTATAATCTCTTTTTGCTCACTTTGTCAATATAACTCATCACTGACTGAAGGGTTGTTTGATTATAACCACAAGTTAATATCTCTTCCTGCAGTATTTTTATTGCTGCAAGTGTAACCACTATAAACACAAATGCAATAGCAAGTTATATATACTTGATTGGGCAGCCATAATGAACCATGCATTGTGTACATAAAACGAGTCTAAATGTCAGTATTGATATGTTATAGACTCTAAATGCGCTGTTATTTATCTTACTGATGATGGGAGAAGTCCTGACTGGGTTTCTGTCATTTATTAGTGCCACTATGTCCACTAAACAATATTGTACATTCATTAGCTAGCTAGCTACCTCTGGTGCTAATCTGGTGTTAAACAATAATACATAGTTTATGAATGTAATCGCTCAATAAAAAGAGGATTGTTGGTGAACAAACAGAGACACGTCTGGTCAAGGTAAAGCAACACGTTTGGTAGCCTGTTAGCTACAATTTAAGAGGTGATAGTGAATCTGTTTACCTTTTCCTAACTTACCTTTCTACCTGCTAGTTTTACACAACATAAAATATGTTAATCCACGACTGGTGGTCATTGTAGCAAACCAACAATGCTAACATATTTAAACCAGTTAGCCAGGAAAGGCAATAGCAAACAAGGGCCAAAGTTTAGCTTAAACCATTTGTTTATCCCTCTGTCTTCATAGTTCCCTACTCTATCCACTGTTTATCTCTCAATGATGGCAGTGAAAGCCCCCAAATAACTTATATTTGGAAAAAAAAGGACTACAGCTCACAATCCCTTAACAGCTTCTTAGCCTACATCACTATCCTGTTTTCTTAATATTTTGTGATTTTTATTACTGCAAATGGCAAGAGCTGGCTGCTGTTAGCTTATAAATGTCAGACATTTTTTTAACTTGTTACATAGTTCAGAGTTCCTCTGTCTTTTTAGAATTGATATTTGACAGTTGCTTATTGATTGAGCTTTAATAAAATGAGACAAATGTCTGATTACTGACGAGTGTATGATTTGAAACATGTAAAAAAGCAGCTAACAATACATAAGCTCTGAAGCCTCTTGCACTAAGCAAAACAGAAACAGCTGATGAGTGAATATGGTAAAAGATTTATGCATTTTAAACTGAATTACACATACCTGTGCAGGTGACTCCTGCATCTTCATGGTGGCCACAGTTGTGGTTCCCCCAGCCCAGGTGTTGGCATGTAAACAGATCTGGTTCATATCCTTGGCACTTGACATTGTCCAGGAGAATCCGTCCAGTCCCGTAGCCAAAGTAAGAATTTGTGTATGCGTAGACAGCTCTGCCACACCCTATTTGATGGCACACTACCATAGCGTTTTCATAGAGCCACTCATCATCACACACTGTCCCCCATTGTCCCTGGAAGAAGATCTCTACACGGCCCTGGCAGGAGTTCTGTCCATTCATCAGGCGGATGACGCCATCTCCTAAACCGAGAAGGAGAGGAAGTTACAGTGACTGATGAAAACATTTTCTCTTAAACTTTATTTGGATTTTTATATATTTTAATCTTTATTGATATCATATCTGAAATGTGCTGGTGTTCTGGGTCGTCAGAAGAAAATGTACATGTCAGTACTTGTGTGTGGGTGTGTGGCACACAAAACCTAAGATGGGTGGAGAGCAACATGATTCAAACTGTGGCTCCCAACAAAAACTAATCCTGGAGAGTTCAGGTGAGAATCTGACACTGCTCTAAGCAGAAATGTTGTCATGTTACGCCATCATCCAGACAAAAACACACCCTCTCAGAGAAACAAAAGACACTCTCATGTGTCCGTCACTTAAAAATACATCTCACCTGAATGGTATGAATCTCTTTGGCCTCTAGCACCAATTTTTTTTCAAGGCCTCAAGGGAAATAGCAGAGTACGTGAAAGGTTTACCAAACTTTATTCTGTCCAAGTCTCTCATAACCCCCATGGGAATTAATGAAAGAAAGAAAGCGGAGGCTTCAACAAAGGCAAATCCAGCAAACAATATGAGCAGCTTGCAATTCAAGAGGTGTGTGAGTCCCTTTGAAGCTGGAGATGTCCTCAGATACTGTCCACTGCCTTTAACAGACTTTCGTATTGTGTCAAAATTGTTTATTTAAGACCTAAAAATACATCTCTGATATGCACTCAATGTTATTTCTTTATAAACAATAATTTTAGAAATAAACAATGCCATGTATGCCATTTTAAGTAAGCTATTATTCCTTGTTTGTCAAAGCTGGCCTGACATTTTCACCCAAATCTATCATTTCACCTGTCTATAAAATGTATTTAAATTAATTCTGATCCTAAAGCACAAAGAGATCTGCACAGAGCAGCTGTGAGCTCTCTTCCTCTGCATATATTGTACAGTTCTCAGGATTCTCTGTGGTCTAACAAACATTACTACAATTTTTAATGCTATTATGGAAAAGGGTAGATGAACACGTGTGAACCCAAAATAAATCTTATTTCAACATATTACAAACCAAAAAAAAATAGACATGAATAACTTGTGATTAGTAAACAAGAAATCTAACAATGGGGGAGCAAAACTTCAAAGTTATAACTCAGATAAATTTTGCTTGCCTTAAGGCAGATAGTTTCAGCCATTACAGGTAATTCAGATCCTTATTGCTTGTTATCTCTTGGAATAAGACAGTTTTCAGGATTTGTCAGGTGTTTGTGGCCTAAATCAAGTTGAATAGGATACTATTATTTGATACGAGACAAAAATATTTGCTTAGCTTTCTGACTTTGCAGTGTAACAGTCTAATTCTTATTATCAGAGAGACATTGCAGCATTTGTCCCTTTTGTGTCTCTTCAAAGAGACCATATTGGTCCCCCTGACATCAGTTTGGCAGTGGACCTGTCTCATTCAGATAAAAGCAGGAAACACTCACTCAAACCAGAGTTGTCCTGAGGCGGCGTGGTGGGATCCTCAGGCCCTGGTAACCCCAGGCCTGCTGCTCCTGGCAGCAAAATGAGGTAAGGAGGTAAGATAAATTAATCACTTTGTTTTCTGTTTCTACAGGTTTTTTTAACTTGACAGAAGATTTATCATTATGTCAAACAAAATAAGTTGCATAAAATGCTTCACCTCTGCAGGTAACACCCACATCCTCATAATGGTAACAGTTGTGGACACCCCAGCCAAGACTCTGGCACTGGCTGAGGTCTGTTTCTCTTCCTGTGCAGTCCACGTTATCCAGCAGGATGAGTCCTGTGCCTTGTCCAAACTTAGAGCTACTGCCCACTCCCACAGGCACTCCGCAGTCCAGCTGCCGACACACCACATTTGCATCCACCATGTCCCACTCATCGTCACACACCGTGCCCCAGGAGTCATTGTAGAACACCTCCACTCTGCCTTCACACCTGTTACGTCCATTTACGAGTTGTACTTTGGAGAGAAAAGCATATTTACATCAGTCAGAGTCAGTTTTCTGTACATGTTTCTTCACTACTACATTTTCTGTTTTTGATACAAGTGGGGGAGGACTTTCATGCTTTTGTTTGCCAGGCAACTCATTGTTTTGTAAATGTCAGCTGTTGTTGTTGTTGTTTTTTTTTTTCAGTTTTATCGGATATGATTTCAAAGGCTGGTTCGGAACATGAGGCTTACACCATGTAACCTGCACTTGTAGCTGAAGATCACTGCAATGTATTCATATATTCAGAAATAATTTCTAAACATGCATTAGCTTAGTCTTTCATTTATTATGTAATTTTTATTCACAGACCCACAAAACGTCTTGAATTTACACAAACTTTTTCAAGCCAGCTGTCTAATAAAATTTCCCTAAGAGGGAGTTGAGGTGAAATATTTGTGCAAGCAGGCTGAGGGGAGGTGTTTATTCCATGTAACCAGTGTAAACTGGAGCACTGACACTTTACAGGATGAATAAAAACATACAAAGGTAAAAAAAAAAAATAAGAGTCATTTTCATATAGCATTGCTACATGAAAAAGGGTCGTAGCAATGGTCACTGGTGTTTTGTTTGAGGTCATGTTCTGCCTACTCCAGCCTATCTCTGTCCTTGCCCTCTACATTCCCCATACAGTTTTGAAAATTTTATGCTTGAGGGGCATGTGCTAAAGAGGAACCTTAAAAAATACTGCTTCTAAAATTTCCCTTAATAGGAAATGTGTGAAAGAGGCCAATAGGAAGGGAACTGGTTCAAAAGCAGAGCCCTGTGGTACCCCCAGACAGTGAAGATGAAGAGAGCCGATGCAGTCAACAGAAATGTGTTGTTTTCTATTAGATATGAAAGATTTTATCCACAGATAGCCTAGACTTGAAAATTTACAGGTGTATTAGAACAGATAAAAGAACCTCATGTCGTTATCACTGTTTTTAAGTGTTGAAGGACACATACAGAAATCTAACACTGATTTTGAGGAGGAAAAAAAACCCCAAAGAGATATGGTATACTTAAACTGACAGTAAATAGCAAGCAAAACAATCACTGTGGACACAATAGGCCACATGACTCCTTGGATGCAAGTGAGAAGGATGCAGGTGGGTGGGATGTTACACAGCAAATAAGTGGGGATTAGGGAAATGGAGAGCTGGGAAAGTGACCTTGTTTTAAAAAGCCTCAGGCAATGATCTGCCTCCTGCACTCTCCTCTTAGTGACACACAGCCAGCCACTGATAAGTTTTCAGTCTGTGGCCTGGATGAGGGCATGTTTTTCTTCATGGGTGTCAGGGTGAGTGTGGGGGGTAGAGCTGGGGGTGCATGTAGTTGTCTTACCTTGGAATGGTGTCGTCACAGGGGTTTGTACATCTGTGGCTGTAAAAAGAGGGAGAGAGGGATGGAGAGGATGGTAAGATTATTTGCTGAAATGAGGCTCTTGGCCTCTGAATGTAACTGTACTTTTTGTCTATTTTTCTGTAACACTAGACAGAGATTAAAACAGCAACAGGAGGAATACTCAGACCTTGTAGTGCAGGAACAATGAATCATGTTAGCTTAATCCTAACTGGTTTTAGCAGAAGGAAAGACATCCTGAATCTTCACCTGACACCATCAAATGTCAGGAATTTGTGGCTTTTGGTATACTTCCTTCATGATCAAATTTTACATTGTTTAGCTGTCATTCCCACCATAAAAATGTTAGCATGCTGATATTCACATTTAGCTCAAAACATGACTTGTAAGCAGTTGTAAGCATTTCCAAAGACTCCAAGATTCTTCCTCTTTTGTCTAGCCTATACATGGGCTCGGCTAAAAGTTGCCATTCCCACCGTTGGTGCAGTCCACGACAATGCAGAGACAGCCAAAAATGAAAATATAAGCATGCAATGATAGGTAACAATGTTTTTTTTTTTTTTTTTTTTTTTTTCCCAGTTTAGATTTATGAAGGTTATAAAGTAAGGCAAGCTTTTTGGCCATGGCTACCTGTAATTGACAAGCTGTCATGACTAAATAATTTCTTTACTCAGCGGTGAGTGGTATCAAACCTGTCATAGAAATTTGGTCACCACTGGTGCAAAAAAACAAAAAAAACAAAATGGGGATGGTTCTGATTTGCAAAACACAGAGGGTTCACATGGTAAATCTGACTTGTTGTTTTTGTACAGTTTGTTACCCCTCAGACATGTTGATGTAACACATACTTTCCCAAGAGTCACGCTAGAAGAATCTGGACCTGTTTGCAGGTCAGTCTGACACCTGAAGAATAAAGTCTCGGGTTTCGAGAATTCAAAACGACACCACAGGGACTTAACGTCACACCCCATTCTAGGTCAAGACAAGCGTCTCCTATTTGTATGTAACAATACAACATGTATATTACATATACAGCTTCCTGCTTTAGCTTAAGGGGTTGGTAATACATCTGTGAATGGTGTTGAGTGCTGGTTTCATCCTGGTTTGGTTGGACAAGGTGTTCAGGAGAGTAAGGGAAATAAGATGGGATTACTTACATGGTACAGCTCGTCTGCTGATTTTCACGTCTCCTAAAAGATGAATACAAAAAATGTTAGTATTGTCCAGAGTTGCTTGCTCTATGAACAGACAAGAGGAGAAACAACTTCAAACTTTTCTGTTCGGACCTCTTTAACACAAAGAAAGATTTGATTATATAAGGGCAATGTGAAAACAAATGTAAGTGACAGCAAAGACCTAAAGCTCAAAGAGTGGGTGTCATACTTATTTTTAGGGTTCATATTGTCACCCTAATACCTAACCTGCCATTACTTACATCTGTATAAACTTCTTCATGTATCTCAGGCTGGTGTCATGAAAAACCTCACTCAGCCTCTCTCTGAGATACTCCTCATTATGAATGGTCCTATGTTTGGGACCCTGATTGGGACTTCGGGTATGGGAAGTTCGGGGAGGGAACAGTAAAGAATTTAGCAGCAATAAAGAACACTGTGGGACATTTCCGTTTGGTAGCCTCACATTTATAGTGCTCTTTTTAGGGAGGGCCACCAATCAGTGATATCACAAATTGAGCAAGTCCTGTGTCCCTCTCAAAGTAAAGTTTGGTGTATAAGACACCTAAAATACTTTTTTTGTAGTATTAAAAGTTAGCTGTATCCTGTATCTTACAATGCTGTAACCAATATGCCAATAAAAAATAAAAAGAGAGTTAATTTGTTTTGTCACAGCAAGCGTCTATTGATGCAAGCAACCATTGCACTGTGCAAAGCATGATTGATACAAAAAGGAGGTGAATCAGTGCTGCAGCATCACTTTTCAACAGCTTTTCTCCATCATTTGGTCATAACTATGCTCTCAAAGAAAATTGTTGCTATTATGGAGCTCAACCACTATACTGATAGCTTTCAGGATGGCAAAAATAGATGGTATTAAAGAGAGCTTCACAGTTGCATGAAAATTGCACATTGTTGACTTTGCTGATACAATGAAAATCAATAAAGCTGAAACATTTCACTCTAAAATACATATCTTACATTAATTTTCATCTGACTTTTTAGACAAGCAGCCTGCAAGCTCACCCTGTTCACAAGTTTAGCTAACAAATTGAAACGTAGCCCATTTTGTTAAATTGAAATCTAATATTTGAGCTTATACTTGTTTTTGCGAGGATGTGATAAGGATGCCATAATAGGAGCCAAATCTTAACTAAATCAGAGTTACAGTGATTGTGATGCCCCGTATGTCAATGTGCCTCAATTATAAGCTGTCCTAACAGATATTTGCAATGTGCTATCATTGTAGATTTATTATGGCTGCTACTGGCACTAACTGTTTGAGTGGAACTAATATTACAGTTGTTTATTATTCAGCAAGATGTTGACAATTAAAACAGGTCAAAACACTGAATAGGGCAGTTTGTTACTATGAGAATCTCTCCAACTGACAGGGGTGGATATTTATTTATATTTCTAGTCTTTGTTGATTGTAAACCCGGGCAAGTAAGATGTATAGTGCTGTGAAATGTGGACACTATTATTAAACCATTATTTCATTGTCAATGTTAGATTTGCTTAAGTTTTAGACATGTAGCAATAAGGAGATAATGTAACATAGCACCTTCATCAAATATAAAGATTAAAGATAAAAGATGCACACTCACCGAGTCGCAGCAGTAGACTGAGGGCCACCAGGACCAGTGTTCCCAGCAGAGACACCAGGAGCCAGACGGCCGGGTTCCAACACCTGCACTCGCTCTCCACTACACGCTGGCCTCGCATGGCTGCCTGACCAACCATCTGCCTGCAACGCACGTTTCACACACTGTCAGTCCGGAGAGAAGGGGACACTTTTCTACTACTACAAAACAATCTGGATTCTCTGTCCCAGGTCAGAGTAGCCTAATTATGGTATTGGATTGTTTTCTCCATGGGAGCCTGCAGCTGTTGTTGTTGTTGTGCTGTAGTTTATATTGATGATAGTCTGGGTCAGGCTTAGAGTGCATCTCAAACAGAAATCTATTATTAGGCTCATGCAATAGACATCATCTCTGTGGACATTGGTGAGCTGTAAGATCTCTTTGTAGACCAACACCTCTAGAGGAAACCAGGAACAAATTCTTGGCAAAAAAAAGAGTATCTTTCAACAAAAATCCCCAGAAATATGGGGTCCAATTACACTGCTGTTTTGTGAGCACAAAATGGCCGCAGCTCAGCATCCTGGCAGCAGCAGTAAGGTGAAGTCTGGACTAGGGGGCTGAGGAAGTTTGACCTTCGAAATTCCTAGAATGAGCAACAGCTGGGGATTTCTTGTGTGCCAGACAGGCAACAGACACCTGTGGTGTTTGATAATCCAGGGGATTTTCCCTCACTCAGAGAATATTGGGGATCCACCATCGATCACTCAATGATCAGAGTGAGATAGGACTGAAGGTGGTGGATTCCCAACATACTTTTGAAGTTACAAACTTAGATGAATTACTGTCATCTTAAACACTTATAAAAAAGGAACCAAAGTTATGTATAATAGTCATTACTGACCAAGTTACCTGACTGAACAAGAGGTATTTCAAGAGTGTTGTTATAGAGTATAGAAAAATAGACATTGCTGGGAGCTTTCAGTATATGTATCACTGCCTGTTGGTGTTTACAGTAAAGAGCTGTTACATCATAAACAATGCAAGAAACAGACCTTGTGTATATGATCTGAAATGGAATCTCAGAGTAACATAAGCTGACAAAGCAACTGTCAAGACTCTTATTTCGCTGGTTTTATGATAGATGGACACTTGAAAATACATGTGCAGATCCTTTATAACCCACAGCCAAAAGTGTAAGAAAATGTTCTCAGGAACTGAACAGTTCCTGTCAAGCTTGAAAGCTGGCAGTTTTTGACACTTTCCTACAACAAAACACACGAGTCCTTAACAGCTTCTTCAAAATGTCCACACCATCCACAGTTCTCTATTCCAGTGAGAGATAAATCCAAAGTTTGAAGACGACAACCTGCAAAGTTCAGTCTCCTTTAATTTTGTCTCGACTAGGCCCAGAGAACAATCAACAAATCCTGATCAGAGGACCTCAGAACCCTGTCGGAGTCCTGGCAAAGCTCCTGTGAGAAGTGCCTTTCATGTAACAGACTTAAATTGAGGCTGATGCCTCTGTCCAACCTTAAAAAGTAAAAAGTCATCACCTTAAAAATTGCTTACTTCAATAAAAAAGTAGCAAAGAGTTCAAAGAAAATGCTCAGTTAATAAAGTTATTCACAAGATCCTTTAAACTACTGACTGTATAAAACATGGACGTGGTCTCTGGTGTGTGAATCAGAATTCCCATTGAACTGAATGAAACCAGTAAAAACAGCAGACAGGAAGTACTAATGTTCAGGTCATTAGCACTCTCAAACAGGCACAAGCTCTCAAGTTTTTGGGTTCAAAAATAATTCTTGTAAAATATCAGTTCCAAAAAAGTCTGACCATCTTTCAGAGACCTGCTACTGCAGCTTTAGGTGTCTCACTTCCTCTCTCTATTTTACGGCAGGCGGCAACCTGCACGAAGGACCACTACCAGTCCTTATAATGAACCAGTTATTTACACAGCATAATTGTATGCTCTTTCATAATACAATTTCAGTATTTCAGATTTTATTAAGATGGATAAAGATATAGATCATTGAACATGTTGACTTCGCATTAAGGATGGGTATTTAACATGGGTGTTAACGGGGTCTTATTAGCTTTTGGAACCAGCCTCATAAGGAACCTTGAAAAACTGCACCTTATAACACTTCCACATGGGTGCCATGTTTGGCATCAGAGCTTGCTCCTTGTTTAAAACAAACCATGAATGATCATTTATTGTTGTATATCAGTGTTTATGACATTTTTGGAACTGTTTTGTAAAAGTAATTCTACAAAAGCAGCGCTGAGATAGTTATTGGTTCTCAGGCTACGGCAGTGCCAATATTTATTACAACAGAACCATCTCTCTCTCTCTCTCTCTCTCATATTGCCAAAACAAAAACTGATAAAGTGTAATATTCTAATGGGTGTGTGTGTGGAGGTTAGAATGGCTTAAATCCACACAAAGCGTCCAGTAATGAACGAGATGGTGCTCTCAGAGGCATGTTGTGATTGGGAGACCACAGTGTGTGGCTCGGCCTCAGGTTGTTTGTCTCTTGGCAGATGCAGAATTCCCCCTGACCTTACCCAGGAATGTGTATTAGGGGATGATGAGGGGAGAATTTGATATTGGCCCCTCGAGATAGTGGACATTCCGAGCCCAGGGGGCACAAAAAGACATTTCTGCTTTCTGTGGTCCCCATCGTCAGGCATAAACGCTGCTTCCTGCAATCTGTCACTAGAACCCTCCAAAACGCTTAGGCACCTGATGACACTGCAGGGGCGCCTCTCGTCTCCTTGGAGTGCAGGAGGACAGGGAAGAAGGGGGGATGTTCAAATCTTGAGCAGATGTAATGCACACATACAGTTATTTAAAGCTTTTGTGAAGACTTATCAAAGTCTAAAGACTCCACAGCAGCTAAAACACAACTCTGTGAAGTGCAGAGTTCTTACAGGGCCACACTGTTTTTACTGGACTTGTTGCATGGTCTCAAAAATGTGCACTACAGAGGGCCTGAAGCCCACAGAGAGGTCATTGTGCTTCCAATTGGGAGGTGGGGATTTTAACACCAGCACAGCGCTCAAGAACCACGGCTGGCTCATTTGCAGACTGTACCAACAAACCACTCGAAACTCTGGGACAAATGGCTCAGTTATGAGGGATGAAAAATAATCTAGTCCCCAATGTTATGTTTTTCAATACTCCATTCATTCTAGGATGTAGCGCAGATCCGCTGGGGAATAATGTTGCCTTTTGTGTCGGCTCTGCTTCCCCTCCCTTCTCACTTCCCTGCGCTGAGAAATAGCTGAAAGATCTCAGCCTCACAAAAATACCCCTCAATGTCTGAGATAAAGCAGAGAATAACGCTGACAGTCTCTTTAACTAAGAGGATGTGAAGTTATTTAAACAGAGAATTATGACATTTGTCAGAGCAAAAGCAGACCACAGTTCTAAAAAAGCATTGAAATGCATTTTCTGCTGAGCTTCTTTTATGTGTTTTTAACACAAAAAAAACATCTAATTGAATGTTTAAGTTATTGTTAAGTAATTTAAGGAATACAAGGAAATGTTAGTTAATCTTAAATAAAACAGGTATAGTATAACATCACCATGACCATCATTGTGCCACTGCTCCTTCACATGATGTTAAAAGTAAACTAATTGAAAAAGCAACTTGAATGACAGAGTAAAGCTTGATTTACAATTCCAAATAAGCAGCTTAAATGTCACATACATACTGAAAATATGAATGTTTTTTACAAAAAAATGAAGCATGCAAACAAAATTTGAATTTGAAAATCACGTACCTGTTGTAAAAGTAATCGTCACCCACAAAAAAATGGAACAAAAATTTGAATAATTATTTTTTCAATACCAAACAAAGTTTTTAAAAAAATTCCCAGAAGCTCAAAGAGCAATAAATTAATCCCACAGGTCACACACACAGAAGAGAAAGCAGGTGTAGAAGCTGATGAAAGAAACTCAGGGTATCCAGCGCCACTCGTTTACGCTCTTTCATCTCCTTAACCCTGCTTGACTATAAGTACCTGGCTCCAGTGACAAAGATTACGTAAAACAATAAATACCACTGCATTGTATGGTAATATTCTAACGCCCTGTACCTGTCTGTGTTTAAAAAAAAAAAAAAGCAGGAGGGGCCACAAAAAAGGACAAAGACAATGAAAGCTAACCCTTCACTAGTACCCCTGCATCTCCAGTTTCAGGTAGCGCTCACAGAAGGTGCGGTCCAGCTCATCTCTGCAACACACTCTCAGAGGGACACAAGGCTGGGGCTCAGATCCTGTCTTTTTGTGTGTGTGTCTTTTTGAGTGTGTGTCTTTTTGTGTGTGTGGACAGGACTCTCCCACACTGACGTTCTCTAAGGCAAAAGACATGTAATCAGGATTATTCCACCTGTCAGTCAATGAACATATTACATCTTGTAGAGAGTTTTGAAATGACACAAAAAATGACCACAAAAAATGACAAAAGTACATTTTTATGGGTCCACTGGATGTTTAATTGTCATAAAACAGTTTAAAAAAACCCACTTTCATTATATCATCATTTTAATCAAAATTAAAAAAAAAAATTAAAAAAAGTATGTATTTATTGACAACAGGTGATTGACACTATGGGATCCTCCATATGTCTCATATTCCTGCATGAACACCTGTTCATTTGTTCCCCTAAGCGTCACAAAGAAGCTTAATGTGTCAAAATGTCCTCATATTTCACACATACAGTATATTCTGTCACTCGCATAGGTTCTCAGATGGAAAAGCCAGAGGCCTCTACAGATTGTTTGGAGACAAAACAGCAATTGCTTCCAAATACTAATCCTCCCTGAATCGTGGAGAAACGTGCAGGCTGTCCACGGCCATTGACAAGCTTTTCAGGGACCAATTCAGGGCTCCTTCCTGAAGTGTCACCCAAATCAGAAGTTGAGCCAAAACACTCAGATTCTGTTACACTAATCTGAACCCCCAGGATAGGATTGAGAAAATACAGCACTACAGAGAGTGAGCGATGGATTGAACAGAAGTCTTAGCTTTTCTTTAAGATGGATTTTGCTTTTTGTGTGTCTTCAGTTTTTACTTAGAGAAAAAATAACTTTCTGAGCTGATAATGATTCAGCTAAGATTTAGCTTTAAGGTGGAAAGCTAGCAAGCAAGATTATTACTATACTTGCATTGCACTTATCTATTAGCTAGTGTAAATTCAAGAAGTGGAATATGGTTCTTATCTATGCACTACATTACATTAGAACTTATTTTACTTAGTTTTTTACTTGTCATCTGACTGTGTTTAATATTTGATTCTGAATGGTTGACAAATTATTACAGCGGTTAAATAGGAAAGGATACAACCAGATCCCACATATCAAGATTAATCCACAGAAATGGGTTACTGCACATTTACTGTAGCGTACTGTGCAAGATTTCACCTCCTTTAATAGCACTGCTAAAGAACGTGAGGGATCATTTAACGCTCCCATTTCACCTGGAGAGCACAAAACTTAAGAACAGATGACCAGTCATGAGCAAGGAAGAAGAGATGAAGAGGACAAAAAGATGTGAAAAGGGGCTGAGTGGAAGAGACATCTCTCCAACTGAAGTAAACAAACACCAAGCAACCAAAAACTGATGTGCAGCATGGGCTTTGGCAGAGTTACTGTGATAATTAAGTGAGAAGAATTGTCCACAACAGGAAAAGGAGATCTGAAACACGTGCTGCTGTCATTTCCTGCATTTGTTCAGTTTAATGTGATTTCACCTCACAAATGAGCCTGTGCCTAAAACTTCTTAACAAGCTAGGAAAAACAACATAATGGCAGGGATAAAGTCAACAGCGTGTTTAGACTTCCAGCTGTTTGATAGGGTTTAGTTGTTGTCATGCCTTTCTGAGGCTTGATGGATTGAGGTCCTGATTTTTTTCATCTGTTGTTTTTTCTTAGACCACACATGATCGACAGAACAGTGGAGTTAATAAACACACATGAGAGGCAGACATACTAGATCACAGAGTTTGTTCACTGTAAAGAGAGGGAAAGCGGATCCTTGATTTTCATAAACAGATGAAGATAAAACACCAGAATATACAGTCCATTATATTCCATCCCCAAGGTACAGATAAATGTACACTCCAGGGGAAGATAGTGTTTCTCTTTCTTTATGACTCCCCTGTCCACTGAATAACAACACTGCTGATATTTTAAACAACCAGTTACCACAGTTTTTATTGTGATTTTTCAGAAAACAAACCTTTAAAGTCATTTTCATTTGTTCCCTCTTTGCTGTTCCCTAGGCAGACATAACATTCACCCAAGATGTGCAATTTACATCTGCACAATCTGCCCCATAACAATGTGTTACAGCCCATACTCCTGTCCACTTGTTATGTAGGCCTACTGTTTTTCATCATTGGCAAAACACTTACTCCCACTCTCTGAAATTTGATGGTAAAATGTATTCATTGAATTGATAACCAGAGTAAAACTCTGTATTTTTGTTGATCATCTTTGCAGAGCACTGCATGTGTGTAATCTGCCAATGAGAGACACAGTGTCTGCTACTCTGTTGCTGTCAGTTGTTGATGTAATGGTGATTTAAACTGACAAAGGCCTGGTGTGAGTTCTGTTACATTGTAAAGCAATACAAAAACCCTGAAATTGCATTACTTGTTTTTCTTTGACAGAAATTTATCCAATTTCTTCTGTCATTTTGTTAGTTGAGTGTACATTTCTGGGCAGCAATTGAACAAACTTCTATTTATTATCTTATTACCAAACTTACTTGATTTATTTTGAGGTCAAGAAAACAAGCAAATAAGATTAGATCTCTAGAATGTTCTGTGCTACTGCTCATTGAGCTAAATGAAAAGAGAAAACAAGAATAGAAGAAGAAAGGTTTGGAGAAGAGCCGTCGCCTCCTCTCCCTGCTGATTTCCAGGGCAGAGATTCACACACGCTGAACAAATGGGACTTTTTCCTGTGGGATATTGTGACGTTTCCAGGAAAACGTCCTGTCAGTCATGGGTGATTTGATGAGGTCAGCTTTTGTACCTTTTCTTAGAGTCTGGGTTTCTGATCTCCAGCTTGACAGGAATAAAGCCGGAGTAGGCTCCTGTATCCCCATGGGCTATATGTCAAGATGTGCAGTCCTGAGTTATCTAAACGCATTTTCCTTCTGGTTACGAGGATCTTGAGTTTTAACTTGACCCACAAAGTGCAGAGTGACATCCTGCCACTTTTGTCTTGGACAATTCTTTAAAATGGGTCATGAAGACAGGTATTATTTTGTATCTGCAGGTGTTGAAATTGTGATGCTCTTGTGCACACATAAAGAACTAGATATAGAGGGGAAGTACAATAACCAGTGCAGTGCAGCAGAACAATAAACATGCTCTAAAGAAGCATTAACACATCAATTCTGATTCTGATTGTTACCCTAGCAGGCTACATTTTGACATGGAGTCCAGTTTTGGATTGCATAATGGTCATGGACTGTTCAATTAAGTGCTGTAATCTCTTGGTTTGAAGAGAAAAGCCAATGAAAGTTGCACTTGTTTCCATTTATTGAATAAAATGCTGGCTTGAATGTAATTCAGCCAGAAAATTAACTACCAATATTTAATGCTAAAAAAGAAGCCAAAGCAGCAGAGAGAGGAAATAATGTAGTACCTTCATCGTTCACTTGGGACTGCCTCTAACAGCCAAGGGTTAGACACCTGTAACACCCATATCAGAATGTCTTTTCAAAGGCACAACTAAGCATGTATTCACTGTGGTTCAAAAATTGATTTCAGACTTTGTGATTAATTTTTTGTGAAAACGCACTGTATGGTAGGTGATTTTTTTTTCATAACTCGCTCAGTAGCAGGATAAGGAATTATGCATTACTAGACATAATTTACGCTAAGTTATATTTTTATGGGCTTCAGCTGATTTGACTGACAGGGGTAGCTTGGTACATTGCCAAAAGGCTGGATGCCTGCTTCAGTTTTACCTTATTTCCAGTGGTTAGACTGATTTAAAGTTTTGTTGATTCAGAATTCCTCGTGTGGGGAATATCATTATTTGGCTTTAAAACAACACTTCTTGACAACACTTCGATGGATGAAGCTACTGAGACTATGTGTATGATTTATTAAATTCACCATAAATATATAATTCTACAGACCTCTGAATTAATGGTCTGCTTTTGCTCATCCATCCATCCATCTATTATTATCTTTTCACGCTCATCCACACAGTCTATGTTATATAAAGAGTTAGTGTTGCCGGAGTGACCTATCCTAATATGGTGCATAACTTCCTCTTAAATCAATGGCATTGTTGAGAATTTATGATGGTGTAGTCTACAGCTAATAACACTGTTTGTGAGCGCACCCTGATTAATATCCGAACCCCATATTTACACGCATGACAACTGACCTCTTACATAATTCATGCTACATTTTTCATGGATATTTGAGGCTCATGAGACAAACTGAAGTTCTTTTTTGTTGGCGCGGGTTAACTCTACCCTCACACTTTGACCACACCCTCTATTTTTGAGCTGTTGATCCATATGCCTTACAATCTTGTGCTCCACAAATCTCTACCCACCCTATAACTTCTGCAAATTTCTATCAATAGCTCTTCCATAGTTCATTTTATGGTTCAACATCAATTAAAAATATTATATTATAAATTGCCATTGATATGTCGTTTAACCTTATCCTGTATGAGGTAAACTGAGGTAAGAGGTGTGGTACAACATTTTCAAATGAAGCCTGATGCCAGACTGGGCATGGTAGTGCCATCGCACGGCAGGATGCCCACTGAGTAATGATGTCAAAAAATCTAGTCCCAAAAGACTTGAATATAAAAGAGTGTAAGAGGACACCAGACCTGCCTCTGGTTACTGGGCGTGTGAGTCAAACAGTTTTATTTCAAACACTGTAACTCTATAAATTACTTATGATAAAACATCATGTTATATCAAAGCAGAAGACAAAGGGCTTGATGGCCAACTGAGACACTCTGTTCTTGCAGGGGATCAGATCATATCTGACTGAACTGCAGGGGTTAAAATTTTAAAAATAGCACAGTATCACTTTTACCATAGAGAAAGATACATATTCCATGTTTTTAATTGGTGTGAACTAGAAAGTTAAATGTAAATCTAGCATGTGCAAAGGAGGATTTCACAGTAGAAAGTAACTTCAATAGATAGATAAACAAAAAATGTGTGTGTTTATGCAAATGTGGGTGGATCAAACTCACAGATGGTATCACACTGAGCTGTGTCAAAAAACTGCAAGCAATATGTGTCACAGCATGTTTTGTGTGAAAATAAAAGGATATAAATGTGCATCGTTATTAGATGCATTGCCTCAGATCAAATCTGCAAACACAGATCAGATACAAGAAGTGTGCAGACAAAAATAAATCAAAGAAAGACGTAAAAGCCCTGCGGGATAAAACTGCATGTTTCATGTTCAGATTTCACCACAAACACTGGATAGTAATTTGCCAGCAGGGATGTTTTTAGGAGTATCATTTCTGCAGATATAAAAACGCTGTCAGAGGCAAACTGTGTTGAATGATTAAGGAGCTGCAGCGAGGAGTCAGTGGGATTTTTTTTCTTTCTTTTTTCCTGCTGTGCCTGTTTTCCCCTTCTCTCTCTGTTTCTGCCTCTCCCCAACAGTCTGCCACACGTGAGCAGACAGAGATGGAAATGAGAGAGGGAGCAGCCCAAGGACGCCCAGATAACACACAGACGTATGCTGAGTCTTCCTGTCTGTTTCTGTCTCCCACCCTCGTACTGAACATAAGAGATGCTTTCAACTACAAAATGCATATCACTGGTATGAAACAATTTCAACATTGCTCAAAATAAAGCATAAATTACTGACCAATACTTTTTCATATGAGGGCCACCTAGTGGTCAGACATGGTGCAGATTGCCTTTTTGATGGATTTTGGCAACATGATATTGAAAAGGTATGTACATACCTCTGAGGATTTATATATTTCAATATGGCTGACTTTGCCAAATAAGAATATCTCAGGAAGCTTTTTATCAGCCTCCCAAGGATCATATTAAACATTCCTATTGATAATATCTTCACATACAGGACAATATGAGATAGAACAGTGGGATCATTACAGGAGCTGTACCATCCCAGGCTAAAAACATACTATGAAATTCCGCATATAACTCTAAACGTTTAAGTGTCACTGAGTAAGTGTTATTTTCAACAGAATAAGAGGATTAAAGCACAAAAGAGCCTTTTCCTGTTGAAATGAAACCTAAGATCATTTCTAGTAACACAGAGTTCAGGAAAGTAAAAGCAAATGTAGAGCACAGCAAGCTCCCATGGGGATAAAAGCACCGACTACATCTACTGCCAACTCCAGGGTACCTTTCTCTCCCCAGGCACTATGTGTCCTTAGCTGCTCTCTCATTAGCCGCTTACCCTCCACACCTGTTCCCTGGTCAAGTCCATGGACACGTTTTCTCTGCCTGTATCACTGCATATCTGCACCAACAAAATCCTTCTTCCTGTCTTACAGCAGATTTTTATTACAGCGTGCGTGCCTGCCAGTATCAGTGCAAATTTCCCTTTGAACTTAGATTTAGTAAGTTTATTTTCAACCCTGCCTGCTGTTCACTGCCTGCTGCTTTCTGTCTCCTTCTCTGTTTGCCAGTTATCCAAAACTGCGGCACACAAGGGATGCTTTGTGAAGGCTTTGAAATGCATACAGACAGGCAGACAACTGTTTTTAAATGAATACACCAATCCTTACCGTACATAAATGTATAAGTGCATGCAAGTTAAACAAAATAAGAAAACTCTTCTGTTGTATACAGTCCAAACACTGATAAGTTTTTATATTTATTTTCAAGAGCTGTCTTTTAAGAGTTCAACAAAACAAAAATAAAACTTTTGTTCCTGATACATGGGCCAAATACATGGTCCAATGTCTGCCCAACTGACCATCAGTAAGATTTAGGTACTTAAAAAGCATAAGGGATGGCTAAAAATGAGGGGGGAAATATATATATTTAACCCTAGGACACTATTGCTAAAATTAGTAACACCATCACTATCCCCAGGTGATTTTTACTCGAAATAATATACCCAAATTTCTTTTCCACCCATTACCGGGACATGTGAGTCTTCCCTGGTGAAGACTCAGGGTCCTTGGCACAATAACAGCTGCAGGAGACAGATCCAAAATTGGGCAGATTTTGAGTGAGTAAAAATGTAGGAAAAAGCAGGTTTTGGATCAGGGAAACAAATATGCCTTTAAAGATGTCAACGGCAATGCTGAAACTACCCAGGGACCCATGATACTCAGACAAACACAGTATAATGAAAATCACGTTAAGATGTTTGGTCGGGTGAAAATCACCCGGCGATAGTGTTGTAGGGTTAAAAAGATTCCAAACAACTTTGCCCCTGAGCAGAGCCGGCTCAAGGCATTAGCAAACTAAGCACCTGCCTAGGGGCCTGCTATAAATAGGGGCCCCCAAGAGCAATCAAAAAGAAATAATATTAATATATATATATATATATATATTTTACATGTATGAGTGGTACTTTCTGTATGATCAAATATATATTATCGTGAAAATAAGATAAAGTAAAAACATTTCAGTGCTGCTGCTGATGTAGGCCTATGATTCTTATTGTCTATATGTCAAAGCTCAGCCAGCGTTATGTGCCTTCTGCTGTGCAATGTGCACTGAGCATCTAAAACACAGGTGGTTGTGGGGCAAAACAGTATTGCAAAAAAGGACAAATCCTTCAGGAGCAGAGAAAAGAAAGAGGAAGAAGAGAAAAAAACGCCAAGATAAAGGTATGTTTGCATGTCATGGACTGTCAATCAAAGAGATTTGTGAAGGTGTGTGAATGATCAACAATCAATATTATTGGCAGAAATAGAGGGCCCCAATACCAAATTTTGCTTAGGGCCCTACTGAGGCTTGGGCCGGCTCTGCCCCCGAGTACACACGTCTTTCTATTCCAGCTTTGTAATATGAGTCTTTCACCACTAGTGGTCATCAAAGTATTTTAAGTTGGTTTGACTCAGTGATTGCGTTGCCTTCATGGTATGTAGGTAACTATACGAATCCAGTACGTTTCGTCCTCGTGATAATGAATTTATTCATCGATAGTTCATAAGTATTACTATAAGTCCCACTGACTGAGTTTAATGCTTCCATATAATGTCCTTGTTGATTTTGTTAAACTGTTCACCCGCCCTTTTACGATTTTAATATTATAGATATACATTTCATCATTGTTCATTATGTTGTTGCAGTAAAATTCAGTTTATCAAGAATAACTTTAAAAAACCAATTGAAGAGTCAGATGTTTTCAAACATAACAGTCGTTTCTGAATTGCAATGTATTACTGTATTTGTTGAAAGGATAAAGACGGAGCTGACCTGAACGCAGCACAGTGTCTGGCCTGGCCAGCAGAGTGACGCTGCTGGACACAGACTGTGAATGTGACACTAGTGTCTGACAGATAAACAAACCCGTCGTGGGTGCATGGCTCACTGAACCCGAAACAATTCACGCTACTCGTCTAGTGTCGCTCGACAGGTTATTTAACCTTTAAACGGGTACATTGGTTGAAAGTGGCTGACTTTATTGATGAAAAGTTAGGAAAGAGTCTGCTGAGAGGTGAGTTTAACAAGTAGTTGCTAGAAAACTTAACGGTAAGCTAACAGGATGCTGGTAGCGGACCGCTAACTTGTCAGGGATGCATGTTGTGTTGTGGTGTATTACTCCAAGTTTTTCATAGTGTTAACTGCATTTGTAGCAGCGACTTGACAATACGAAACATGCCCAATTTATGCTAGTTAATTAGCCATTATTCAGAGCCCCCCGCCTCGGTAATATGACCCGTCTCCTTTTGCCCATATGGACACCGCTATGTAAAGCAGCTGGTGAGTAAAATTGGAGTAGAGAAAATTGACAGGATAGTGATGTTAGTGCTGCACAGGAGAAGGTCAACAGTTCACTTGTTGCGTCCTCAGCTGGCTACTCCTAAGCTCCATTAATCGTATCTTCTGTGCAAATAGATAATGTAGAGTTTCTTCATCTGTTCTTGTCAGTTTATCAAGATAGTTAGCTCTGTTATACAACTGTTTTGCGCAGAGAGACAATATTTTAATGAAGTCAGGTTTAGATGGAACATATAGCATAAAAGCATTGTACAAACAAATACAAACTATTCAATTAAGTTATGAGGACAAGGCTTATGTAGATGTATTTCTATTGTGCTATTGAGAGGCTTTTCAGGATAAATCATTCTTGATGTGTCAAAAAAACAAAATCACAACCTTTCACTGGTGGATTCATTGTGCTTGCTCTCCAAAACTTCAGGAGGATGCTTTATTATCTTTTTCTTAACCCCTTTTCCAGCAAAAATGTTAAACCATCACTTTTCATCACACTTGAAACTAGAGCCAGACCGATCTTGATTTATTTTTTTTTGTTTACATTTGGGCCACTTTCCAAATATATGCCCATTGCTGAAATGATGGCTGACTCATATGGTGTGTCCCAAATAGCATAGCTCCATACAAAAAATGAGCATACCATGCATACTATGTACTCAGTCGTGCAGTGTGCGAGTTTCAAGGGTGCAGTGCTGTCCCCTGCACTCTCACTGGAAATGACGACGCGATTTGCCTCATGTCTGAACATTTATTGTGCATAACAGAAAAATAAACTATTTATATATAAAAAAGATTAGAACAAGAAAACTAAAGATACACTATTTACATGTGAAACATTTCAAACTCGGTAACTAAAGATAAACTATTTACAAATTAAGCATTTAAAACTAGAAAGAAACTATTTACAAAAATGTACAAAAATTTACATCTGAACAAAGCTTCTGGGTCGACCGACGCCGATCCAGTGGCACCACAGCTGTCTGCAGCCATTCTTACCGATAAGAGGCGAGTGTCCACAGTCGCGTACTCAAAATCTTGGCCGGTTTGAGTAGGTCATCTGGGTACTTTAGCATACTCAATTTTTGCACACTATCCATGCTTTTTTCCATTTTGAGTTGAGTATACTCAAAATTTTAAGTTTTTAGTATGAAAATATGCTATTTAGGACACTCCTATAGCCTTTAGATAGACTGACTTATAAACTGTTTCCTTTTAGCTTGTGCACATATTTTTCACCTATTATGGCTCAAATGTACTAAGAAGGCAGCATTTTGTAACAAATAACTATTATAGATTATTCAAAGGTACTACTGCATGCTACGTTTATGCACAGCGCTGTACCTTTATACACTCAAAATAGACCTTAATATTAACTCCAGTCTGTTCAGCAGAGATTTAGGGCTGGAGATATTGCTGAGAACATTCTGAACTTTTGAGTTGAGGTAGACTATGCTACTCAACCTGCATGATAAAATCATCTTCAAATTACCCCCAAAATTGCTTTCTGTATTACATTTTCTGAAGAAAGTGTTTTGGCAAGTACAGCAGACAACAAAAAGACCATTGCAGAAATCTCTATCTCCAATTGGATGATGATGTTGGCAAGATGTCGGTCTGGCTCTAAATAACACAGCCTGCTGAAACACAGCTGAAAACACAGCCCCCCTTTTTTTAACTAAAGTCATCTAAATCTTTCAGCAATGACTTACCATTTCTTCACTCATTTTCCTCTCCTCCACTGTCTCATCTTTCCAGTGACCTGGTGTGATAATTGCATGCTGCATGTCCGATAACCACCAATCACCCACCTGCACCTCCTGTTCAGTTCTAAGGCACTGCCCTTCTTTAGATATGCATATGTCTGGCCATTTCTTGCATGTTGTGCCGTGACTGTTTGGCATCATGAGGAAAGACGGGGATAACCCTCTGGCGTTGTCATCCAAGAAACCATGCCAGAGCCAGACAGAGTATGGGCGAGAGCTAGAGAGGCTGCGCGCTGAATTGGAGGCAGAGACGAGAAGGACGCAGCAGGCCCGTGGACTGCTCTGTGTGGAGCTTAGGCACCTGCGGGAAGAAGCGGAGAGGGAAGAGCAGAAGGCTGTGAGGGAGCTGACAGCACGGCGAGGGTGCCAAAAGAACAGACACTCTGACAGACACAGGAGTCTGCAGGCAAAACAGGTGAACAGTAAAGACAGTAGAAAACACACTGGGTCTACGGAGAAAGAAGAAACGTATACAAAGCTGGAGCAGTTGCTGCTGACACTGTCTGAGAAGGTAAATGATGAGCTGATTGACTATAAATTGCATCACAGGTCGGATTTTGAAATAGAAAAGGCTGCCATTCTCTGCCACCTGCTAGAGGCTCATGGAGAAGCATTACAGAGGAGGAAAAGAGGACACCTCAGAAAACCAGCTTACTCAGACAGCAGTACCTCCTGCCAGACCAAGCCTCTCCTGACCTGCTCCAGGGCCCTGCCTCAGAGACCCCACAGTGTCTCTCATTCCCCAAAGAAGAAAACCAAACAAGACCAGGGACAGCAGCCTTCGGGGAGGGCACCAAGTGCAGCTGACCCGTGCACCATCACTGCAGTTGTGGACACCTGTCAGAGCAGCTCTGTGGATATTTGTCACCCGCTTGACACTCCCCATGCAGGCTGGGACAACCAGCCCCCATGCTGCTCTAAGTCCTCTGGGCCACACAGGTCACCGCCCTCCAAATGCATGGACAAAAACATGGAGGTAAGCTGTGTCATATTTTGAATCCCTCAGATAGCTTCTGAATGAAATCATAGAGCTAGTGTTTCTGTTAACTTAGAAACTGCACGAGTGTGCATGCATGGGCAGACTTCTGTGGTCCTGCTCTGAGAGCGTACAGAGTAAGCTGAATATGTAAGTGAATCACAACCACATGAAAACTTATTTCTTTTAAGCACTTTGTCACATGCAGACAAGAAATGCTTAACTGTGTTCACCCAGTAAATCTTAGTCACATGGAAGGGTAGACAGAAAGGCTGCCAAATAGGACAAACAACAGCTTTTGCTTTTAAAATCATGATCGGATTTACGGCAGAAAAGTTTGCACAAACAGGAACTCAGTAATTTGTGAAATAAAATAAACAAAAAATCGAAAAACAAATGAAAAAATTAGGATTTCAGTATATTGCTGTACAAAGTTAATTCACATTACTTTCTTAATCGTGTACTTTCCCAGCTTTGTATACTAACTCTGCTACTAAACTGTGATGTGATCGCTCGGATTTTATGTAAACCTAAAAGTATAATTGGATTTCTATGGAACATTGTGTATCAGCTCGATGACTTTCACAGCAGATTGCTTTATTGACATCTTTGGTTTTTGATTAGTTTTACAGCAGTTGTGCAGCGGGAAGCTTTACATGAACTTGTTGGCATATTAAAACCATCAAAACCATCGTAGTAAAGTTGCCAAATTACATTCAGAGTGATCAGATGTGCTTACCAAACCACAGCACCAGTTGACATTACACAGGAGAGCTCTTACAACAGTCAAAGCATTTACAGGCGGGGGTTGGCAAGCGTGCCTGTCAGTACAGTGTGTGTAACTTAAACTGGCTTTTAGTTTGTAGCCCTGTCATAAAGTGCAAGGTTATTTGCCCCTGATGGTAGATTTGTTACCCTCACTGCCGTTCAGGGCTCATGAATGCATTCAGTTCAGTGCATGTTTGTGTGTCAGCCTGTTTCTGTAAAGCTCCAACATGCAGACAGCAGAGGGGCATGTAAGAGCAGCTGCAGCTAGAAAAAAAACGCAGTAATAGCTCAGCGTAGAGTTTTTCATTGCATGGTAGAAACACGTACGTATGGAGCGGCGAATGGCCCACTGAAGGTTCTACGCCAAACAGAAATTCTGCCTGTATCTAGTCCTTGGTGGTTGTGAATTTAGTTCCTTCTTAGGGTCATTTTGCACCATTGTTACCTCTCTAAAGCAATATGGAAATATTCATTTAGCACTTTGAAGTGGGGCATCAGTCATTTTTGAAGACTGGTGAAGACAGCCGAGAAGGAGAAGGAGGGAGCTATGCAGAGCGTGAGTGGAGGGGGTGTTAGCACGCTTGAGTGTGGGTGGATCTCTTTATGCCTCTTGTTGGAGTGGCAGAAGTGGGTCATTGGGCTTCCGACTCTTAAATTTTGGATCCCGTTTTTACATAAGGAGGTTGAATAATTAATCAAAGCGTCACCTGATTATACAACAGTGCCCACTTGCCAAATGTCACAGTTGTTGTATATTTCTCCTACATATCCCACATATGTACAGCATCTTCATTGTTCAGCAGCTGGCAACAGATTACAGTTTTGAATGAAGAATCTCATCCTATCTTCTCTTATTTATTTTAATCTTTTTGTTTATGTGTATTAGATTTGAAATACTTTTCATTTATTAAATTTGGGGAAAATTTTACACTTTGTTCTGAGTAACACATTTGCACCAGAAACAGGATAAACAGAATAGATTCCCAGATTGTCTGTTCCGCTTTACTGACATATTTACATGGTGTTTGGATGGTGTTTGATTCGACCTGCATACATAAAATAAATAAACAAACAAATCAAAAATTGAATACAAAGGCAGTCAGTGTTAAGGGGGAAAAGATATGGTGTAAAACAGGTCAGTCATAGATATATATTGCAGTTAGGGATGACCGATATGATATGGCTTCAAAATTAAATAATTGGTATGTGCAGATATTTTCATAATGGTTCATACCAATGATAAGTTATTATTTAAAGTTATCTGCTAAAATGATGATGCATCAGTGGTGTACACACGATGATGTCCCATGTTGGCTTTTAGAAATACCGGTGTATGTATCTGTATAGATGTTGGTTTTGGATTAAACGATTTTGAAAAAGTTGGCATATCAGAAACCAGCAGCAATTCAGTATAAGTACTCCATGGGATACAGAAGTGGTGAGTAAATCAGAATGTCTTTCTGACTCCAGATACCAGTGGTCTAAAGACGTGCTTTTATATCTAAAAAGTCAGTGTCTCTGCGACAACAGTCAGCTCTCAGTAAGCTTTCTGTCCAGTTTTTTTCCTCAATCCCCACCATCTGACAGAGTTGCTGGGTTGCCTCCCTCCTCTGCATAAAAAGAGAGAGAGTATTATGATGGACATATTTGATGTGATCTTCAGTCTCATGACAGGCAGCCAGTAAGATAGATGTCAAGTAGTATTGACAAACTCTAAGTGACATGCATGGTGCTCACTGGATGCTCCCCATTGCTGCATGTCTGCGACATATGAGATGGACATATCAGCGCGGTTTTGTTGTGTGCTGGTTGTCATGCCTTCAGCATCTCTGTTCTAGGTCAGGAACTAAATTTAAATTACCAAAGGAGCTGAAGCAGAAAAGAGTAGTGTTTAGTAGAATTCACCTCATGGTTGGTTTCAGACTTCAGGCGACTAAAGTCAAAGACATGTGAGCACACTGCAAATAAACTGAAATGGAGTCTTTGAGAAAAGCAGGGAGCACATTGTGTTGAGCTTAATTTGTTTGGTCAAGGCTAAATTTCTGTATTCCATTTCTGCCTTCAAAGACCAACCTGTTTTGCTTGTTTTTCCTCACTGTTTAATTTGTACTTCTGCCTTTCAGTGCATTTACAAACATTAAAACCCTGTCTTATACTAGAATGATTGTTATTAGCACCTGATATTGGTAAAAGTCTGTACACATCACAATTTAGAATATTGAAGTCGTCTCTTAAGTCTTTTTTTGTACCCTGATGAAATACAGAAAATAACAGCAGCACCTGTATGGGGTCATCTTATCCATAACTTTTAAAAGGTTAAGTTTTCTGTTTACTTTGCCAGTCCTGTAACACTGCTGAAACCCATAACTTGATGTGGTTTGTGGTTGCATGTCTGGTTCCCCAGTGTGGTTGATGTTTCTGTCACTTAAACTCCCCCCTGTGCTGTTTTCCTACTTCTTTGGTTTCCTCTGTTAGTGATTAACCATCCATTAACCACCAACAGAAAGTTTTGTTCACTCCAAATGAATTAAGAGTCATATTAAATGCATCACTCTTGTTGTCTACCACTGTCATCCACTAGAAAGTAACATCTGTGTTGAATTGGCAACAGAAGTCAAATACAGTTCACTGGACTTGCTGTAACTTCTCTTCTCAGCTTGGGTTGACTTAATATGATGTGCATGAACCATCAGGTGGTCCATGACTGTATTCTCACGACTCACAATTATTAACCATTGCTGTAGAGTTTGGACCAAACAGACTCAAGTGTGTAACACATTAGTTAGAAAGCTGGGTAAAAATAAATATAAAATCTTGTCACCCAAGCTTACAGATAATTTCTTCCACCTTTTACAGCCAGACAAAGGAGAGTAACTCTTGTTCCAGCTCTCAGATTGAGCCATTGTTAGTCCTATAAAAACCAGACTGATAAAAAATTCAAGCTAAATGTCTGTTTTTAACTTTGCTGCACACAGTTATGAGTGCTGTGACCTTTGCAGGAACAGCGGGTAGACTGCTGCACTTCATGTAGCCACATTTAAAAGCTTTAGCATGCAGTGAGAGTGGAGAGCAGGCACAGAGAATCAAAACTACTCTTGACCTGCTGCTTATGAGTTAATAATAAGCTGTGAACAGAGTTTTTTGAGGAATACCTGAGATGAAACATTAAATCACTCCACTTAAATCACTCCACTAAGGGTATTATACTTACTGTGACTTGCAGTGTAACTGTATACAGAGAATGAAAAATAGACAAAAACGCATTTGTGGAATATGTAGGGTATCCTTTATCTGATATCCTTTTCCTTGTGGTATATACTGTGTTTCATTATAGGAATGACATAATTATCTAAGATGATTTTAAATAGCTAGCCTTGGTCGCTGCTCCCATTTCTTCTCATGACAGCATATACGGCACAGCAGAGCAGAAGAGCTGCTGCTGCTCTGGTGAACATAACCAGCCATTTTCCACTTGAGTTGATTGTGGTTGAACTTTTTTTCACTTGCCATTAAGCACACTCTGATCCGATACCCCTGATCATGTTCTGTATCCATGCTGACCTTGTTCAGTCGTGTGGCTACAGGCCATGACATGACTGAATGTTCCTTTTGTCAACGCCATCACTAATCAGTGTTTCTTGATTGCAGTTATTCAACCACATCGTCATGTTACTTTACTTTAAAATGACCTCCTTGCAGTGAAATAAACACACCATAAATTAGCTCTTTTAACAGACAATTAGCAGGAGCAAGACCAATTGTCAACTTAATTTGTGAACCTGCACTGAGTTATTTACTGAGTTTATCTTTTGTAGCAGCAAACTTCTGCTTCTCCTGTTCTCTTAATGTCCATGTCTTAGACTGAATAACTCCAATGTTCATTCATCACCTTGTCGGACATCCACAGTAAAACATTTAAATGAGTCCCGGACTGGACACTCTTGTTCCCCTGCCTGCCTCCTGCAGCCTCCCCTCTGTTGCAGTGTGAGCTACCTCTTGAACAATCAATAGGCAGGCAACATCATTCCAGCGTCATCTCCATGGAAACGAGCCCTAGTCGCTGTAATGATTGGGCCCCGTCTCAGAGCCTGCCTTTTTGTGATAGGACGAGGGGAAGCAGTCCTCCCTACCCCCTCCTCCTAGCGACACTCACTGTCTCACACACACATTTTTCCCTTCGTCCTCTTTCTTCACCTTTATGGCGCTGTAACTGAGATGGGATTAAGCAAGCTGTCGAGTCCCATTGAATCCAGATGAAACGCTTTTTGACCCTGCAGCATCAATAAGGACAGACCGACAGCTGAAAAGTCAACATGCCACCCACATCTGAGCCTCACTGAGGGACCACAGACTGGAGCGGAGACCTGTTAGTGAGATCGCGCTCTTGTTTTTCTCCACATCATACGTCTCTTCTTGTTTGCTATTTCAGTTGGGCCTGCCTGCGCCTTTTTAGCATTTGGTTGGGTAAGAATTCGACTGGTTCCTTTTTCAGGATATCTACTTTGGACAATACCTCCTCATACGACAGAGCAGTAAGGCACGAAGAAACAAGCCATGTCAGATGTAGTGAGCAGGAGCCTAAATCTAAAACACAAACCACAGGATGCTCAAGAATGCTACCAGGACCAAGAGTTTTACTAAATTACCTCTACAAGCGGAAGACGAAGATCTGTAATTTCCCTTTGGAGCTGGTTGTCCTCGTTTCGGGAAACGTCACAGCGTAGAAGGAGGAAAGAGGTACTTTATAGCTGCTGGTTTATCTCAAACTGTTTTATCTTGGCACACAGACTCTTGCTGTAACACCTTCACTTATGCCATATTTGTCAGCTTAAAACCTACTTTTAGGGATTTACACGTTTGAGGCTTACGTGAACTACTGACAACCATGGCCGTAACAGTCTCTCACTTGATTTCACACTCTTCACCTAAGCTGTGAAAAAAAACCTCCTTCATATGGACTGTTAAAAAGAGAAAGGATAGTGTCATCTTCATTATTCTGAAGCCAATCTGCCACAGCTGATCCCTGATACTCTTCTTCAATAAATGAAAGTCTGCAATGCCTTGGTCTCAGCCAGGCACCTCATTTGATCATATTGATCCAATTCACGCTGTGTGACTTTGACTGAAAGTGATGTATGACCTGTGCACTCGTCCCGAGCAGTCTGAGCCCACACCGGCACCTGCAGAGATGGAGGGCCGCGATGTGGCTGATGCTCAGCAGGAGATGAGCAGGTCAGAAGAGCAAGATAATAGGGAACATGGGCTCTTGGACAAGGCAGTCCCAAACACGGCCAACATTACGTCAACATCATTGCTGGGGAAAAGACACCACTCACTTTATGCAAACCTCAATGGCTTCGAGGCAGAGGGTATACGCAAGGTAGGTGTGAAACTTTTATGAGTCCATCACTGTCTGTCTCCTTTGAAAACAGGAACATTTTACAGGCCTTGAGACTTACAAATAGCATCCTGTACTTACTCCAACAACAGTTTAAAACCTTTGTTTACCTTCTATAAAACCAGTCAAGGTTTCCACATTTACAGTGATGTCAGGATACAGAAAAAGGCACAATATAATATAACAATAACTATAACTATAACAAGCTGAAAATGCCAATAGGTTGGTAGGTTGAGATCATTGTCTAGATTCATCCAAGAGTGTGTTTTAGAGTGTGTCGTAAATATTTTAACATTTGAAAAAGGAAATTAAAAACTGGAGGCAGTTTTTTTAAGGAAGAGTAAACCTGTAAAATCTGCAGCATTCAACATTTGGAAAAGCTAGTTTGGCAGGGTCCAGTGGTCCAGCCTGGCAAAGATATGATATATTGATAAATGTCCAGTAAAGCATTAAGAAATGAAAAGATACAAGTGCTCATCAGCCTCTGTATCATTGAAGAACAACCTGATGGGCTGGAAAGGATACAAGTATTAGTGCCATGTGAATCTATCGTCATGAATCTAAGAACAGAGTAAAAGACTGGGTCTAACACTTTCCTTGCAGGAGCAGCAGCAGCATGCTTGTTGACTGAATACATTATAGTTTAGGCTGGAAGAAAGACGGCTTCAGTTACATTTTTCCTACAGTTCAGTGGAAAGTTGAATCTATTTCTGTACAGGAATCTGAGCTTCTGCCGAAGTTTGCTGATAGGACTTTAAAGCTAAATCACAAAAAGAAAATTACAGACAGTCATCAATGATACAGTGTTTTTGAGGTGAGAAGTGAGGTTTGACACAAAGTTAAGTGTAGCACATGTTCTTGACAGCAACACCAGGACAGTGCCATAGCTCAGGCTGTTAAAAGAGAGAGTTGGCTGGTACCCAGAGAACTGGATGTGACCTTGTCCTCAATTTCACACCTCTGTGTATCCTGTTAGTGTGTGCAGAAGATCCACTCAGCGGAAGACAATTGAAAATCAATGGGAGATCAATGAGATTTCCATGTAATGCATTGATGCCCATGCGGCTTGTACAGTGGAGACATCAGTGTAAGGAGCTATCAGAGTTACTCACCCATATTCTTTGTGTCATTGAGAAGATAAACCCACCAGCAAAAAGGAGAGAGGTCTGGTCAATGATTTGTTTGAGGAAAACATATGGGACCGTGATTTGCTGTAGTGTAACTGGTTCAAACACAGTTCTTGTAAGGATGATACTTTGTAAAGGAAAACTTTGCAAATAGCAATTCTGTTTAAGACTGTAAGGAGCAAAACATGAGGGCAACGTAGTCAATATGTGCCATGCTGAGATGCTACTCAGTTACCCACATGCTCTTAACAGTATACACTTGCCTGTGCCCTTTAAAGTCACATGCTGTATGGTACAGTATGTTCCTCATCAAGTAAATCAAGAGAGAGCTGATAGCTTATTTGAATACATAGAAAACAGTTTGGAAACTCAGTTCTCCTCATTAAAAGACTCCTAGCATTTCCACCAACAGTTCTTTCTTAAGAGCCAAGTCTTCTATGTCTCAAATTCACTGGTTTGAGTAATCTTTAACTGAGGCGGAATTTCATCATTTAACCAAGGTAGTAATCAGTGTGCAACATAGCTCTCTGTCTACCCACCCCCACTACTTCATTACCTATTCACCACAATCACAGTGTAGTAAAAACCCTAATGAAGTGTCAACAACAACAACACAGGAGAAGATCTGCAGCCACAGAAGTGGGGAGGCAGCATTTAGTGATGCATTAGACATAATAATTTGGCCATTTCAGACCAGTGGGGGTTTGCTGTAAAGCTTTTCAGCAGGAGGCTGCCACTGTTAGATTGTTCGTAATTACACCATTATTTATATTGGGGATACCATTATTGGCCTTTTGTTTCTCTCATCACTAGTTCCACACATGATTAATGATTGTGTGCACAGGTTTGTGTAGCAGGATGTGGTTTCAAGAATAGTTATGCTGGACTATAGTTAGTCAATAATTCTTCATGTGGAGAGTGAAACACTAGTGTAAAAAGCAAGAGCAGGTATAGTAGTGCAAGAGGAAAGTGGGTGAAACTAGGACTGAAAATGGTATTGAGCTCGACTAAATCCCATATGATTTGGCTGGGTTAAAAATGGAGTATGAAAAAAATGGATGGTTTACCGTATAGGTGGTAATCATCAGGATTCAATGATCCAGTGTGGTTTAGGCCTCAAAATAAAAAGTTATTGTATGTTTTGTATTTTATATAAAGTTATTAGAGGACTGTTTGGTTAAGTAATTGAGTTAACACTTGGTAGTATATTTGTTTACCTTTTAACAACTAGATAAGGACATTTATATCTGCCATTTCCAGCACCATCAAGGACAACCTTGGACATAAATTAATAGCTAAGAAATGTATTTACTTTACTATTAACTATCATCGTTAAAGTGGGTAAAGTTAGTTTATAATGATTAATTTGGAGAAACTTAAAGGGAAAAGAAATCTGACTTCTTGGCTTTAGTGATATTTTTATGGATATTTCATTCACAGTGTTTTCAAAACATGAATAGACATGACAAAACCAAACATGAATGAAACAGCTTTGGACATTAAAATTAAAAGCAGACATTATAGACTGTGCATTTAAACTGGGTTTGTTAAACCTAGTCTGAGGCAGCCAGTTGCATAAGTTGCATCCATCATGAGAATTGTTGGAATTGATGTAAAATTGTGAAAAACCCTGCCTGTAAGTACACAATTAGAAAAGCAATCATCAGCGTTAGTCTTTACACTTAATGGAAAAAAAGGGCATTGGCCCCCCTCAAGGCTAATTTGCTTGTTGACTGTGTGGTCCTCTGTGATCTAGACTCTTTAACACCTGTCTGGATACCATATGGCAGCCTCTCTAATGATTGTTGAGTTTACACACAAGGCGCTCTAAAGCTACATAGAGATGAGACGTAAACAAAACCCCTTTTCCCCCTCTCACTTATTTTGCTGAATATCTCATTACTTAGCTGTGATCCCTCTAATGTTAATGAAGCAAAGGCAGACAGCCTGGGATCCTTTGAAGACAGATTTTTGTTTTTTGCAGTGCCTAGGAGTCTCTGTACTTCTGACGCACGACTAAGCTCTTGTCACTGCCCAATCTGCCAGTGAAAGCAGTTAATCTTGACGCTTCAATAATTAATGGTCAAATAACAGCTTTTTAAGGATACATGTGGAATATTTTGTCCACACACAGGAAACGCCTCTGCTTGGGGCTTTTCCTGTCTTGTTATTAAGTAACCCAAATACCTGTCTCTCAGTCTGGCTTGAGCTGTTTTTATACAACTTGTTTCTACAATGTATGTGTTGACTTGTCAGCAAAGTTTCCTCCCTAGAACTGCTTCACCCTACAAAAAGCAGCTCTGTGAAGAAGTTCAGTCAAGTTCTGTGGTGTAAATTGTCATACTGATTGCAGTATATATTGCTTAACCAGTTGGACGTGTTGTTCAAACTGATGGTGGCCCTACAGGTCAGAGCTGACCCAGTTTGTACCTATGGGAGATCTGAAAGGAGGGCAGCGTGTCTGCACGGTGGACCTAATTTTACACTTTTCTTGCATGTAATCTTCTGAAATAAGTCAGAGATAGTAGAGCAGTGTAGTAGTCCGCTCATAAGTCTGCTCCTTGAGACCTATGTGATGAGCAGAGCAGCAGCGATTGAACAGTCCTTGCAATATTTCTGAAACATTATTTTACTTATTGCAGTGTTGTAACAAATCACCTGTCATGGTTTTGAGATGCAGTTACTATCAGGGATATTCTGCTTCAATGTATTTCCTTGCTGTTTAAGTTCTGACTAACTGACCAGTTTGCAGTGTGTGAATAATGATGCGTTTGAGTTACCTCAGAAGTCAGATTTTCGAACTGGGAATGACGTCACACCCGAGTTACTAGCGTTTCAGTTACCAAGTCCGAAAAAAGCAAAATCAGAGATGGAAACAACATGGCTACATCTGCGAAAGTTATTTTAGTGCTTTTTATTTCAGTTATTGTGAGTTATTTTAGCATCCCTTTTTGTAGATGTAGCCATCTCTGATTTTTGTTTTTTTGACCTGGTAACTGGAACGTTGGTAGCTCAGGTGTGACGTCAATCCCAGCTCGGACATCTGACTTCCAAAGTAACTTGAATGCAGCATAACACCAGCAGAACTAGCACCACCATTCCTTAGTACTCTGTGAAGGTTGGTAACCACATACCTGAGCTGTTGAGGCCATTTTAACACAACACAGACTACATATGTTGTCTCCATCTCCAAACACTGCTAAAGTGTGCTGTGGTATGATGTGTTATCTGTCACCTGTGTTTGTTTACTTTAAAGGTTTAGGGTTTATGGCAGTAGCTCCTGCTACAAAAACAGCATGGTCTTAGTAAATTGTTCTGAGTACAATGTCAATGTGTCAGCAAGCACCCGTGTCATTGTGGACTGACAAGTAGAAGAGCAATATAGCCCCATACTTATAGTTAGCATAATCTTATATCCATCTCAGCTTCCAATCTGAAAGGAACCGATTTGTTATATTGCCTCAATATCAGCCCCAGACTCCTGTATATGAAATTTTAAATTATATGAAATAGGAAAAATAGGAAAACGCAGCCAGCCAAGCAGAGGAGAAGCGGCAACTCTGTGATTTATTTTCTTTCTATTTTTTTATTTATTTAAACTCTGTCTGAAAATAGTATAAATTCCTTGGAGCATGTTGCACATACAGTTCTGCTAAAACCTACAATCGGACCAATGAGAGAAGTTTTAGTTATAGTAACACTATATTTAAAAATTGTGCTGTTTAATTCAACAATGCAGGTAAAAATAACATAATACTATCTCCTGTTACAGTGGCTCCTTTTTATTTTTTTTACTTCATTGTCTTATTTGTATGTCTGTGCACATGTGTGTGTAATATGCAAGTATTTTTTCTGGTTGGCCATGTAATGACTCGTGAATAATTGATGGAGCAGTGAGAGTGGGGGGTCTCTGGAGTCCCAGTCTCTCAGTAGATACCAGCCCAAACATCTCTGTCTGTCTGTCTGCAGTGAAATGCAGACTCTCTCTTGGGAGCAGAGGTCGAGACATTATTCTCACTGTCACATCCACTTGCATCTGCTAGACACTGTACACCACATTATATATATGGAATATATGTTCCCTGTGGCATTTACTCTAAGATATACCTGAATATTGCAGAGATTTTCTATGACAAAGCCTGAAATGAAATCTTTTATAAAGCAATATCAAACATAAAAATGTGAGACACATTCTGGCACGATGCTTTTTACAGTTATCAAAATGAGTGTTATTGCTGCAGCGGATTTTCATTAACCATCTCATAAACAAAAGATAAATGTCCTAAATAAATTAAATGTGGCCAGATGCAGAACATACACTAAATCATAGTCCTGTTTATGTCTTCTTCAATCTGTATGCCCACCAAACATGCCCCATAGCTCTTATTAACCTAATGGGCTCTGTTTAAGTGCACATTTACTGTTTCCCATTTTCCTGTCATCACCGCCTCTCCTAATGCTCTCATAAACCTGAATTATGACACTTAATTGACTGTGAAACAATGAACACCACAGTAATTAAATGGTGTAAAATAGTTTGTGTTAACCTAAAGAATTATCTAACTGAGATGTGCTAGTTTTCCCTCCTTATGTATAAACTCACCAGCCTGTATGCATGCAGACTGCTGCATACTTAGCACCCTCTGAGAGTTCTTTGCTGTCTGTGACATTTCTGCAGTATTTGGTCTTCTTCCGGTCTGCCTGCCAGATTAGACCCATGATTACCTGTGTTTCCCCCCAACACAATGGGGAACGTTTTTTTTCCTGTGGGAGGAAATGGAGACTCATTTAACTGAACAAGTGAATGTCAGGAAAGGTCATTCAGGCATTTCATTAGTGAAGTGCCTTTCATTCCAGATGTACATTTATTGAATGTGACAAGTGAAAGAGTTGTGGCAGAACACTGCTATTGTGCTGAGATATTTAAATTTAGAGTGCAACATTGTTACTCGCTGACTGACTTGACCCTCTGCTTTACCAGACAGTGTATGTGTTTTATTTATGGCTTTGCTGTCTGGAAACTCAGACCCGAATATGGTTTGTCCCTTTTTCACAAAATAGATTACAAAAACATCGTCTGCCTCAGCTCATTTCTTCACCTTAGTCTAGATCAGTGGTCTGTTAGGACCAGTTTCTGGAGTTTTAAAAGTGAAATGTTCACCTGTTTTTGCCTGAAATAGGATTTCAGCTATTTCTCTTTTTATGTGTCAAATGTTGATTAGTTGAGACTGTAGGTAGACCTGTTAAGCACTTGTTTTGCTAAATAATGCATGCTTGTCCTTGAAAAGAACATGGTATGGATGGCAGAATATTTTTCTTAAAGACCTGTTATATATTCAGGCTTCCCAGATGAGTAAAGTAGCCTTGCCTTGAGCACTTATGCATACCAGTACCATCAAGCATGCCAGCTTTTGAACTCTGTGCTGTTAACAAGCCAGGTGGTCCCTCTCCTCCTGGCAGTGTAGGACATGATGTCCATTATTAAAAAAAAAAAAAGTCCATGTTTTTATTTGTCAGACCACAGGACTGTCTTTCAGTTTAGTCCATCTTTAATGGCTTTGACCAGAGAACGTTCAGGTTTTTCTTCATGATGATTATTTATGTGTTACTGTTTGCATGGTTCAGTGTTAACCTGCATTTGTGGATGCAACGATGAACTGTGTTTACAGACAAAGAGTCGTGGAGGTCTTTAGAGCCTATGCAATGATTTTCAAGACAGAATTATGCCTGTAAATAATGCAGTGTCGCCTGAGGGCTCAAAGATTGTGGCCATCCAGTATTGGTTTTCAGCCTTATCCATTTTGCACATATTTCACCAGATTTAGTGAGTCTTATCATGATATTATGCAAAGTAATGATAAAATCCCCAAATTCTTTGCAATTTAATGCTGAGGAACATTGTTTTTTTTCTGTATTAGTGCCTTATCCCATCTTTACTTCTCAGAGACTCAGCCTCTCTAGAATGCCCTTTGTCAACTAATCACATTCTCTTTCTGTTTTAGATAAATCCACTTAATTTGTTTGGTAGATGTTTATCCAAGTATTTTCTCTATTATCACAAAACAAAGTTGGTGTTTATTAGTCCCCAACTCAACTTTCTAGACTCACAACTTTCTGTGTTGCTGCCTTTCAATTTAAAATAGCCATGTATTTTTCACAAACAATGCATTTTTCATTTTCAACACTTGATATGTCTACTCTTTGGTCTCTTCAGTGATATATGGGACTTAAAGGGGGGATCATGCTTTTCCACATTTACAACCAAACTGGAAAGGTAACAAAGTTTGGTGTCCATACTTCATTTAAGCAAAGTTTCGAATCACAAAGTCAAAATTTTTTGTCATAATTTTAGAAAATAAATGTAAATGGCTCAAATCTCAGACAAACGCACAAATATGTTAGAACGTGTGTGAGTTTTACTGAAATTCTGACATAAGAATTATAGGCTCTCCTTACTGGTTCATCTGAGCTTCCGGCAAAGTGGAATGGCCTGACTCCAACAGCTTTTCAGATGGAGGCTGAAATAATGATATTTTAATACATAACAGTGAGAATATTGAATGATGTTCAATTTGTCTTCAGTTTCTCAGAAATCGTTTTCTTTTTTGCAAGTTACGTGAGAAAGATTACATGTCTGAGATGGGAAAAAAGAACATGATAACTGTGAGAAATTTTTAGTTTTTTTTCAATCTAAAAATCATGTAAAGCTTTGAAAGAGGTATTAAGAAGGAAATATAAAGTCTGAAAAGAATGCATGATACCCCCCTCCCTTAAGATTATTTGCAAACCATCAAAATCTTTTTTTATCAATGTCTTACACAGCGTACCAGTGATGGAATTGGGATTGCAATTGAGTCGGTTGAAAAGTGATGCAGTTAAGAGCCAGTATCAACTCAAAGTGTCAAGGGCAGTCCAATCAATATCTTGTGACATCACTGATGCTGACAGAGAGGACAAATTTTGAAATCATCGATAAACTCTAAAGACTGAAGAAGAAAAACTGTTTGCTTCATACATCTCATTGACTCAACAGAAGAATAATTCAGTGTGTTATTGAACCAGAATAATCACGCTGTCTGTATGTTTGCACCTGATTGGTGGAAGGGAATTTCCAGTGCTCACTAAGTATGTGTCTCTGTGGTGGAAACCTCCAGGGGAATTTTCCAGCTCTTTATCGGTGAGCTCTGGGTGATGAGGGGCTGGCTAGGGAAAACTAATACTAACCCTGATGACAGTGACGGAGGAGGAGGAGGGGTTTTGGTAAAATAGAAAATAGGGACAAGGTCTATATCAGCAGTCTTGGATGCAAAATTTTAATTAATTTCGTGCACTTAAAATTCTGGCAGAGTGTATTCTGGTTTTTGGGAGGTCTGCCCAGTCTGAAGAATGAAATTGAGTGAAGAGGGTGTGTCTGTTTGTCATTTGCCCACTTTTTTAAATCAAAGCCTGGGTAAACAAAGGCAGTCAAACCCACTTGTGTCACTTTAACCAAATAACCCAAAACACCGCTTCAATACTTGAATGCTGTAAAAGTTCACATGTTAGTGTTTTGAGTAACAACTATCCAAGACTTGATTCAGTATGTGATTTAATGGTGCATCAGCCTAGCAGAGTGGTGCAATGAAGTATGCAGGGACAACACTTGAACATGTCAGCCTCCCACTTAATGAAGCCAAATACGGCCTCTCTCCTTTATCACAGTGATTTATGTGGTTTTAAATGTTAAGCAGATTCAGTGAAACACTCTCTGAGCGTGTCTCTTGTGCTGGGCTACAAATAATGTTTTCGCAGTTAGTAAGATAGCAGAGGGGGTCAGGGGCTTGTAGGCATATGTAATTTCCCTTGACAAGATTAAGGGTTATTTTCTTCCGAAGCTCTTTGGGTTTAGCCTGTGGAGGGTCTGGGGAGAAACAAATCATCTCCACCACTCTGTTCCTACTCAACCTGTTTTCTGCTGACACTGCACTAAATGGAATAATGTGGCTACCCCCTCCTTATGTTCATCTCTCGACTTTTTGAAAAGCCAGATGTTCTCTGCATGTCAGACACCTTATTAGAGTCACAGAGGCTCAGGGGAATGTGACATTTTCATTGTGGACTGTGAGATAGTGAGGCAGCCATGCATGTGTAGATTTTAATTACGGTGGCTGTGGAGGTGTTGTAGTGATTTGTGAGAGATAAGATCCAAAGTGTAACTGAGACAGCTTCTGAAAGCTTAAGCTGTGCAGTATTATGATTAATTTTATACCTGTCAGGAAAATATGGAGAGGAATTGATCGTAGCATTGTTTTCTTTGTTAGACAGTATTGATATAACAATATACTGTACAATTCAATACTGCTGCCAGTTTGAAAACCATCCTGTTAATGTCAGCGGCTTGAAAAATCTTGAAGGTTCATTGGTTAAAACAAAAGGGTTAGTTTGTGAACATGCACCAAAGTTGTTTGTCAAACATTTGTAAGGCTCTATTCTGTTTTTTAGTCTGAGCAATAAACTCTGAATGTTTTTTAAAAGCTGTTTCCTGTTAAATATTGGTATCACTCTGCACTTGTGAGAGGTGAGGAGCCTACATGCTGAGCTGCTGCTTATATTTACTTAAACTGTTTAAGAAACTTGATGTTTTCAGGCCTTTTGATAACAAATTTTGCTGTGGTGTATGTCTCAAATGGATGCCATAAAACAAGTACAGAGACCAAATTAGTCGCCTGAAGTTAAATTCAGTTGCTCTTCAAGGGCCACTCTGCATCAGAATCACCAGTCATTACATGAATTATTAACGTTTCTATTATTGTGGGCCTCAAATGCTGGTCTGTTGTTATTTAGCTTTGGTTTATGTCTCCTGCTATCAGGCTATAATGCCCTAATATCTTTATGTAAACAAGTACAGATGACATCTTGTGGTGTGGTGTCATTTGGGAATATTTTGACCCTAGAATTTGGTGTTGATATATATAGACTGTATCCGATTCGTTGAACTGCAGCAACGTGTCACCAGCACAAGCTGTACTTACCCGCAGCAAACCAATGTTACATCATCTGTTCACAGACTCTGAGATCCCATTGTTAAATAAATGAAGCTCAGTGTCCAATGTTATTCAATGTTTTCTTTATTTTTGGCTGTTCAGTTAGTTGGAATTGGAATTTCTATTAAAATGACTAATTTTAAATTAGTGTCTTCAGAACATCAGTCTCTCCAATACTGTCTGAGCTAGGGCTGGGCGTATGGCCTCAAATCAATATCAAGATAGATTGAGCAGTTCACCTCGATAACGGTAAATGGACAATACCTACCCCACAAGCTGCTCACCCCCTCCCACATTAACTTCGTCTACTTCAGCCGCCGCTCCAGCTGCTACAACTTTTGAACTGTCCTCCATCTCCTCACCTGTCTTTCCCTCTTTGTTACGGACTGGATGGGGTGGAGTCACGTCTCCACCCCATCCAGCGTCTTAAAGGGGCATAGCTACACACATCCGAAACCAACTTTTGTCATTTTTTAGACACAGAATATATTGACATGGGCAAAATGACGTTGGTTATTGTTGTAAATTTCGGTATCGTAAATTTTGGGTTTATAGCCCAGCCTTAATAGATATTATTTGATCCCTGCTCTTGTAGCTGAGCTTACTGTCCCTGTATATGACAATGAGACACTATTTTTCTTAGCTCTTTCTTCATATTTGATGGATAACAGGTAGATAAAATATGATTGGTTGCATGAATTTGAGTCGATTTCAACCCATGAGCTACAAAAGTGACTATCTGAAAAGCTGACGGTTAGGTTTTATGATAAATTTCCACTATGTGATTGGCTGATGAATTTATTCATGAAGTATATAAAGCCCAATGCTTGTCATTGTTGTAGACATAAAATCACTCCATCCCTACCTATCACCCAGAGATTCTTTTAAAACATGGCTACACTGGCTTCACCTTGATTTTTTTTCACCTCATGTTTAAAAAATACAAGTGCAAAACATGTAGCTTGTTACTACAGGAGTATATGTTATTACAGTAATGGTAGACAATCCCATCACTGCATGTAAACAAGATTTTTCATACCACTTAAAGGTTATGTGTGGAGATATATATGCACACCTTATATATCATGCATATTTTTTCTGGAAATGCTCCTAACAAGCATTTTCAGACACCTCAAGTGGTTTCTGCACAACCTCACTAACAGGAGGGATCGTCTGAGGAGGTGGTGGAGGTAGATAGCTGGACGCCTAAGGGGAGCAAAAGGCTGTCTGGTGTTGGTTCTTTGTTCTCCGACACTGCAAGAGAGACCCCCTAATCTGTCACCATCAGGTACCCTGGGGGAGATGAGTCGTGATAAATACAGGAGGGGATTTGAGAGGACACTTAAAGAGGGCTTCTTCATGACTTATATATGAGTATAAGGAGAGAGTAGCTGTTAATAGAATACCTCAGGCCACAAACAGCTTTGAGTATAGATTTTTGAAGAAGTATCTCTTTTGTTTTTTTGAGGCCAGTTAAGATGGCAGCTATAATTCTGAACATTAAGGTTTACCCGTGTCCACAGAAAAGCTGTAGAGTTGATCTATAGAATATGTATGTGGCTGTAGAATAAGAAATTGACTACAATGTGGTTTCCCTTGCAGGAGATCAAAACAAATGCATCCCCAGCTTCTTTTCATGTCTGCTGAGAAGGTTTGACAGCCAGGCAGTCCAGCAAACCTCATTAGACAAACCACTGATGTTGTAGGAGATAGATAGAGATACAGGGAGTCATCGATTTGTCTCTAAAGTGTAAGTCTTCACTGATACATTGAAGTCAATTAGTGTCCACGCACTGACAGGACATTCCCTGTCTGTACTGGGTAGAGGGTCTGTTACTCGCCCTTGCTTGTGGTTGGAGCAGTGTTCAGGGGTCCTGTCTTTGGCCATCTGGTGTTTGAAGGCTGGGTCTATAGGAGGAGGAGGTCTTTCCCCTTTTCTCCTTTCATTATTGCTTGGAGCAGACAAGGCTCAGATTAATTAAGTCACATCTACAGACTCAGCAGACTGAATCTCTCATGTAAATCCTCAGAGAAACACTTGTAAAATAAATGCAGCTGAAGCAACTGTCGGTTCTTCCTTTTTTGAAATAACATCAGTTTTCTTGATAGCTGAGGTCAAAGAAAGTCAGATGATCATAACCTTTAATTTTTTAAGTAAATATTTAATGTTTGACTAACGAAAGGACTCTTTCTTGAAGACAAGGGGCTCTAAAGAGGAGGGTCTGTAGCACATGATGCTAAGTGAATCAGGGCGTGTCTGACTACCTTTTGCAAGTTAAACAGCACCCAGTAAAAAAAGGCAGAGAGTGATGCACAGAGTGCAGTGAGATTATATTGACTGCCTTAATTATTGTTGTGTTGTGGGCATAACATAAACCAAACTAGTCAAACTGTGTGCTATCATTCCTTTTTTATTGTTAGATCCACTGAAGAAACCCCTCTGCTCAGCAGAAACAATCAGGGGCTCTCCTCCAGCAGTAAAACTTTATTAATTATTCAAATGTCTGGACACGCTGACAGTATTGGACAGGGTCTTAAGTTAACCTTGTGTGCATGTGTTAAAGAAAAGAGGCTGTAAACATTCATGAACTTCTTTTTGCTTTTGGATCACATCTACTCTGTGTGTGGATAAAGGGCATTAAATAGTCCTGTGTGGGCAAGATTATTGTATGTGTGTGTGTGTGTGTGTGTGTGTGTGTGTGTGTGTGTGTGTGTGTGTGTGTGTGTGTGTGTGTGTGTGTGTGTGTGTGTGTGTGTGTGTGTGTGTGTGTGTGTCTGAGTATGGATGGATGTAGTAGTGCCAATGATATAAGACCAGGTTTTAGTTGGTCTATACTGCAGTCACTTATTGCATTTTCAAGTTAGCAGCACCCCACCTCAGGTTTGAATTAATGTGCCCATGGGTGCTGATATGGGTCCAAGTTCATTTGCTATTACTACAATGTGGGCACTGGGCGTGGTGACGATGGCTACAGTGGAGGGAAGATGTGAATATCACTTGTTCTATGCACCAGTTTTCATGTCGGTTAAGTTCCCTTTCTATTTTTTCAGTGTATTCATGTTGGTTAAGTTTCCTTCATTTCTGCACATTCATGTTTTGTTTCATTTCATGTTTTATTTTGTAGACCACTAACTCTTGTTTCTGTCCTCTCGATTTGTTCCTGTCTGGTCTACCCTGCCCCTGTCTTGCCACACCTGGCGCCTGATTGTGTCTCCCCACCTGTTTCCCATCACCCTCATTACCTCTTGTATTAAACCTTGTGTGTCCCACAGTCTCGTCACCAGTTTGTTGCACTTCTCGTCATAGTTTTGCCAAGCCTTGTATTACCTTCGCTGGCCTTTTCGGATCTTGCCTTTTGCTTCATGTTTTTGATACCTCTGCCTGTCCTTCATTAAACCCTGTCTGTCTGACAAAGCTGAATCGGTGTCGTGCTGTTGTGTCCTCCCATGTGCTCTGGTTCACGACACCAGTATGCTTCGCACAGGGTGAAAAATGAGGCCTAAAATCTTGTGCCTTTCTGAGAGGGTGGTCATTCAGGAGTCGTTTTTCTACGTCTAATTGTAATATAAACAGTGATTATCATATTGCAAAATACCCTTTAAGGCTCCTGTACTGTAATGCTTTTCCTCAGTAGTATGCAGGAACAGTTTATTATCCATTTTCCATCCAGGATTAACCAACTGTCAGCTTTGTTTTCTCTCTGTGGGAATGAGAAAAAAAATGTTGGCAAACAAATTGGCAAAGAAATGACCTTGTCTCTTTTTCCGGTCCTAGTCTGCAGCTGGTATACTTAGTGGTTTACTGATGTTTCTCTTTAGCGTAGATGCGTAGGCTGTGGTTTTAAAACAGAAATAAACCCAAATGATGTTCCTCATTAATCTTAAATTGGAGGTCGTCCGATAGAACCATTTTTGTCCAACAAAGAGTTAACAAAGGAAATGTGTGTGTACGTTTGGCTTTATAGATGCCCATGTCTTTGTCTCACAGCCTCCTTAGAGGCTTATGGTTGGGGGATTTTTAACTGTCAGCTGAAAATGCTGATGATGGTGTTTCTGTGAAACCAGACCGGAGATATTTCCATGTGCTTTCAAAAGCTTACCGTGGATCCCAGACAAAAAGGATAATCTGGTTGTGAGACCTTATGAATATTTAAGAATTAGCCTGTCTATGGACATTTAATGAGCTATTCAAATTTTCATGGAAACTAAAGTCCCCTATTGTGTCAGAATCTAACATCTGCTTTTTGCCTTTACTTACAACCTTTTTGAAGTGTTGTCAACCTGATTTTGCATTTTTTCTTCATGTCATCCTGCTAAATGATTCGTATTTTAAAGTGACTTATACTGAATGTTGGTGTTAAAACCGGATTTGGCATTGTGCTGTCTGTCTCTGGTTATGTTTTCTGTATTTGCAGCTTGGGAAAGGGAGAATTCCAGGAAACCCCTTAGCCCTTTTGATTTAGACCCCCAGAGGCTTTTTAAAACAGCAACTGACCCAGATAATCAAGAGCCAATTTAGCCTGCTCCCTGTACACGTCTCAGTCCTCTCAGTGTCAGCTTGTAAGAAATCTAATTAAAGCAAGGAGACGTATGGTAACAAGTCACTAATGGCGTTTCTGTCTCATGTTACTATTTTCTTTCAGTCTTCGGCTCAAAGTTGTTTTGATTGACCTCTAAAACTTAACTATTAGACAAATGGCGCTAAAAGTCACTTCGCTTTGCTCCAGTTGCATTTACTAACAAGGTCAGTAACATATGTCTGTGCTGGAACAACCTGCTGTGTTGCCAAACTGTGACAGCCTTCGATGGGAGACTTTGTCCTTCAGGCTTGGACTACAGCAGTTCAGGGATGATTTATTCATACTTGACCCCTCCAAATGATCAGAGGAGAGGACTGTCTGCGACTCGAAGACTAATACCAATGCACAGCTCGGTTTCTCTGGTGACAGCCTGCGGGCTCGTCTTGGCTGTTCAGATAATATCAAATATTTGTATGCTTGGAGGGTAAAGCTGCACAATAAATCTCATTACAAACATTTGCAGCAAATGCAGTCACAAAAATCTTCATTTCGAGCAATTAATGTGGAATTTTTTTCAAACAGGCATTCAGCGTTCTTTCACATTTGTATATTTTACCTGTTAGATGTAGACATGGGCAGTGGTTCTCAAGTCCAGTCCTCGAGGCCCACTGTCCTGCATGTTTTGGATGTTTCCCTGCTCCAACACACCTGATTCAAATTATCAGCTCGTCATTAAGCCATTACAGAGCTTTATAACGAGCTAATCATTTGAATCAGGTGTGTTGGAGCAGGGAAACATCCAGAACATACAGGACAGTGGGCCTCGAGGACTGGACTTGACCTCAGATTAACTGGTAATAATTTAGTGATAGGAAATAGTTTTTTTTTTCTTTTTTTTTAATGTATTTTGGATTCAGGAATAACATGTTGCAAACATAGGTAAGGCGTAAGAAGATAACATGAAGATTACACTCTTCAGAAGTTGTTTAGTTGTTGTATTTATTATTGATATCACAATACTGCACACTCATCCATTGAGCCACTTTTCCATGTTGTGCAGGCCTAGTGCCAGATTTGGTGTTCAAGGGCTGAACTAAGTTTGATAAAAATAATGAAGACGTTTAATTTTGTTAGAGAAAAATAAACTCAGAGACATAAATTATCAAATTGATCAGTACTAATTTCCTCACACCAAATCTGATTTAATTTCCTGTATTTTTCCAATTTGCGATAAATATCCCAGAAAGTAAACATACCACAATATCAGTTTTTCAATAAGACAATATGAAGGTAATAAGAGAAAGCAGCTGATATTTGATGTATTGTTGGCATCTTTTAGATAAAAGCATTCTAATTCTACACTGAGAACCAGGCCTTGCGTTACAAGTACTGTTTATTCCACTAGGGGAATATGCAACATGAATAAAATCACTGAGAGTGTTTTCTGTAGATCAGAGATTCTCCATACCAAAAATAATAATAATTGAAGGTGTTTGTATGAAAGTGGCTGCAAAACTGTCGCTCTGTCACTCTACACAGTCCAGTTGCCTGCCTTAAGTTTTCAAGATAACCATGACCTGGATGAATGAGAATCTACATGGACAACTTTCATGGTAGTCTAAAGTATTCCTCTTTTAAGGAAGAGAAAACAACTATAGAATGACGAAGTGTCAAAAAAACAACCTTAATGCCATAGAGGTCTTTTACAGTACAAAATACTGCACACTAATACCACCCTACTTTTATTAGCTGCAGCCAGACATCTCTCACAGCAAGCTCAGTGTAATGTGAAGAGAATAAGCAATACTGGCTGACTTTGCAGTTAATTGTAAGGATTACATAATCGAGACTTGCTTGCAGTTTCTCCTTCTTTATGGAGGCAAGCAGAAACTTTTTCCATTTCAAATCTCTAAGGTGTTATCAGTATTTCCATTCAGGGCTATTACTGTGAAACAATATAAGGATGGATTGAAAACTGTTTGCATATAGTGTCGTCCCAGACCCTTCAGGACAACCACAGCTCAATTATGCTGAGCCCTGTCACCATATTGCCTAAGTGTGATCTATAATCAGCACTCTCTTCAGTTATCTGCTTGTATGCAGATTCTAAGTGAGCACAGGGAAATGACTCCATTAGGCTCGTCTGCCCTGCCTAAGGCTCAGGCTCTCCCGACAGACGTTTGTGTGCAGACCCCTGCTCTCCTGCTAACCGAGCTACATCTGCCTCTCCAACTGAGCCAGACCTGTGTAAAACTAGCACTGCTGTGAGAGAGCTGTCCAAATGCTAATACACTGGCCTTGAGAGGACCTCACCACCTGCAGCCCCTCTTTGTGGCAGCAAGAGAAACAAGAGCAAGCTGTTTTTTGTAACATGTAAGAAATCAGCATTACCTCATGCCTACAGAGAAGCCTCCGGTGTGTTTCAGTGGTATTCCAAGGGAACAATTACAAGACATGGACGGACTCCAAGATCATTAGAATGAGAATGGAGGCGGGCGGAGGCCGGGTTCACTCTGGCTGGCCTTCCTCTGAGGTGATTGATTGGGCTTTAGCACCGTCCTCGGAGAGGAAGACTGGGACACTGGGACCGGCTGAGTCCTCTAACTGATGGTAAAATAAGTCTCAAGGACACAAAGGCTCATCTAAGAGCTGAGGTCAGCTCGCTGTGATGATATTAAGAATTTACTGTGTGGAAAAGGTTGTGCTTGGATCTTAAAGCTTAATTTAGGTAACACCAGTCTCTCGTGGCTTTAGTATTTAAGTCCCAATGCTGCAACCTTTGATGGAGCTGTGTTATTTTACTGTTAAATCAATAAATCATCCTGCAGGGTGTTATTTTGCTTTCATACTGTCATACAAACTACACTGTGAGGCTAAGTAGAGACAGACCAACATCCAGTATTTTTAGCTGCTCTTTTCTTTGTCCTGTGTCACACTGGATTTGCTGGGTAGTCTTAGTGCTGTTATTCTTGGCTTTAGTGTGCTGTTGTTGTTGAAGTTATAGCCCAAGAAGCCAGCTGTTGTGATAAACACTTCGGCTCTGAGGCTTAAGTTTCCTGCTGGTTTTCTGAGTGTCTGTTACACCAATTGAAAAAAATGGTAAAGAAAAGAAATCACTAAATTGGATCACAAAAAACATGTCCTCTTTTTGTGTGTTCATTTGATCTGAAGCTGTATTTATTTTTATTCATTTTTTTTTATTTATTCACAGTTTGCCCTTTTGTCACAGATCTTGTTTGCCATGCTGCAAGACAAATCTCCTATGCAAGATAAAAAAAGTGGATGTGAGGCAGCCCAGTGGACTAATTCAAGGCTTGATTAACTGAATACTTCATTCTTCATAGAGAGTACAATACTTGTGAGAAAGCACGTCAGTTATTTTACAGGAAGTAAGAGTGGAGAACAAGTGACGTTAAATTTGGTTAAGAGCGTGGTTTAGACCATACTAACTGGAAAGTTATAGATATGACTGCACAAATCCTATATTACAGAAAAGACTCATGTCGTTCTATGTGAGCCCAGCTTCTTGTAACACAGACAGTACAGAAGCACCAACTATATGAAATGAAAAAGATGTAAAAAAGAAAAAAATGAGGATATTCTGCACCCCTAGAGCCTCAAGCATGTCCAGTTTTATCCTGCTGTATGGTTTTAATATATTTTCAAATCAACCATACTGTACAATGAACCATGATATATGAATTCACTTAGACTTTCCAAAAGACATTTTTACCTGAAGCTCTCCTCTGTTTATTATACTGCAGTTTAAGAGATTAGGCAGTCTGATACGGCTGAATAAGAAGCATGTCTTCATCCAAGAAAAATTTCATGAATCATTAAGAAAGGTAATAGTCTGTTCTTAAAGTGGCATTCATAAGATTTGCGGTGGGAGCAGTTTAGCCCTGATGCATCATTTAGAAAGATCCCAGTCTGGAACCACAGGGACTCGATTATGTTTTATCATCAGTATGTATAAGCGTACTCATACTATATCTCTTTAAGTAGACTGTGTGAACACAGCTCGCTGAAGTTATGCTGAAAGATCCTTACTAAATACACTAACTGGCTACTGTCTGCAGCTAAGAAGTCAACCATGAACAGTACAAAAAAACTTCCAAAGGCCAAAAGAAATAAATCACAGTGGTGGCAGGAGTTCTAGTAGCTGAAGAATAATACTTGACATGTGAAATAATGGGCTAAAATTTGGAGTACAGGTGCCAAAATCTACCCAGAGAGTGTATTTAGAGTCGAGTAAAATGGCCTCGCTGAGTCTCTCCCTCCATTGATTGTAAATACTGCTGCATGAAGCATCAATAGTTTTTTCAACAGTGACTAATAGGGATTACATTTTCACTTTAACAGCGTACTTTTTACGAATGTGACACTTAATTAAGACAATATTGGAAAGTCCACAGGGACATTCAGGCATCACAAAGTAATAACTTGAAATATGTTCCTCTACTTTCTGAAAATCCTTACACTTTGCTCTCAACTTGTCTTGCAGATTCATTTGTACTGTAGCACAGATTTTACTGTCAGTCTTAAATCTAAAACTTTAAACTGAAAAATTACTTTTTTTTTAATGATTTCAGTCAAATTACTCAGTCTGCCAGACTGTGGGGCCTCACTAAATGTGCCATTACAGTATTCTTAGGAATCTGAGCACATACAGGCCTCAGCTGCTGGTTTAGTTAACAGCTGGTCATTAGTGTTGACTTTAACTACAGGTAAAGTAGCCTTTTGTGCCCTCAAGAGAGCGCCCAGAATGCTCATCACCTGCTGTTACCAAGACAACATAATCTCACAGGCAGCATGTCATCTGAATATTTTTATCTAAAAATGAGTCTTTGTGCTGTTACTGAAGTGTCGATATGGCAGAGGGCTAGCTCAGGTTAGTAATGAGATCCCAAGTGTATTATGGAAACATAATGCAACACATGATGACAGGTTTACTGGTGTTTCACATGTGGAGCCATCTGTGTGCTCCTCTCATGCTGTGATAAATGTATCCCCACAGTCTAAGACCTTGATTAAAATAGAATAGAAATGACTGTCTTTATTTTGATCACACATGATTATAACACTGAAATGTTTAGGTGGAAAAAAAATAAAATCGCCAACATACCTTCACACACTCACCACTTAAGCTTACTCAAATAAGATAGCAATGAATAAATGCATTTAAAAAAACATAATGTAAGTGCCTCCAAGAGGATGCTGTCCAAAGGTTTGATATGATTTTTTAAGTAATACTGCACATTATAAAGAGGTGATTGCACATTTAACATTATAGCACATCACATCTTGTGATATGTTAAATAACATTGCACATTATTGTCCCTTTTTGTCTTAATACTATTCTAGTCATGAGTGGCTGTATTAAGTGATGTGATTGTACTGGGAGGGGTTGTAGGGTTTCAGTTTCTTTTGCATACTAATATAATTTGTGTGTGTGTGTGTGTGTGTGTGTGTGTGTGTATACGTTAGGTGTTCTTGCACTTTTATCACACCTGTTTTCATTTGAGATGCGACAATTCATTTTTTCCTGATCCAATCCGATGCTGGGGCTGAGCATATTGGCCAAAACCGATCCAATACTACTGTTGAATGAATGAACTGTATACCTTGCCCTGTGACTGAAGGCATCAGGCTTGACATTAGCCTTGTTAAAAAAAAGGTAATTAATTAATTAAAAATTAACACAGATATAAATGTACTTAATATATAAATTTACTAAATATTACTTATGAACAAATAACATATTGCACATTAGCACACAGCAAAGGAGGTAAGACTTTCTTGTAAACATTTAGTGCAAAAGGATAGACAGACATAGAATACAGAGCGAACAGAACCGCTGCGTTGCTGGGTATGATATGAATTAAACCACAATATTTATTTCACATTAAACAAACTGAGTGCAGATAAACAGGTTTGTCTCTTTTAATAAAAGCAGCCAAAGTGAGTGACTGTGATTGCAATACACAGTCATACTCTTTCCTCTGTTGTCAGCCTGTCTGTCCATCTGCTCTCTCTGCTGCCCTCATACTCAGAAGTGCCAGGTCTACCCCTAGCCTCTCCTCCTCTAAATGAGCCTTGGGGCTCATTTAGAGCATCCATGTCACTCAGGGACCGGACAGCTTCGTATTCACTCAAATCAAAAACCAATCTGAGGTTTTTACCGCCTGCGACAGCCCTGATCACCACATTGACTATCTGCCACATCCACTGTCTGACACATTGACTGCCGCTTTGTTGAGCTGTCTCTTTACCAAGACCTCACAAGATAACAAGATAATTTGTGTAAAAACAAGCAGTATTTCACTTTAAAAAACTAGCTCCTGTGTGTATCTTAGTTATTTCATGACAGTTTAATGCCGTCAGTTTTACAGTCCTCCTCATACATTTCAAAAACAGGTTTGCTGCGTATTCTCACATTGACTAAATTAAAACACATGGTTACACTCTAGAGCCACAACACTTTACTCATCAGTCAATAGGTTGACTAAATAAAGACTCATTTACAGCCTTTCTTGATGATCCATTATTTGCTTTAGTCATATCTCAATGTCCGATGGTTTGGTGATTTTCTTTGTCATTTATGAAGACTAAAGAATCCTTTGATTTTGGACAATTAGTGGACAAAAGTAATTTGAAGATTTCATTTTGGCTTTTGGGAAACTCATCAAACTTGTCTACATTTTATTTTCTGAATTAACTATTAAAACAAATAGAGAATGAATTTACAGTCAAAAAAATAATCAGTAGAAACTTTGAAACTTTATAATGTACAATATAACATGCAGGTATTTCATCTCTGAGTTCATCGTTGGTGCATCAGTGTAGCAGAGGTGAAATATGCAAAAGATTAATCGGTCTTTTGTCCCAGACTGGCCAAAGCTCAGGGCTGAAACAGCACTGTAGTGTCCTTGGGAAAATGAACTCAGTGTCCTCAAGAGGGAAAGCTTAAGCCTTAGCCCTACCAAAAATCTATTAAGAGAATTGAAGAACCAAACCAGTTTGATAGCAGATGAGAGTTTCTGCAAGGATGAAGTGATTCCTTTTCAAGAGCATGTCTTATAAAATTCAGGGCAGAGTGATGGGAGGTAATTGATTTAAATGTAAATATATTAAGTTAAAAAAAAAGGAGGGGGGGGGGGGGGTAAAAAATGATTTTCCTGTATGTGTGTGTCTCTCTCTTTTCCTCCTCTCCATATCTGATATGTGAGCCAAGTCCTCCTCCCTCTTATGCTGATGTAGTGTGCTATAATAGGTGTTGTGTGCCAGTGGAGGGCTGAGTGAGCTGGTCTAATAAAAAGCCTTTTCAATGAGCTGTCATCTGTCAGCCGCTATTAGATAGCACCATGTAAACACTGGCTGACAGCTGAGGAAGGCTTCTCTGTGCCTCAGACATGAACAGGATTTCAACAATTTCAGAGGAATGAAACTTAACCCTTTTTTCTCAGTATATAAACATTGATGCTATTTTCTATTTGGTGTGATGCATCTCTTCATGTTTTCTTGTTTTGCAGAATGGTACTGACTACGGGTTCCTTGTGCGTCAGAACTCTGAGCTCCTGCGAGCCTTGGATGATTTGGAGAAGACTTGTACCACACTGAGGGAGGAGAATGGCCTGCTGGTAGGACTAAAAATAACCAAGAGTTTGTAGTCCTGACTAAAGGCTTCCTAGAAAGTAGGACAGGTGTACAGAAAGGGTGAACAAAACATTTAAAACAAGCATTTTTTCCAGCTAATGGTTATTCTTTTCTCTGTTTCTTTATAATTCATAAATGTTGGCCTTTCCTCGTGTCCCTGTCACGAGGAAAGAAACACAGGAGATGATATGAAGCCAAAAAGCACAGTAATGAGCCTCCCTGACTAAGTGTTTCTTTTGTTGCCTCTTTTTGTGTAGCATGGCAGCACAAGTGTTCCTTGCTCCAGGCAGAGTCTGATGATGATGTTTGTTTCCCCATGTGTACAGCGGAAAAGCAGCGCCCCTGAGACCGAGGAGAAGGTCAGGCGGCTGAGGAGAAAGAACACAGAGCTGGCTGTTCTCGCTAAGAGGCTGGAAGAGAGGGCGAGAAAACTGCAGGAAGCCAACCTCAGAGTGGTAAACTGCAAAAAATAAAATACCTTGAAGAGTTTCACCAGCTTATATGCCCTCACTTTGACCCAAGTAATGACAGTGATTCATTGTCAGCACCATCCAGACTGACAAATCACCATTACATGTGGTAAAGAGTTAAACGATATGGTTCGTCGTATGATGAATGGGAGCTCTGTTGATAAATACCAGCAGCTTTCATTGGATATATCACCACATAGAAGAACATAGCTTTTAGAGGGTCCATGAGTCTCATGTGACAACAACCTGAGCATTTGAACATGTTTTATATTTCACACACAACACGTATTTAAAGCAGTATTTTCAGATGTCATGTGATGGCAACAAGACCTGTTTTTAGCTAGGGGGAGCAAAATAAAAAGACTCCACAGTTACAGCACACAAACCTCAGCAATGATGAGTTTAGGATTTAGGATTTATTTTATTTAAAACAGGGACAATACATATTTATGAACATATACATGTAAAAATGCAAGATTATGGCCAAAGGCTAATTTCCATCTTTAGTCTCTTTGGCGGGTAGATGTCAGCAACAGAGATAATAAAACCAATAAAACAAAAGTAACAACAAGTAGCCAGTATGAGCAGGAGGAGTAATTACAGGGAGAGAAAACATGACCTTAAAAACACAGTGAGACAAAAAATTTAAAAAAGAAAAGCAAGAACAATGAGAAGTATAGTGGATCATGGAACATAGGGCCCTATTTTTGTGCCTCGCCGGCAGCGTAATGTAGGCGCGGCATACGTCAGGTCCGCCGCGCCAACAAGGCGTGTCCAAGCACACTTTTGTGTTTTGGTGGTGACAGAAGGCAGCCCCTCTGCAGAGGGCGTCCTGCACACTTTCTCAAATAAGCACAGATGGATTTGGTGTGTGTAATGTTGGACCCATTGGTAAGACAAACACCGTTTTCCACAAATAATGACAATCACATTGAGTTGCATATATTAAACCCCCACGTGACAAAGGTGGGTTGTGCGCACAGATCACAACATAAATTCCAATAATGGCATTAAAATCGGAACCACCTGTGGGTAAAGAAAGCATCACGCTCTGTGGCCTGGCTCTTTCTTTCATAGATGTTGGCATATAGGATGATTTTAGCTCACACAGCTGAATATTATAATATTCGTATGTAAGCCTAACTCCGGATTGAATATTCACAGAATTTTAAGGATGTAAGGACATTAGATAAACAACTTATTTTGAATGAAAGTTTCTTTTAAGCTTTGAATCGGCGAGCTTTCAGCGCACTTTCCACGCCGTCTGCGAGCACGAAAATGCCACTGCGCCAGCTGATTCTGTTGACACTTCCCCCTGCCACGCCACCACGCCCAGCTTGGCAGACCTTGATGCACCTCAGTCTACGAAAATACCAAACTGGCTGTGTGCCGGGTTCCGGCCCTATTATTTATTTCGTCTTGTGCAAGGACTGTCTTGTTCTCAGCGTCTGTCACTCCTGGTATCCTTGAAGAGGTGCAGTCTATCATCGATCAGCTGACAGTATACAGATTTTAGATTTACATCACTTGTGACAGAGACACAGTTTAGCTCATAACAAATATCCTGCCATAACTCAAAAATCTGGTCAGATTATTATTAATTAGGGTGGAAAATGTTTGATGTTATTGGGGTCTAAAGTAGTTTTGTTTTTACAGTCTAATCGATGTTTTGTGTATCACTTTTTAGATTCACGTCTAACTCTGGGTCACTCGTTCCCGATGGTTAAAAGATAGAATATTTCAGGATTCTTTAACCCCAGTCAAAGTTTTTCTCCCTGACCTGGTAACATGTGACCTCATTTAATAACCACAGTAGACAATCGTTACCCAGCATTTTTCCATTTGAAGAGGCTATTTTAAGAGGAGACCCAGATTTACAGTGTAGAGACTCCAGTACCAGTCAAGTACAGTAGTGTACAAAATGATTCAAGGACCCCCCGTCTGTGCCTGACTGCTTTGAATTTCAGGAGCACCTGTTCAACAGACTGAGGAAGGGACCCCTCCCCACCACTGCGCCCCTTCTCTGCTGCTCACTGAGAGATGCAGCAAAGTAGTTTAATGAATTTACTCCAACAAAAACTTAAAAGATTTTTGATACACTCTTTATCTCAATATTTCAAAACTATCCCACTGAGAAGTTTTGGTCTAAAAGAGGTCTAATAGACGTCTAAATGTAGCCTAGACAACTGGTCTAAAATCAGGCTACCACAGGTCTACAAATGTTTTTTAGACTTTTTGAAATAAATATTTATTGAATCATAGGTTAAAGTGCAACATCTAAATTCCGTCTAAAAATATACCAAATCTAGACAGTTGAAATTAGGTCTAAAAAATGAATGGACATCGAATAGCCGTCTATTGCTCAGTGGGTGCTACTTCCAGTCTGATATTGTGTTATTTCAAAGCTGGTCTATGACTGTAACCACTATCTTGACATAGTGTTAAATCATATCGTATTTTGAAAATCTTTCTGTATGCTGTTTTTTTGTGATTCATCTGTAATTTTCTGATCTTTAATGTTTGCCTCCAGCAGTATTTTCCAGACTCCTTCCTGTTGATCAGCATGCATTTTCTTCCCTGCTCTTATACAGGTGAATTCTCCGTCACTGATGAGACCTGGGTCTGTGGAGCAGTATAAGAGGGCTTTTGCCCGGCAGCGAGCTCGCGACCTAGCACAGCATGCGGATGCTCTGCTGTCCAAAGACAAAGAGATTGCTGCCCTTCAGCAAGAAAACAGAGAGCTGGAGGCTCGACTGGGCAACACAAAGGTATCTCTAACAGAGACACTCAGTATGGAGTTTACTCAGCCTGCTCTCTGGACTGGGGACACTAATTTTGATCCAGCTTGAGACCTGCTTTATTCTGAATAACTGCTATTTTTAGCATATCTTTGATCTGCCCTGATCCCTTATAAGTTTTGACCTCATTGCTCCATTATCATCCCTAACACATGTCCACAATGCCTCAAGCTCCCCCTCTGCTGGATGACATGGGTACTACTGATCCTGTCTCCTTCCTAAGCTCTTTTTTACAAAGGCTGCGTCACAGCTGATGATGGGATGACAGTGCAGGAATAGGCTGCCTTTCTAAGTGCCTGATTTTAATTACTGATCCCATGACTTAGAGGCCCATTCTGCTGAATGTGAACATCTGTTGTCTTTATTAATGGAGGGTCTTACAGGGTGAACTGTGCATTGATCTAGTGAGTGTCCGCGTTTGATCCCGGGTTTAGCCTAAACACAGTTAGGCCATGTGGTTGTGCTGACGGGGGGAAGGGGGAAGCCCTCTTAACTTCATGACTGGGAACGGTTTACCATGAATGAGACTCTATTTTTGGATATTTTTGATCTGACCTTCAAAACAAGCCAATTATAGATCACAACACTCCAGAAGGATCTTTTTTTAAATTTTTATTTGTTCTGCAACTTTTGAAGACTAAATGAAAAGCTCAGTGCAAAGACAAAACTGAAAATCTTAATGTGAGTGGCTGGCATTTGAAAATGAATAAATAAACCCAATCAAACCTTAAATTTCTCATTATGATTATTGTTTAATATGTACTTAGAATGGGGCTTTAACTTATTGTCAGTATTTTGACTCTGTTACTACACTGAAAATTAATAGCGAATAGCCTCTTTAAATTAATTTTTTTCTTTGCTTGCTGCTAAAACCAAAAGTTTGTGATAGTTCTCAAAATCCATAAAAGCTAAAATGTTACAAAAAATTCAACCACTCATCATTTTTTCTGATACATAGCAAACCAATACTCATATTTGTGTTAAGTCTTAAATACACTTTACAACACACACAGTCTGATATGACTCAGGATGGACGTATGATGAAGTAAATGGAAAAAGGACGTAACTGATGATGATGATGTTACCGTTCTCTGCTTGTGTCTGTGTAGGACTCCCCTGTTTCTCCTGGCAGGGTGGAATTTGAGAGGCTTCTCAGGGAGTCTCAGAGGGAGGTGCTGCGCCTCCAGAGACAGCTGTCAGTCACCTCATCCACGCAGCAGCAGCTCAACCAAAGTCCAGATCCTGGGGGAGCAGAGAGGGGCGGGGAAATTAAGGAGGAGGAGGAGGAGAAGGAAGTGGCTGAAGAGAAGGTAAGATCTTTCCCTGATATCTGAGCACTGATCACCTCTTTACTGACCCCTGTTGGTGAGAAGGGATTTTAGAAGTCGACCATGTTGATGTTTTTACACTACAGCTGATGACTTCAATTCAGCTGTCATGATGTAAAAACAATAACGGTGTCCATATTTTCAGTGCTGTAAGAATCTATTTGTTTGTGCTTAAAGAACTAAGATAATGAAAGTGAGTACAAAGATTCACAAGACAAACAGTCACACTTCCAGGTGATCTGAGGTCAAGTATGTAATTGCAAGTGGCTGAATGAGTGTTGCTTAGGCGTTAGAACGGATGGTGAGGTGAAATTTGGCCGACTCAGTTTTTCTAAAAGTGTGGGTGTGTTTATGTTGGCATGGATGCTGTTTTGCTGCGTTATATAATGGCTTGTCGCTGGACTCGATACTAATCTGCCACAGGCCATAATGAGTGATTCCCTGTCTTGAACTTGGGCCTGATCAAAGATACCACACTCACACACCATCTGATACCCTCAGTGTTTTATACTGATCCTGTTTCTCTTGAGTTCTTTGAGGCAGTACTTCATCCAGGAAGTGATACTTGACTCGGTGTAGCCAAAAAATAAAAAATAAAATGAAATAAAAATGCACAGATTGCACGTATAAGAAAAAATTACATAATGTTCTAAAATAACATAGCAGCACCGCTGAACATCTGTTTAAGTGGAAAAAATCATTTACCTGGTGTGCATTTGTAGTCTGTTCATTTCAGACTGAATCACTGACAGGCATACGTCTAATTGAAGTCTTCAATGTAAAGTCCTCCTCCCCTCTGATGTTAATTTTCCTGCCTGTGAAGCACAAATGAGAATACCGATTGTGGTAATCTCCCGTTTGTGGGACACACACACACGCACTGCCAGTGGCACGCGCACACCCAGAAAGGGGCCATGTTGTGTGAACTCTAATCCCCTCCAACAACAGAATGGTACAGTCCAGTAATCCGCTCTCTGTTGCTGTGGCAGCGGTGAGAGGGTTTTGGGTGGTAGGTAAGACTCCAGCCGCTCTAAAGACTTTTCTATCTCGCCCTGCTCTGGATAACTAGCAGGCCGGGGGAAGCCTTGACGTTGCTGCAGGACACACCAAAGGGGTAGGTCATCCTCTAAGTTTTCTTTACTCTGCGTGTGTAGAGGTGTCAGTGGTCCTTGCAGGTCTCACTGGCTATCCTCCTCTGTGTCTGCTTGGCTGTGACACTGAAGCCCTGCAAGACCCAAAGTTAAGACCTAACACTGCAAAACTAATCAGTGCCACGACAAATCGGGAGTGTCAGGGAAGTGGCTAAGAGCAGAAACTGTTTCATTTGTGTGAGATCCTAAATCCAGCAGCTTATTTTGAAGATTATTTATATCTTAGAATCTGCATGTTGCTCTGGCATTTCCACTCCTAGCTGAGAGGATTTTGCTTTGAGGTCTCATAGCAGTTGTTTTTTAATATTCATTTCAGTAAATCCTGTGGTAAATCCCGTCCTAGTCTGCGATGGACTGCCACTTTTCTTACAGATTCAAAATACGGGACATGAATGAGGCCTAGTCAAGGACAACCTGACAGAAACTGGGTTTTATAACTGCCATATTTTGGAGAATCCAGATTTCAAAGCGAGCGATTTAGGGACAGGGTGGCAGAGCTTTTGATTGGTGGACATCGATATGCTCCGTATTAAAAAAGGAAAATCAACGGCCAGGCCAATCCATTAAGGTGCTTTTAAAAGAAGTGATCCAGTTACCCGTTTCAGTAGTCTGTAGGGATTACACCAATGTGCTTATGGCATTCAGGGCCTGCTGAATGGGATCTGACTCTGCTTTAGTACGCATGAGCCTAAGGTGTATTGGTTCCATTAGCATACTCTGACCACAGTGGTGTAAAGTGTACTCGATATAAGCTGAGTAGATCAGAAGTTAGCCTCTAATCTAGAACCTTATCTGCCAAAAAAGAAAACAATCAGCATCACCCGCTGTGGCCTCGACATGAGGATCTGACGTGGGTGTTTCGTCATCGAGCCTGTTATTGATTTATGACCATCCACTAGGATTTGTGTATTAACCTGATACATACAGGAAACATTTTGTTGCATTCATATTTTTCTAAAATAATATTTAGATCAGTTTTTTTTAACCTCCTCTAATTTGCGAGGAGCTTTGTCGACCTTTTGCTAATTCTTAAAGCAACTGACGAAATCATGAAAAGAACATTTTAGTTTTAGAGAAGGTTTCGATCACCATGTCAGATTTAAATTTTCAAACAGCTCAGTGTCTGATTGCTATTTTTACTAAATCTAAGACAGGTTAGTGATAAATATCCCAAATAAAATGCAGCAAAAGAGTAAACCATTCAGTCAAGCTGTAACTTTTATGTATGGCCAGATGACTTAATCATATGGAACAATGATGCATTTATATACTGTGTGAAAGCCTGACTAGATTTACCGCTACAATACATGTCGACTCAACTTGAGTCATAGAAATCACTTTCACTTCTATTCATGTAAACCATTTTATTTTATGAAAAATATTCATGCACACTCACTGAACTCATTTCTGTGGTACCATTTTGAAAAATAGCATTAGGGTGAGTAAATATCTGTGATTTTTTTCATGACTGTTCATTATTAATGTTTTTATTTTACGGTACATATAGGATGTTGCAATGACTTATTATTTTGGGTCCAGAGCATTTTCTGTCAGAGGTACAAACTTCTTTACTGCCAAAATGAAGATTCAATTTGACTGCAGTAGATCAACTTTCTTTTTTGATGGTGTGCAGATAACATCATTAAGAACTTTTAGTAAGAAATAACTATTCTGATATGAAATACAAGCATATTTATCAGTGTTCATTCTTTTTTTTTCTACTGATATTAAATAGCTTTTAAAGCAGTAATTGACAGCAGTAAAAGACTTGATACTGGGAATAAAAGTATCTTTTTGACTAAATACTTACCCAGGAACAGAGCAGAACATGAGCAGCTGTTAACACTTATTAAAACAGAGGACCAGCAGGGAGACATTCAGTGAGTGATCAGTCTACAGTTTAACTTTAGCACCTGGTTTTTAAATGTGGGTCTGATGAGAGTCTTCCTGGACAAGAACCAGCCATGCACTTTTCTTAAATGACCTGTAAATAAACTTTTTCTGTTACATATCTGGGCATTTTGCCCTTCTTAAGACAGGACAGCTGAAGAGAGACAGGAAATGTGGGAGAGAGAGTGAGCAATGGGTCATGTCCGGGACATGAACCAGTGACCACTGCAACAAAAACTATAGCTGCTGTAAGTGTAAGTAAGGTGCTTAGACCATTAGGCCATCAGCACCCTAAAGACATCCCATTTTATTAAACTACCTTCTGAATTCAACTATTGAAACAGGTTCCCTAAGTAGTACTCCATTGTCACCATTTCTACAGCTAGCTCTCAACATTTCCAGGGTGATTGTCTATGACTGATACAACCATCTAGTCTTCAGATTTAAGGCAAATTATACAGATAACTTATCAGTGTTATGTTTTTCGTATGTTCAGTGCTGCTTGAGGGATTACAAATGTTTGCATGCTCTTTTTTTGTTTTAGTTACAGTAAAATAAATGTTTGATAGCTCAAGTAAAACAGCTGATGACTCCCAGTCTGGTTGGCGTAAATATGATGTTTTTTCCTCATTAGGAATTTATGTAGGAAAAAAAGACTTGATTTGTGCACAAACATGACAGTAAAGTAGTAACTGTGAAGTAGGTACAGGAAGTCAACGTAGACCTATCAGTGATTCGATAGAAGCACTGTTACGTTAAAGTTAAAAATCCTGAAATTTTGTCTTATTGCACATCTTTAAGCGTCCAGATGTCTTGATGAATCTTTTCTTTTTAATTATTCAAAGTGTGTTACAAGGCCTGCAAAACTTTCATTTTTGCTCAAAGTTAGCTTAACGGTTTGCATTTTTGGATCACTGACAGTAAACTGATCTTGATCTTTTCTCTTTCCATATGAAAAAAGAGGATTACACACTGCACCATGACCAAGTCAAATCTCTAAAACATGCGCAGCTTGTTAGGTCAAACAGAGTTTTGTCCGGTTACTGTGTTGGCACATAAACCTTTAAAGTGATTCATAATAACCTAAGCCACACTCTAATGCTGTCTATGACAGTCCCTTTATACCTCATAACATTGTATAAATCAGACATTATGTAACAGCCCACCCCCCTCCTCATTCGTCAAAACCATGTTAGAATTATATCACATGTGGCCTGAACCTGATTTTATTTGTCCTCATTGTGAGCTCTCACTGTCCTCCTCTCAAAATTATTGCTCTTTTTATCCTGAGGTGATAGACTTTGGTGTTATTTTAGTTTTAGATCCAAGCTCAAAGTACTAAATTGAAGGGGAAGAGATATTATTAGTATGACCGTTACTAAACCAAAATGTTCCCAAAATATTAAAATGCCCAATACAAGCCAACGCAGACTTCACCTTTTTTGAATCGCTGCTGTAAAGCTTCAAGTAAAAAGCACATTAGTCCAACCATTTCATTTTTGTACTGAGTTTGTTTAATTGGGAAATGACTGGGAGCTTTCGGGTCCACACAGTCCTGTTCCAGATATGACTGCTCATTGCTTAAGTGTTGATAGAAATCAGTGATATGTATCCAACTAATTATGTGCATTTATTTATTTTATTTGAAATGATAATAATGATTCACAGTGAGCTCTTTGTATGTGTCAGTTAAAGATACTTTTAAAAATCAACTTTGTATCCCTATAACATCCTAAGAGGTCATGTGAGCCCATTGTTAGCTTAAACTTTGCAAAGAAAACATTTCCCTATGAACTTAAGAGTGAAATGACCAAGAAAGCTTCCCAATTAAAAACACAAAAGCAAACATGATGTCTCTGGTTTAGATGTCTCGCCACCCTGATGTTAGTGCCGCCTCTTTGGGGCCATAGAAAATTCAATACAGCCATGTCTGGCCCTCTGGACAACCAATTGATAGGCCTGTCTTTGCCCTTTTAAGGCCTGGGCTGTAAAAACACTGTGATCACATACAGTCTATTTAGACAACTTAGGGAATGTGATTTAGTTTAAGTCAGTTAAACTAAAGCTATCAAACACACATCCTAAAGATATTGGGGAGTTTGGCTCGGCCAAAACTTAAAAACAAAACAACAGTTTTCTGTTCTCTTTAGTCTGCATCCACATATTATCCTCCTGCAACAGTTTTCACCCTTGGCATGTGTTTCTCTAAGCTGTATTTGGAGAATAAATGGTGCTTTGTAATTCAAGCTTATCATTAGTGTTTTTGTTATGTATTTTTAAAAGAAAGGTGAAAACAGTCTTTGTGAGGCTGGTATGTCAGCCATTGAGGATTTTCGCAGGAGAAGCAGCTTAGAAATGGAGGTATGCGTTCAAATATTGCAACAACAACAACAACAACACCAACTGTTTGTTCGTGGTCACACAGAGATTGTAGCTTCACCTCTGCTCAGGCGTCACTCCCATCTTAGTCCATGGCTGCCAGATTGTAGCGGTAAACTCCACTCACTTAAGACAGCCCACTCAATGGGTATAAAGTGTTACGATCTAATTAGGAGTCACAGGAGGACGGCGTGATTGAACTTTAACCGGACAAATGCAATAGTGGGCAGTAAGCCAGAAAACGTAGATTGCTGGCACAAAGTAGCTTGTGATGGATTTGACAGGATGACCACCAACTGGAACCAGGAGGAGAAAATCAGCTGAGCACTTGTCCAGAGCTCTCATTCCTGTGCACGGTTTATTGTAAAGGGGCCAAAGGAATTAGTGCCTCCTGCCGGCCTCTCGTCACCACTACTAACACCATATGGTCTCCTGTCCAAAAGATAAACCAGGGACAGCTTCACCGAACTTCACAGACAGGCCGCCAAGCTGACGCCAAACTGTCAGAGTGTAGGTCCTCAGTCCAATTCTTGGTACACAAAGTCTTGGAGCTAACAGAGCTGCTGTGAGCAGCTTCACGTGTGAAAAGAAGACAAGCCTCCAGCATTAAGCGCCTGCATGTCAGCCTGGATCGACACCGGCCCACAGTGACCCCTCTAAGGATAGGGGTAAAGCTATTGAGTGGATGGATGCCAGCACACTTTCACATGGTTTTCCGACTGCAATCGAGCAGTGTACAGATTCAGTGAAAATTCTGTGAATGAGTACACTGATGGGAGAAATATAAGAAATACGTTAGTCCCGCATAAATGTGGACCTGTCCGTCTTTGAAGTTCACCATCCTGTCAAATCATTGAGTGTTACAGATCATGCTGGTTCTACAGTTGTAGTGTCACTGTTTAGCTGCTGAGGAATATCTCCACCTCATTATGACAGGTCCAGTGTTTAAGATTAAAATGATTGAGGATTTCAGCAGTTCCTCTGTAATTGAAATATAAATTTGTGTACTATGTGTATCTCCTTTGGAAAAAGATGAATGTAAATCAAATCATACTGAAAACAAGAAAGCTTAAGTTCCCTTTTATATACTCTCTGATGAAAATATCTTCTTGTTTAAGACTGTTTTGGGAAAATATTTATTTGCATGTCACCTTATTTAAACCTAGTTGCAGAGGTGCATAATTTATTTTAATGCATTTTATTTCTTAGGCTGATATCTTGTATAACTGAATGAAAACTTTTACATTAGGTATCAGAAAAGAAATTGTAAACTAAAAGTTTTGAGAATATGTTGCAGACCTCTAAGACACTAGTATGTTTTAATGTTTATTTCAACATATTTTGGTGGTTCAGTTGTTCTTAGTGCAGGAACCATTAACTGGTGTAAGTGTCCCCTCCCTTTCCTTTAGAAAAGAAACCACTTAAATGATTGTCTCTGCAGTCCAGAGGGAAACACCTTCCAGTGCCTAACAATCAAAAAAGTTTAAAGGAGAGATCCCCTTGGTGGCACGTGGCAGAGCGCCCTTGATCCTGTTATTGGGTCATGGCCTTGGCTGCACTAGCACAGTTTTACTCTGAGCATAAGTAGGTTTGTTCTAAATTTAGATACTGATTCTCCGACTCTTAACCCCTAACCAATGTCATCCTTCCCCCCTCCTCCACCCCCACCTTGGTCCAAAGTAGCTGCATTGTCCCATGTCTATAAACGATGAAAGTGTAACAGTAATTTGTTGAGAAAAGCCACCTGCTGAGAAACATTGAGCTCTTCACTCTTTAGCTTAATTAGATAAGAGAAGACCTTTGCTAATGTGCTGCTGGAGGGATTCCCCCCGGATTATTCATTGATTATAGTTGGACCACTGAGAAGACGTCTTGGTGATAATCTCTCACTCACAGTGGGGGTGTGAAGTAAAGCGTAACTGTGCAGCATAACAATCATACACTCACTCCTCTGTCAGCAGCCTGTCATGTTTTTAACCCAAGAACTGAAGCTTCTTGTGCATGCTTGCTCTTCAAGATCGCCTCCAGTAAATTCATTGGGACTGACTGAAACATATCCTCCATCAGGTTGTAGGAGAGACCCCGTGTGTGGTGTTAGATGAAGCTCCATCCAGGCGTGAGAAGACTCCCGGAGAGGAGGAGGAGTCGGGGCTGCAAGTGACGCCCCAACCGGGCCTCAGCCCGACCCCCTCCCATCAGGAGGAACACTCAGAGGAGCAGCGCCTACAGTTTCTGGTGAGAGCATCCGACATTACTGCACACCCCAGTATCTCTTAATAACGCTATTGTATGAGGCTTTACTAAATCTCATAGTTTATGTAGTTCTGACATGCAACATTTGTTTATTTGCTGTTTTAAATATCAGCTTTACATTCAGTGTAAGTCTGCTAAGAACAGATGTAAGTTGTTCCGCTGGTGCAGCAGAGGTTTGCTAACAGAGAGTGATTAAATGTTCCTGGTTCAGCCCTGATATCAGTCACTCTGAGGGGTCCTTCCTGCAGGGGTTATTATTACACAGTGTGCATATCTGCTGGAGGAAAGCAGGCTTTGTTCTCCATTTTGCATGTTCATGAAACTGAAGATCTAATTCAGGGCTGCTGTGCCGGAGTAAAACTATGGTCAGATTTGTTATGTAATGCTGGGATTATTTTGATCTCGTCACTTGGAAACAGGAGAGTGTATTGCGCCGGCTGATACAACGAGAGGGTCTCATGGCTTAAATAGACCACATCCTCTCTCAGCTCTGTTAGGATGAAAAGTAGAGATTGCAGTGCTCTTTTTTGAGCACTTAAATCTGAGATCACATCAGTTAGATTTTATACACTAACATTAAAAGCTGCATGTCTCCTTGCCCTTTACCATGCAGAGACATTTTCATTTCTAAATCGTAGAGGATCTTATCTGCTGTACACTCAGTGCTCTCACTAAAAAGCATTTTGAAAAGCTGATGTAGCAGTTTTTTCATGTTCTGTATAAAATTGCCGATGTACCGCTGTGATTCTCTGAAGTAATGTGCTGCTGTAAATCTCTCTTTTCAGAGATTTTCTTTCCTGTTATTGTGTATATACTCCCTTTTTTTTAAACCAGCTTATTCTCGTGGCTTAAATTGTCATTAAAGCTGCAAAATCATCCAAGCAAGAGCAAGGATATTATGAACATGACTTAGTGTTCAAGGTCCTGATCTGAACATTGGTGGACTTGGTCCATTCAACCTTTAACTGATCACATATAAATCACTATTCTTTCTAGGGCTGTAATCAACCAAAGAAATTCTTGGTCGACTAAATCCCTGAAATTTTCAAACAAAAATCGACTAATGGGGGGGTTCCAATTCAGACGAGACAACGTGGCTCGGCGGGGTGAAAATATACTGATATCAGCACAAGAAGAAAATTGAACACAAAAGGCTAAAATATTAACATTCTGCAAAACACCAGATGTTGATTAAACATGGACGCTCTTCAGTCTTCTAGTTTCCTGCTGGTCTCCTGTGGTTTGGCTGGGTTGGCAAATCCAAAATGGTGAAAACAAGGGGGCTGCTCTGGTATGAGACAGGCTGTTACCTGTGAAAAGGGGATGCACTGAAAACACCCCCATTGGCCCTTGGTACGTTCCTCTTGATGAAATTAACCATAGACTGTAACTTGACGCAGAAAAAAATCCTGACCAATCAGAATTTTGGTTGACTCAGCATGTATCGACCAATAACTCGACCAGTCGACTAGGACTATACAGCCCTAATTCTTCTTCTCTCTTCTAAATGTACTGTACCTCAAAGGAATATTTCTGGGACACATTTGGGTGGTTACTTAGCTCACATTAGCAGTAAATGTATATGTATTTGGTCATGTCAAGAAAATCATCAGGCAGGACTTTGGAGCTGAACTTGCTCTTCAGTTGACCTGTTTCTTTTGCCAATTCTGCCACAGGGGATTTGTTTCTGTGTCCCCTTCATAACATAACTTCTACATCATTCTTGATTTCCCGTGGGGCGGGCTGAGGGTCGTAATCCTTACATCAACTAACTGTCATGGGAAGGGAATACAGTTTTAGCTTGTTGGATATCTCAAAGATTTCAATGAGTTTTAATAACAAAGCACATCAGATACAAAATCAAAGAGCACCCCCAAAGACTACAGCGGACTACACAAAAGATATTTGCAGCCACATAAGGAGACACATGCAAGTCTACCTGCATGGTGTATTGTAACGCAGTGTTGTACAGGCACTCGTGCTGACCCGAGAACAGACTGTAATTTATGTTCTTATCTGGCATTATATTTCGCCTCACCATCAGGTTACAGTTAACACATAATAACTACTTGGTGTTATGAACTGACTGGAGTACAGACAAATCTGATTCTTTTACTTAAAGATCCAGCTGTACTTCTAATAAGCAAATGTTAGCATGCTAAAGTGTTGGTATTGTCATTGAGTACACTTGTGAATACTTCCATGAACAATTTGCTTAAAGCCCAGTTTTTATTGGTCTCAGTCTGACAGACTGTACACTCATTTTTATCAGTGATCCAATAATTTTTAGCAAAGGCCCTTTGGAAGTCCTACGATAAGTTCCTCTTTGTGGATTAGAACAATCTGAAATTTGATAATGAGGGAAGCAGCTTGTGGTGAGTTCATAGGAAGATTTAGTGAAGAATAAAATCAGCCCCTCATCAGCGAAAAGTTCATTTAAAGTGTCGCCTTTATTGTGAAACAGCTGGGAATTCATTTATGTTCCAATCAGTGAAACGTCTTGGTGGTTTACTTTCACAGTCATCACTGCCTCAGATCAACAGAAAATCATTGCTCCATAAACAGAAGTCATTATCCGGGTCTTTAGAGCTGTGATGATACAATCAAGCACATCAGCACACAGATTGCAGTTTAATTACGATTATTGTCTTGCTGTGTCATCATTGGAGGGAGCTCTGTCTCTCCTCCAGTCAGCTGCTGGTGGTCTGCAATTAGCCTGTCCGTCCTGTAGCCTCCCCCACACTGTCACAGTGGTAATACTTGATTGAGGCCCAGAGGCCATGCTGAAATAAGCTGATTTCTCCAATGCTGCTCCTGCATGTAAGCTGCATTTAGAATAATTAAAGGATGCTAAGCTTTGCAATACCTCATTGCTGTGATGTCGGAGGTCAATATGGAAATAAAGACAGCGTGCCCTGCAACCCATAATATGAGTCTCTAAATCATTTGTCATACTACACATTGTTTATCCTGGTTGGCTGTAAAGCAGTAATAGGTGCATGGGTTGTGATTTTAACATTGTGAAGAACAAGATCTAGTATTGACTTAAAACAAGCATTTAATTTGGCTCTTCCCTTTCTGTCTCTGTCTTGGTTTAGGAAAGTGAGCTGAGCAAGAAGAGAAAAGAATGTGAAAACCTCGAGCATGAAGTAAAGAAGCGACAGAAGAGATGTCTGGATTTGGTAAGCGGTCCTTGTGCTCCAGAGTTTCCTCTCACACACTCTCTGGTGGTGCTGCTGTAGGCTGGTTTGAGCGTCAGCGTTGATAGAACTGGATTTCCTGAACTTGGTGTTTGGTTACAGGAGAGCCAGCTTGAGGATGAGCGAAGCAAAAATGAGCAACTGAAGGAGGAGGCGGATCTCCTCAGAGGGAAGGCACTGCTGCTCGACCAGGTCAGCGCCTCTTGTCCTTCACAGCTCCTCAATGAAAAGATTTGACAGTATGTTTGCAAACAGACACAATTAAACCTGCTGTTACGTTTCAGACTCGGGCTGAGAATGAGGAGCTGAGGGAAGATCTCTCTGAAGTGACCGCTCAACACAATTCAGTTCTCGAGGAGAACCAGAGACTCCGTGCCAAACTGGAGAACCTAGAGCAGGTCCTAAAGGTGCTGCTTGTGTCGGATATCATTCCTGGTATTTCAAGTCTCACTGTTGTTGTTTTTCCAACTAACAAACTCTTTTTTCTGAACAGCATATGCGTGAGGTCGCCGAGCGAAGGCAGCAGCTGGAATTGGAACATGAGCAGGCACTGGCTATCCTTAAGTTCAAACAGGATGAGATCAAACGCTTACAGCGGGTAATGACTCCTACTGTTGTACATTAAATGCATTTGAATGTTGATGCTATAAATGTTTGATAAAATCAGAAATTTCACGCTAAAATCGAAGTTTTTATGTCATCAATAAGGCTGCTCAAGGCCTGACCTTTCTTATTTGGGATTTTGTCCAGCAGGAGGCAACATTTAGGCACCTAAAAAGCCCCTGTGTTACATTAACTAAGCTTGCTGCACCATGTATGGACTTGAATGAACAAATGCCCAATGTTACTCTGACTTTGATGTCTTTCATGATCACCAGGCTCAGTTATTTGCCAAGCGGGAGCATGAGGGAGTGGTTCAGATGCTTGAGGTGAGTGTGCATTCGAAAGCATCTATAAAAAAAAGAAGAAAAGCAAGTGAATTTTTTTTCCTCCTTTTTTACCTGCTTCACATTAGAGCTCAGAGTCTCTTTCAGGAGTTCACGACAAGTTATCAAAACACAAATCAAAGATGCCAGTTTTTATTGCAACCACATTAAACAGAGGGGACCTGTTGGTCAGATTTCCTCCGTTTTTGAAGTGAGTCCTCCTCTAACAAGAATGAATTGAGTTAATAATTTAAGAAGGATTTTCTCATCTCCTTTAGACCATGCTAAAAAGATATAAATATTTCATTATCTCTGTGTCGTCTTCAGACAAAAGCAGCAGCAGCACGGTCAGCACAGTACAAAGGGCTCTGTATTCTTATCTTAACACCTGGCAGAGAAGCTGCTGCCAAAAATACTTAGTGAAGCACTCATTGGCCTTGAAAACCGTTTGAACAGATGGCGTCTCTGCTGCCTTGTAACGTTTCGACTTGCTCTCAATGTGAGTGTTACACACTTTGAATTCAAAATGAACCCAGACAGTCGATGACAGTTAAGTTTCCATCGTCTCTGATTGGCTGCAGATTTTAAATGAGGCGGAAAAAAAAGGAAACCTTCAAAAATGTCATCATCTGCCCTCAATGACTTTAGATGTGTGCTGTCTGTGTCTGCATTTTACACACTGTGCATTTTGCAACACCAGTTTGTCCCTAAATGAAGTTTGTATTTTATTTTAGGAGTTGACGCAGCTTGTATTGCGGAGGGAGCTGGTAGAGTATAGCTGCTCCTGTTGTCAAAGAATGCTTGTTTCCTTCCTCTTGCTTTGCTTCTCTTACTTTCTTTCTTTACTTAAACCTAAAGAGAGAGTCTTTCTCTCTCTTGGGGAGAGCTTTGGCACCAAGTCAACACTCTGCATTTTCACAATCTGTTTGGAGCAGCTTGTGAAATAACAAACAGAATATCTGTGTTCATGTAAAAGGCAGGTGTTGGCTCAGAGGGCCAGGACTCGTTTCAGTGATATTGATTCCTAATCAGATTTTCTTGCTGTGTTATTCTCAGATTGATGTGTTTCTATTTGATCTAATGTTCTTTCTTTCCAACATTTATTGTTTCACAAGCATGTGTTTACTTTGGTTACCTTTTTTCTCCTTTGTGTTATCCTTTTGCTAACCAGAGTACACTGGACTGCATGCAGGTACTGTTGTTAACCTTTAGCCTGCTAGACCTCCTGTTCCAGATTATAAACCTTATGCCACAGAGCCTTCCTGAGATCCCGTAGATAGAGCCACCAAACCTCATAGTTTTTGATTTGAATCCTTCATGTGTTCAGTAGAAATTCATAAACTGAAACAAGCGCAGAAGTCACCAAAAACACACTTTCAAAATGCTGCTTGTGGCTCCAGACACCGATTTGATGCAATTTTAGAGGTTACTGGAGTGCGCATAAACCAGGTCATGAGATCAGTGAACATTGTGTTTCTGTGGCACAGTTATCACTAAGCTCTAAGCACACTTATCATGACGTCATGTTTGCGTGATTTCATCATAATAAGGATAAAGTCTACTTTTATAGATAGCAAACACATCACTGAATCTAGCATCTGTATGTAAATCAGCACTCATTTCAGCTTCACAGAACTCAGTAACGACTGACTGCAGACTCGGCTCGAGATGTCGAGGTGAGAGCTGACAGGAAATGTTGTTCACACAGTTTCGTGCAGAGGCTTTTGTCAGATCAGCCTGCCAGGAAACTCCCACCGCAACCTGAAGTGAAATCAGCCACATATAGAAACTCAGCATTGCTATGAGAAACCTCTGTAGTGTTCTGGAAAATAACCCCGCTGTGTAGTGGCGTTGTTTAAGTGAATGCAGTGTAAGACAGAAGCACAACATGTAACTTCTCATAACCTGCTTCCCTTTTGACTGTTTTTTACTCCTGCTTCTCCTCTCACCAAAAACGACCCATCTCTATTCCTCTCCATTTTTCTTTTCCCTGAAGGTTGAATTCTTTTGTTGGAAGTGTGTTAAAGATGTTTTACTGATACTTTATCTTCCTTTGCTTTCAGACACCTAACATAATACGATGATCAGTTTATATCTTACTTACAAATTATAAAAGCAACATTGCATTTGCTTTTTTTCCATATTGAAGTTGTTGTTCTATCAAATCATTCACCATCATAATCACAACTTTGTGAAAACATATCCAAACATAGATTAATTTTTATCTGTGGTGAGTTTTCAATAGTCACCAGATAAGCTGTCTAGGTGTTAAGATTTCTTCACTGAAAACTCTTAAAGCTTGTTTTTGCATACTCGGCCTTACTTCTATCCTGCAAAAGCAATGCAGGCCAAAGGCCTTTATGCTGTGTGGGCAGTGTGAAAAGCGCCTATCATTTCTGATTATGTCGGCGGTGCAGCAAAACGTGAGAAAGGCCTGATGAGGGTTGATATTTACCAAAATGTGGGGTGACAAGTACATTTCCCCTCAGCCAGTCACATTACTGGTGTTACTGTTCAAGTGACAGCTGCAGGAAGCACATTTTTAAGACAACAAAAGTGAAAATATCAGCTTTTATAGGAAACTCTTTTACTGTATGACTGCTGCAGAGAAACACAAAGGAAACTCTCATATCATTGCAGATGATTCAAACATACTGTAGCTTGATGGGGAAGCCTTTTATAAACCTCAGAGTATCAGTCCAATGTTTTGGACAAAAAACAAGTTAGTGAAGAGCAGAACAGAATATAACAGATTGTGCTCAATGACACCTTGCATCTATTCATAATTGGGGGAAAGGAGTAAAATTGCACAACGTTGGTTAAGAATAATGCAAACATTGGACAGCCAGTTCTAATCTCAACAGTATGAGCTGAGTTCACACAGTTCATAAATAAGATTTTTAAAATCAGAGTTTCTTTGAAAAAAAAAAGAATTTTAGAACGGACAGAGTGATTTGTTAGTAGATAGTTTTAAAAAATTGTGTTATAAGACAGAATTGAATAACTAGCCTTCAACATAAGACATATAACAGTAATACAAAGCTACACGACACAACACATGCTCACATAGTCTAACACAGAGTTGAGTGTTTGAAATCTTCCATTTTAATTCTAATGCTGCCGATAGAGCTGCAGCTTTGAATGCTGTCTGTGTGTTCTGCTGAGAGGGAGTTTCACAGAGAAAGCTGACTACCAAAGGCAGAGTTCAGAACAATCTGATGATGAAGAACTTCTCTGGGATTTTATTGACTTCTTTGAGTGAACTTAAAGTAACATGGTGGAACTGCAGCTGAACCATTTTAAATTGTAAAGAGTATATATCCTTTTGAAAATTAATGTAATGGTTCTGACAAACTAATCCCATGCTGACCAAAACAGATTCTGGGTGGATTACCTATAAGAGTCAGAAAGGTTGCTAAATTAAGAGAACTAGCACCCTATTTGCAAAGGCCAAGTCCCGTCAAAGGGTCTTTCTCACCGTCTCTCTTTGCTGCATGTCATCCCCTCATTCTTTTTTTGGTATCCTGTCTCTGTGCAGCTTTCCTATCTAATCAAAAACCCCAAACTCCACAAAATCACATCTTAGAGTGAGTGACTGCATTTGTTATGTGCATTCATATGTGAATCTTCCTTGTCTGTGACACCACGTGTAGTCAAAGGTGCGAGAGCTGGAGGAGAAATGCCGCAGTCAGAGCGAACAGTTTGGCCTGCTGTCCCAGGAGCTGGAGAAGTTTCGACTGCAGGCATCAAAAGTGGACCTGGCCAGCACCAGCCTCCTTAACAATCCCAGCCTCTCTGTTCTGACCAACGGAGTGGGCCTGACTACAGAACGAGGTGAGCCACACCACCATGCCGTGTGGATTTAAAGACCAAAATAAAGCAAGGGAATAGGAGTTGAATAGGGCTTTTGGTTTAGCACAAGAGGACTGTCTTTTCATTTTGCTGTTTCTATTTTATTTCAGTTCCAATTCAGTTCCGTGGCTGAAGCTGTCATTGTATATTTTCTTGTGTATATTTCACTTTTAAAAAGCACTTGACAATCAGGTGAAATGAACAGATTGCTTTTGTTAATTGAAATGAAAAACAGACTTTCTTGCCTTCAAGATATTGTCAAACGTGGAAATCATTCAAATGCACAATGCATTTGCTTTCTCTGATTTAAATTCTTAAACTTGAGCACATTTTCTGGGGATTTATCTGTCATATCAGAGCTTTTCCTTCTGTGGCTGTGAATACAAAACATCTGAAATTGTCCTCCACCTAACAAATGCAGATGATTAGATCCTCCATTATGCTTCCAGCTGTGCAAATCTAGTCTTTCCTGCTTTCTCTCTCTTTCCTCTTCACTGCTCATGTGTTTTAGACTGCACTGGGGGCTCATGGGATATGGTGTCTCTGGGTGAAATAGCCTTCTGGAGTCTCGAGGGAGGTGACACTCTCTCCTGCCCTGAGGGTAAAGCGCCGCTCGGTTCTGTCTCTGTGGTGTTGGACACTGTCACAGTCAGCATGGCATGTTCTAACACATCATCTTCCCCTCACTGTCACATTCCAGCACTGCCTCAGAGCCTTTCTGTAACAATTTGATGTGTCAGAGTTTTCCTGTAACAGAGTATTTCTAACAGTTTCTCTGTAAGGTTCACCATCTCATGAGGGTCGGAGCTCAGAGGTGAGAAATGAACTAGTTAAGCCCCTTAACAGTGCTGGTGTGACACAAGGTAGTGTGACCCCTGACCTCAGACAGATGGAGAAAGGATTTCTCCTCCACTGTTTAATCAGCCAGGTTCAACCTTGAGCCGCCTCCTGCATGTAGAGCGCTGACCTCACCCACCTAGCTGCTCATGGATTGCACCAGGTTAACCAGTGAGAGGGCCAAGCTTGTCTGTTAAAGTCTTGGATTATGTATTTATCCTCTTCCTCTCTCCCTCTCTCCTTAGATGTGGCAGCTGCACTGCGGATGGGGGCCACCCCCCACGCCGCAGGGCTGTCCAGGGTGGAGCGCTCTCCCGTCACAAAGCACCGAGAGCTGCCCACCATCAGTGTCAGCAAGTCAGGCTCCACCTCCAGCAAGTCAGAAACCGCACACCTCACCCCCAAGTCTGACACCCATCTCAGCCCGCACAAATCAAGTCCAACACACGAGGTACCAGCTTTCTAGATGTGCAGGGCTAATGAATATATTTTCTTATTGTGATGTTTTATCAACAGAACAAAAAAATAACTATAATTTGTTGCTAATGAGAATGTCTGAAGTACATCTAAACCCAAATACACTGTAGCCCTCATACTACGGCCCCTTTTTCACACTCAGTTTTTGTCGTTTTACAACATTAACCTAAAAAATAATCAAAAAGAAAGTACATACAGGGTTATTGGGAGAGGGGAGAAATGTTTGATATCATTTGTAATTAAATCCATATATAGATGGAATAAAGTTTGGTTACTTAAAAATGAAAAGGTCAGTGGTTCCTTTAAGTCCCAGAACTTCTTACAACAAAACATAGGAATTATTAATGCTTCATTTCAGGGTATATTTAGAATTGTTATTATGCCAAATATTTTTTACATTTTCGGTTTTGAGTAAAAGTTGTCCGTCTCATACATTTAATGATTTCAATCCTTTTATTGATTATTGAGGATTACTATCAGCTGAAAGTATTTGTGATTAGCGTAAGTCCCGCTTTTAATGGCACATTTTTGAGGGGGACTTCAGAAAAAACGCTCTGAGTTTAATTTTGATTAATTTTGCAGTTAAAGTCATTCATTACTAGCATATAAAAATTGAGAAGAATCATTTTTGTTTTCTGGAGCGCATCTGCTCTTTTTCTTTACACTCACAGGAATATGTGACTTTATCTAACTAGTATTAAACTTTCATATCTCAGATAAATTGATGTTCTGTTACGCCACAATATTCCTGGGTTTTGAATCATCAACTTTTACATCACAAAACTTGAAAACTTGAAGTGACTATTCTGTGTGCTTTCACACCTGCCTTAGTTAATTGTGTATAAATGCTTCGATTTATGGGAAAGCTTACACTCAAAATGAAACCATATTGTTTAACCCCCCCCCCCCCCCCCTCTGTGTGCCCTGTGTGAATATAAAGTAGTGGCTTCTTTACCTACATGGATGCAGTCCTCAGCAGAGTATTCTCTAGGGACAAGTCCACTTCTGCATTCTCTTAACAGACTAACTCTCCGATCACTGTGAAGCTTAGCTGGAGACAATGCAGACTGAGTCTGTTCAGTTGTTGTAATTCACTTTGTGAACTGTGTCACAATGACAGCAGTGACAGGCACTAAAAGTCAACCTCTTAGCTAAAATAGCTTGATGTTCTGTGTGCTATGGAGGACCTCATAGAGATAATAAAAATGACTTCTTCATTTCAAAGCTGCCAGCCACTCTAGCCATCTCCTTACCAAGATGGTTTCCTATTTCTGCTGCATGCACTGGGTGTGTTGGTGTTTCTGTAACTTAAAGCCGTGGATGTACAGTATGTCTGTGACAAAGCTGCTTTTTTCTCTCTGTTTTTCTTCCTGGTTACGTCACTGTGCAGGACTCCTGCCTGCAGCCCCTCTGCTTTCTTTGTATGCACATACACAGGCAGATAGCTCATCAAGATTACCAAGACAGCCATGCCCGATCACATTGATTGTGTGGATTTAATGGATTAAAAAGCCCTCTTTAACCTCTCTGTCATCTCACGCGAGTACACGCTGAAGCTGGACATACGAACACTCCCTCTGCTCATTCAGAAGAGAGGTCTACTGTCATGTAGTAGTAATTTTTTGTTGTGCCATGTGTCCAAAGAGTCTGTGTCTGGTCTTGCGTAACAGACAGGTTGGTGGTCTTTTCATCTTGTCTGCACACAGTTCAATAAAGCTCATATTTAGTGAGATAATCCGCTCGCCTATGTGGATTATGAAGGTTACACAGTAGTAGTTGTAAGTGATTATCTTTAAAAAGGTTTTCCCAGGAGCTATAAATACACCTCTTTCATTGTATTTTGTGGAACAGCTATGAATAAAAATTAAGGTGATTGTCTATAAACCGCAAACCACAATGACTATATGTATAACAGGGGTGGGAATCACCAGTGGCCCCACGATACGATATAATCACGATACTTGGGCCACAATACAATATTTTTGTGATTTTTAACATTTTGCAGTACAGTGAGTATTGCGATACAATATATTGCAATTTACAAAATGTTTTCAACTGTTAGCTGATTTAGCATTCGTCTCTTCTTTATGTTTGTCTTATTCACGCTGCATTTTATTTTCATGCAGCACATCTTTCAAACCTTATACATATTTGTTGCACTAACTTTCTCCTGCTCTATGATGTCACCTCTGCCAACCTCACTAGAAAAACAGTTGACTTTATTTTTCCATTATCATAGATTTGACTTCATATCAGCAATTACTTAGAAAAATCAGTAAATGAGACGATATGATATATCACCAGACAAAATATCGCAATATTATGCTTTATCGATCTTTTTCTCTCACCCCTAATATATGAACACTATATTATACATTACACAGCATTTGCATGTGGATAACCATGCAGAAAAGCTCAAATCTAGCCATGCATTTAGAACTAATGAGCAGTTATTTTTAAAACAAGTGTCAGGTTTCATACATGCTGTGGCAAAGAATAATCTACACAGTGAAAAGTCAAGGCAGCAGTTTTTTGTGTTAAATATCTCATACCACATTTTATAACAAAATGCTCTGTTGCGCAAAAGTTGCACAGTCAAAAACTCCTGACATGTATTTACTTTGTTGACAGAATTAAATATTCATGACAATAGCCCTTTAATGATTTTTTTCAAATGTAAATGCTGACAGTTTAAGAAACCCACAATAGTGAAGGTATACTTGCTTCTATCTATGTATATATGAGCACATGATGGCTTTCTTAAGTTGCCTACATCTGAAAAAAGGAACTCTGCAAGTCCTCAAAAATAACCCATTGTGGTTGCAATGTTCATCTACGGTAGCAGCAGAACAGGAAGAAAAGAAATGACAGTCAAGCAACAAGAGGTCAACTTTGAAAGAGGTGGCAAAGACTCTTTACCACTGCACAGCAACAAACATGCCAGCCTTAAAAAAAGCTCATCAGACTAGGGGTCAAATAATTGTCAGCCCATCGTAGGTGCTGATATTTGTCATTTGGCTGATTATTCATATCTGTCTGGGACTGTTATGTCGAAGCCAAATGATGCCCACAACATGTTCTGTCTACCAGTCTTCAGTCGCCTAAGCTGTTGTAGAAATTTTCATTATTCAAGCCACATAAAACTGTAACATCTGCATGTTCAGCTAAGGCTCTTGTTAACTTCCATGAATCAGACACTTACCTGAGCTCCCCTGTTGTACCTTATAGAGCTCTCCTCCAGTAAGACATATTGTGCCTCGTCATTATGGGTGAAATACTCACACGACTGGTTGTGTATGTGAAGTTTAGTTAAACAGCAAGTACTTCTTCAGCCTGAGATCTAAGTCATTGACTCTTTGTCTTTTGGTGTGCTCCAGGTGGACACAGCTAGTGAAGTGGAGGAACTAGACATCGACGTGGCCCCGGCACCTTACACAGCCAGCAGAGGAGCAGCCAAGCTTCAGGTTTTTATTGCAAGATACAGGTTAGTATTTAAGTACCGCAAGATTTGAGCCACTGTATCAGCAAACTGCCAATATTTGATCAAAATAACTTGTTGTGCCTTTGTTTTCATAAGCTATAATCCCTATGATGGTCCAAATGACAACCCTGAAGTGGAGCTTCCACTCACCGCTGGAGAGTACATCTACGTGTATGGAGACATGGATGATGATGGCTTCTATGAAGGTGAGACTGGAGGGTCAGTTGTTTTATCTATAATTTCATGTTTCTGTCTCCACATAGTGTTCAGTGTTTCACTCATGCTGCCCACAGGTGAGCTGATGGACGGACGGAGAGGGCTGGTTCCCTCCAACTTTGTGGAGCGAGTATCAGACGATGATGTGATGAGCGCTCACCATCCAGAGACAGGGGACATGTCTCACAACTCCCTGCTAGACAGCAGCCTGCACAGTGCCAGCCACCAGCATCACCTCCACCTGGGCGCCAGTGCCTCAGGAAGGACAGAAACCCATACTCCCTCAGGCCCCGCCTCAGCCCTCTCAGACTCAGCATCGGCCTTGGCTGTCCCAGCCCCCCTCACCAACGGCCTGGACTTGGATTTGGAGGAGGTGGGAGTGGACGTTGTGCCTTACCCACGTAAACTCACCCTCATAAAGCAGCTTGCCAAGAGCATCATCATCGGCTGGGACCCTCCGCTGGTGCCGGCTGGGTGGGGCAATGTGTGGAGCTATAATGTGTATGTGGACCAGGAGCTGCGGCTCAATGTGCCCTTCGGTTCTCAGACCAAAGCAGTGCTTGAGCGGCTGGACATAAACCTCAAGGCCTACCGTGTGTCAGTGCAGAGCCTGACAGAGAAGGGCCTCTCTGACCAGCTGCGCTGCAGCATGCTGGTGGGTCGGGACGTTTGTGTGGCACCCACGCAGTTGCGCGTGGAAAGGATTACCGCCACCTCTGCCAACCTGACCTGGCTGCCCAGCAACAGTAACTATGTGCACATTGTGTCCTTGAACGAGGAGGAGTGTGAGCTGGTGAAGGCTGGCTGCTACTCGCTGTGCCTCAATAACCTCATGCCGAGCCTGCAGTACACAGTCAAAGTGGAGGCACGGCCTCACCGCACGCCATGGGAGCTACCTGTGGAACGACGGGAACACAGAAGCGCCACTATCACCTTCAGCACGCTGATGGCAGGTCAGGATTTTGTCCTTTCTATAATATTTTTTTGGGAGCACCTTGGGATGTTCTATCAAGGTGCCATGCTTATTACACTTACACATAAAACCCAGGCCATAAATGTAATATTGGCAGAGTAGTAGACCCTCAACACATTTGGCAAATTTTTGATCCAGATGAAAGTTTAGTCCTTTGGTTGAATAAAAAAAAAACTCTTAATCTTTGATGAACTTCTCTCAATTTTTAGTTTTAGAGATTTTTTCAATACTAATGCAGATATTTACAGAGCAGCTTAAACTGATGGCCAATATATAATCTTGATATCTGCATCTTATAAATTGTAAGAATTTATTAAAAATACCAACCATTATTATTCATGCATGAAAACCCAGGATCTATGGTTATTTTAGCCAGAAACATGTTTTTCCAGATAGATTTTGAATTGATTTCTCAAATAAACGAAAAATAAATGTGGCCATGCTCTAGATGTCAGAAAATAACATATTTATGCTGTAGGAAATATTGAACTGCCCTTCATCAGCCTGATTGATTGATTGGCCCAAACCAAAGCCTAAAGACGCGTCTTGTATTTTAGATTTTTGTTGGAGGCAAATATTGAATAGACAGTTAAAGTGGGAGAGAATAAGGTTTGTTGAGGCAGTCATATCAATCTCTAATGTCATGGAGTGACTGAAAGTTGACCTCCATCAAGTCCATTCATCATAGTCCAGATGTGGTATGTAAAACATTAATCTGAATGAGGCTGTCGCCTAAATGCCCAGAAGCAGCTGTGACAGTCATTGCATTTTACACCTCAACCAAACAACGCTTTATACCCCTTGTCCTTGACTAATGGTACCTCAAAAACCTAACGTTCCCTGACATGTAGATGTTTTCATGCTTGTGGGTTAAAGTGATGAACAAACAGCATGATAAACTTTGGGTTAGCCATGATCAGAGTCACTCAGTGAGAGGTAAACCACAGTAACTGACTGAGCTGACCAAAACAGTCTCTCGTTTGAGTTTCAGTAGCAGCACTGTCTTCCTCAGCACTTGGTTTAAAGCCTAACTCTTGTCACTTTGGTGCTACACTTGGACACCAAACGCTAATGTCTGTCTGCTTTTGTCATCTCAAACCAACTCCAACCACATTGCGTTGTGACACCTCAGAGTATTAACGAACTGTTACTGCCAGTGTTAACATTAAACCAAAAATAGGATGAAAACAAACATGATAGTCATTGAGTCTTTATAGCACCTTTTTTAGACGGCCGTGTGTATGTCCTCATGGTGAGCTTGAAGATGTGTGTGTAGATTAAAAGTGTGCCTCAAGACGCTGCAGCTAATCCTACGCTAATCTGAAGATCAGCGGTTGGATCCTCCGCACCTTCAGTCCGCATGTCAAAGTCTCCGTTAGCAAGATAGTGAACCCAAATTTCTTCCGTAAATCATAAGGAGGGGGTGAATTCAGGCTGTTATATGCTTGTGTCGTCAGAGGACTAAAAGTTGAACTTCAACCTTCTAAGTGTAAAGCTGACTATCTTGCATTGATAGCATCTAATCAGTTTTCCTGACATTTGGTCTAAAGCCAACTGCCTACACATCATCCTCCTGTGAGTCAACCCTCCTTATCCTCGTCACCTTAAATCTGACTCTCGCAGCTCTGTGACATGACTCAGCTCAGTTGTTATGATCATTGTGTTCACGCAGGAAAAGCTTTAACAGTCACCTTAGCTTCCATCGAGGGTCCAGTTTAGAAAAGTTTTTGGGCCCCAAGTGTACCAGTAATCGGACTAAAATCTCTGATATCAGCATTCCGATACAAGCAGTCCATTCCAGACTCCGCTCCGGCACCTCTATCTAGCAACGCCCTGATCCAGCATGAAGGGCCCACATAATCACAACAACAGTGTGTACTAAGGTACTAACAAAGTACCAAGGAGTAGGAGTGATGTCGGCCTTGTGGCAGTATTTTTTGTTGAAGTCTGAAAAGGCATTGCAGCTGAGTGCAAAACTTGTCATGCAGAACATTATCGGATCAATATCGCTATCGGTCAGTACTGAAGGCTACAATACCGTTATCATATCGGAAGTCAAAAAGTTGTATCAGGATACCCCTATATGAAATGAACCAACAGTCCACTGCTGGTTCTTCCCAGCTAGTTGCTAAAAACATTGAACTTTTGGACATAGTTTGCAGAGCTCAGTGTTTACCAGTGTGTTGTATCCTGCACTCTAAATAAGGATACTCTATCGGCAGCTGGTGGTTCTGTATCCATCTCACAGACATGTTTCTTCATAAGATATGCTTTCATGGGCTTCCCCAACCTGCCTCTCTTCATTAGGTAGCCAGATCATTCAGATTTAGGGATGTAACTTGAATGATGACACTAGATGCCTCACATACTAACTTGGTTTGATATCTAATATTTCTTCCAAAAGAGTTAAGGTTTAGTCATCATGTGGTGTTGGGCATTTTCTTTTGTGTGACATTTTCGACAACGTCTGTACAAGAATAAGAGGAGAAACACAAGGGTATTGAATGTTTATGGGTGCTCAGTGTGAGCTGTTGGTATTTTGTTCATCATTCAGCCTTTTTAAACCCTGATGATGTTGGTTTGAGGTACCATACTTCCATTCTGCTCGTAGAAAAATATCTGTTCCTCTGATTTAATATCCTTGGGCCTGAAAGTTGCATACTGTTTGTGATTAGTGTCATCCTAGATTTGTGTTGATTTCCTAAAATAATTGTTCAAACTTGTTTAAGTTTCATGCCAACTGTCTGGGAACTCAGGTATATAGTTCAAGTATTTCTTAATGTTAGTGTAGAGTATTAGTGTCATTTCTAAGTAGAGTGATGTGCCCCTTGTGAAAGTTGCCTCCTATCATGATTTTATTATTCCGTCTTTTGAATTGTATGACTATGAAAACATATCTCTGTCTTTTGCTTCTCCCTGCCTTTGGTGGGATACCTTGGGTTCCTGCAGGCCCCCCTGATGCTCCTCTGGACGTTCAGCTGGAGCACGGCCCTTCGCCAGGGATCGCCCTCATCAGCTGGCTGCCGGTCACTATAGATGCTGCTGGGACCTCCAACGGAGTCCGTGTAACTGGATACACCATCTATGCTGATAAGAAAAAGGTGAGGACTGTGTGTTCAGTGAATTTTAATTTGGGGGTTGACTTTTTGTGAGATGTTAAGAATTATTTTCTTTGAATGATATGTGCCCAATTAATCTGACCCTTTGTCTCCCGTCAAAGGTGCTGGAGGTGTCTTCCCCTACAGCTGGCAGTGCCCTGCTGGGCCCCTCTCAGATCCAGTCTCTGCAGGCAGCTCAGGAGCTCACTGTTCGTACCATGTCCGCCCATGGGGAGTCTTGTGACTCGATGCCTGTCAATGTGCCCTCCAAGCTGGCTGCCATCATGGCAGGCCCAGCCATCATCACCCCAGTCGTGCCACCCCTGTCCTGCACCCCTGCAGGTTGCACTAACCTGCCTCCTCCACCGTCCTACGGGAACTCTGCTGCCAAAGTCTCTGTGCTGCCCAGCTCTTTGCCGTCAGACTCTCACTTCTCTGGCCTCATAATAGAGGCTGCTGCCAACCCTCCTCATGCTCTCCATTCAGAGGATCGTCTCTTATCTGCCTCATATGTGAGGGCGTGGGCCAGCCCATCTTCTGCTGCTGCCTTGGCTGTGTGTGAGGCCACATTACCCATAGCCTCCACCATCACTCCTGTGGTATGTCACTCTCTGTTACCTACAAGGAACCTTATTTATCATTAGATCATTGGATCATTGGTTTCAAGTTGTAGGTCAGGTCCATATTGTTCTTGGAACAACAGAAAATTTGGGTTTTATAGTTTTACTACCAATCAGAAGATACACTTGTCACCTTCAGCATAAATGTCACAGAGGTGTCATGCTGGGACAAAGCTGTCCCACTGCAGAGTTGGCATCACAGTTTGTAACAGGAACACTACTGGGTCAAAAGCAGACTGGATGGAGCAGTTGTCTATGTGTATGCGTGTGCATGTCTGAGTGGGTGTATGTGTAGCTCCAGCAGTGGAATTTACCTCTCATGTGTTTCCCATGCTGAAACACAAAGTAAAGCCACATAGTGGGACACCAGTATTGTGTTACTGCAGGATCAAAGGTAGGATGATGTTTTCTTTGGTAACCACAGTCTGGTGAGTCATGGCCTTAAAACGTCATCATTGTCACATGGAGGTGTCCTATTGTGACTAACAGCTTTTGTCCCTGTACGCTCAATGGAAAGTTAAGTTCTTGGAATACTCCTGCAGGTTTACACACAGTCATGCTGTAGTCAGGATTCAGAAGATCTTTTGTACCCACAGCCATCAGACTTTACAACTCTTCTGTGAATAGTAGATGACTTTTAGAGACATGACAAATGAGACGACAGACAATTGAATTTCCCTTTGGGGATCATTTAAGTTCTTATTCTTATTTTTATTCTTATTCTCTTGTTCTGTTCCTGTTTCGTCTGCTTTTGGGCTTTTAGAAGTGAAGGACTAGATTGGTCCTTTCTGTGCTATCAGAAAAACTTCAACTACTCCTACAGCTGACACCAACTCCTTCATCACGGCTAAAAGACAGAGAGGAACATGTGAAATTGAGTGTTAATTTAAATGCCAAGGCTAGTTATAAAAAGTCTTGTCAGTGTGTTGATTTGCTCTGTCTTTGTCATTTAGGACATAATAAATGTACTTTGGACATGAAATTTAGGACACAGCCTCTCTCTCTAAGGGTTTTTTCAGACTTGATGAAATTCCTCTGCTTAGTTTGCTTTTGATTTGTACTCCCCCCGTGTCAGAGCTGATCAAGGATGATACCCAGATTTTAGTATCTTCAGTATCTTCTTTCTCCTCTGTCAACAAGCATCCAGAAGCGTGTCACTCTGTTTCCCATTTTTGTCTTAACATTGGCATTCCCAAAACTGCTGTTCTGATAAAATCGTCTGTCTGTCTGGTTTTCAGGTTCATGTGACCTCCCCTATCACCTCAACGCCTCCACCATGTCCAGTTGCAGCACCAGCCCCTGTAGCACCGGTAGCAGCAAGCGCAGCAGTGGCAGCACCAGCAGTGGTGTTAGAGCAGCGCAGAGACACCGACAGCCCTGGAACAATCCGTCCTTTTCCATCCATCACAGAGTTCATCGATGACTCCAGTGCCAAGCTTGGGACTCCTGAGCGCATCCCAACTCCACCCAAAGCCCCCATCTCAGACCTCCTCAACCTTCAGGACATCAACATCCTCAGACCCCCTGTTTCACCACTGGAGTCAGAGACAGAGGAGGAGAGAGAGAACACCCGCCTGGTGTCTATTGAGGAGTTCCTGAGGCAGGACCAGGACCAGGACCCAGCGTATTCCGGGAGGCAACAGGTCAGTCAGTCCCAGTGTTTTTACTCTATTTTAAATTATTTTAAATCCCTCACTGCAGAAATAAATGTAGCTATTAGATGGAGCTGAGTCTCATCACTTCAAGGACTTTAAATTTTTTAGAGGTTTCAAAATGTTTGGTTGACCTCCTTGGGGGTTTGTAAGAACTAAAAGAGTGCTGGATAAAGAGCAGTTAATCTCAGACTTAATCTGCGAGATGTATCTTCTTTGATCAGCTGTTGATCTATAGGAGAGTGATAGGGCCCATCAATCTTTGAACAAGTCAGATGTCTTTAACTTCCTTTTCTGGAAGTCGTTAATGTCTAATCAAGCAAGCAGTGGACAAGACAGCAAAGTAAATATGTAATAGGCTGTTTGGACAAACTTTCAAAGTGGAAGTCCACTGTGCTGCAGGGACCTTTCTTAGTACTTTCCTTTGAGTTTCTGCCAGTGTCATCAGACCTTTAGGACACATTACAACGACATGCTTTCACTATGTGCAATCATAAAAATTCTGATTGGGTAATCCACCCGTCATTGTTCTAAACTTTATCCAAGTTCAGGTCACATTACTCATGGCATGAATGAAATCATCAGGAGTAACTGAGTCCGTGCTGATTTAAAGAACTGAAGAACTTGATGTTTATTATAATATATTCTGGCAATGTACTTGAATAGAACAATAGAGTACAATGAATAGAATACAGCATAATGTTGTAAGAAAGTAAAGCATATTACAATCTGTGGCATCTGTTAAGTTTTTTTTTAATCTCAGATTTAACTTTGTGAGCCCTGCAGACCCCCTATGTTAATTCACCGTCTGTCATGAAGAAGGGAACAGGGATGTGAACATTTAGTCCTCTAACCAGGGAACATTGACACCTTTGCTTCTCAGCTGCAAATAACTAGTTGGCTAAGTGAAATTAGCTGTAGCTCTAATTGATGGTTCCTGCTGTAATATCATCATTCTCCACTACCCAGTACAAACAAGCGCAGCTGTCTAGTAGTCAGACAAGCTTTTGCAGTCCTGTACGTAGTATGTAGACTTTGTCTATGACCCTCATAAAGCATGGACGCAGTCTCAAGTAATGTCTCTAATTGGTTTCTGAAGAGGCTGATTGAGGGGGAAGTCATGTCTGAAATGCTGACTCAATCAAACAGACAAAGAGGTGAAGCCAAGGTGCGCTCTGAGTCCATTAACAAACAGTCACACCTGCCTGTGAGTCAGCTCGGCCGTACCCCTTATTATGTAAAGCTACGCATATCCTCAAGTCGAATGAGTGATAAAAAATATGTACAGTGTGCATAAATAAAGAGATAAACTACTCAGACCTGAACTGTTCATTTTGAACCAGGCTGTAAACATGTTGCATTTTGCCATATAATCTAGTATTTAGACGGCTTTATATGTTTTTGTTGTTAATAAAACATAATAAGTGGAGGGAAACTGAAATACTAAAAAAAGAATTGTTAACCAGGATAATAAAATGGAAACAAAGCTTGATGAAAAACTAACTGAGACTTATTTTGTTTGTACAAAACTAATAAAAAAGAAATAGAAATGAGGTTCTTATTTTTCATCTTTGCTACAAACACCTTGACTGACACACTTACCACTTATTAAGTTACATTCTAATCCATGTTAGTGAAGCATGCTGCTTATCAAATTATTCTCTTCACTTTGCTGTTATGAACAGTGAAGACATAGTCATTTGTTTTCAGATACTATCATTCTATTTCTGCTTGAGAAAATCCCCTTTTTGATAATGAGGATCCGTTAGTTGCTGAGCAGAGTAACATGACGTACTTGTGATAAAATACATAAAAACAAGCGGGGGTGGGTTTTGGCTTCGAGTGTCCTAACTGGGACACTGACTGATACAAGAATGGTGTGTGGCAATATGTGAACCCACACACCAAAAAAAGTGTTTATTTTTGCATTTATGTTGCTAACAACAGTCCATATTGCCACTATAGCTTATCACAGTTAAAGATATTGGGTGGCATCTATTGGACCAAAAAGGGGGATGGGGGTAAAATACTGTTCCTCGTTTTTTTAGAAGTTTTAAAGTCATTTCAACTCAAAACCTCCTCAGGCTCTTTTGGTTCTCTTCCGGCCGGGTAACAAAGTTTACAAAAAACTCAAGCTTACCCTAAAAAACTGAAGTTTTGAAAAATAAAAAGCTACAAACCAGCACCAATAACACATTAAAGCTAAACTGAAATTGAAAACGTGAAAACAGAACCAAAATAAAAACTGATAAAAATCCTGAACTTTTATAACCTTGTTTTGCAAATTCTGTTTCAGAATTACAGCCGAGGGCTTGTGGAGCCTCCCAGTGACTACAACGCAGACAACAGCCGCTCAGACCTGTCTGACATCCTGGAGGAGGAGGAGGAGGACCTGTACTCTGACCACCTTGGAGAAGTGCAGGGCAGGGGCTACACTGTGGCAGCTCACAGGGTAAAAGAACAGACTCTGTCACGCTCACCCACATTGACACATGCTGTGAGCCGTGTTTTAAAAACTAAGTTTGTGTCTTTCAGTTTGTCTTGCACGGTTCAGATCTCACTTCTTGTTTCTTCAGTTATATTTTTCATCATGCTTCATTGAGATTTTGTTTTTCTTCCTCTTTCTTTTCTCTTTCCTCTGCATGGCCTGGTTGTCCTCTGTGTTTTCTGCACTTCCTCTATTTTCCTCAAACAATATGGTATCTTGTCCCTCCTTCACCATACCCCTTCTCGCTTGCTTCAATTTGTGGCCGTTGTAGTCAAGGAAGTTGGCGACCCCTGACAGTGATGAGGAGGTTCTTGAGAGGATCCTTAAGTTACCTCCTCAGGTTCCCCTCAACAAGCAGCTGTTCAGCATCCCTGAGGTGATAGAAGAGGAAGACAGCAGCCGTGAAGAAACTTTAACCCACCTCAGCCAGTCTCGGCCCAGACCAGGCCACCTTCACCCCAGAGACTCAGAATGCCTCCACCACAACCCCCAACATCATCCCCATCAACCAAACCCACACCCACATGCTCCCCCTCTTCATCACCACTTTAACAGGGACCCCAGATCTCTAACCAAAGAGTCAGCACTCAGGCAGGGGCCTCTGCAGGTCAAACCCAAGACACAGCACAGGGTGCACTATGCAGACACAGTCGACACCATCAGCTATCCTGGAGAGGAAGATATGAGTTCGTATGGGGGTCTGGCCAGCAGGAGGGTCCCGGCCCGTCGTCCCACCCAGCTGACCCCCACCAGCAAAGCACTGCTCAGAGGGTTAGGGGACCGCCTTAGGAGGGAGGCCATGCTCAGGAGTCAAATGGCTGTCGCTGCGGCAGCCAACCCTGACTGTGGTCCTACCCCGCCAAGACCCTACCCAATCAGCAAAACAGTTCGCACTGTGAGGTCACCTGTCAGTCATGAGACGGAGATTGATGTGGAGTACGGCACAGATGACAATGAGGAGCCATCAGAGTACCCTCCTGGGGAGGTAGTGGTAGAGCAGATGAGCTCTGAGTGGTGGATAGAGGGGGCTCACGTGGAGCACAGCAGACCCCCTCACCGCCGAGGCCTGAAAGCAGATCTGCCGGTAAACGTTTCTGCAGGCTGGTGTTTGTTCCTCAGCTCCCCCCATTCCCTGTAGTACTGTGGGTCTGAGCCTCTTAGTACCACTTAGACAAACCAGCTTTTCTATCTCGATTACTGCATCGGACAGAGGAAGGTCATGTTCCACACCTCTGCCCTGTTTTACTGGTGTGGACCGTGAATAAGATAACTGAGATGTGGTTAAGGTCTGTCATTAATCACTTATCTCTTATTTAATATGCAGGATGTCAGGATTTCTCCCTTCATAAAAACATGATCCTGCTGCGACTTCCTCAGCTTAAAATTTCAACCACCCCAGGCCCCCATCAGCACTGACAGGCTTTTTCATAAGAGGTCACTTCCTAAAAACCACACTTGGTGGATTTGTAATCTTTTACTGCAATTCCAGCACTATGCCAACGTACTAGCAGTGCTGTTTGCAGTTGCTACAGGTCCCTATACCAATAATTATGCCTGAAATTAAGATGCAATACACGTGCCTGCTCTCCTGTCCATATTCAGTTCAATTACTTTGTCCTCTTCATTCTCTGTCTCTCTTTAGCATCATCTCACTGTAATGTGGTAAATGTAGTTACTAATTCAATTAATATCATGGTTACAACATGTTACTGTGTGAAAGGCTCTGGCAGGCATAGATGACAAAATGACAAGAGGATAAAAACAAAGCAAAAGCTTAAAAATTGCTGTAAGTAGTCATGGAGGCAGAGAGAGGGAGTATGTGTGTGTTACTTAACAAACAAATGTTTCCAACTGAACAAAATAGGGAAACAAACTCCCCCATTATGTGTAAAGATTATAAATTATAATTCTGTTATCCAAGAGAGCGCAGCTTAGAAGAAGAACTCTGAGCGTCATCATACTAAGGTGGATGACGACACTTCAATACTGTTTTAAAATGCAGAATAAAGGAATCTTAAAAATGCATCTAAAAAGTGTTTCATCATAGATAACTATTGAAACCCTGTGATTGGTCAGGATTCTAAAAAGACTTATATGGCAGCTTTAGTATTTTTATGATCTAACCAGTTCTGTATTTGCTGATTTTATAAAACTTTTCATTTGGACTAAAGTGAATTTTAATTTTAACTTCCTCTGTCTGACTGCACTGATTCTTGCCACTCCCACTCAGCTTTTGGTCTGCCATGACCTACTTCACCTTTGCTAACACCACTACAAGACAAAAAAGACCAGAAAAGTGAAGGAAAACCTCTGCTCTTTTTTATTTGGATGAAATAAAAACAGGGCTTTTGTGCCGTATGATAAAGTAGGAAATTTTATTTTAGTTGTTTGCTGCAACAGCTGAGTACATATCAAACATTTGTGTTTGCTGTTAAATGAAAAGTAACAAGAAGAAACAGCTGCATTTGCTGCTCACTTTTAGGGCAGTCCCTTCCTCTTTATTGATAATAAATGTGTTGCTGTCTCAGAAGTTTTTCTCATTGCTTCTTTTCCTTTTCCAGCAGGAGCCCAGCCAAATGCCTCCAGCTGAGGCAGGTTCATCATGGGGAGTCCAGGCTGAGCTCTCGTCTAAACCGGCGTGCTCGCAGGCCAGGCAACCCAAAGGTCAGACACAGTTTCCTGTTTTATCTTCCTGTTTCCTCTCTCTTGATTTCTTTTTCTCGCTAGTCTTAAAGAAGCAGTGGCTGGATGTGTTTTCCCTCTAATACACCTCTGCTTTTGTTGGCAAGGCTTCCCCTCTTTCACATGATGGCAGTCAGATTAGCACCTTGTGTAGGAGGGGAGGGGGAGGTGCTGGAGCTGCAGTGGTGAAGTGGGAGAGAGCCCGCTAAGCTGAGAACAGGCTTAACCCAAAGTGGCTTGTCATGACAGGAGGAAGTGACAGACATTAAAATAGTAACCTCGATTAGCCAGCAAACAAGCGGCCTACAGAATAGAACTGTGAGCTTTCCCCCTCCACCACATCCTCTCCCTCTCTTTCTCTGTCTCTCTTCTTCTTCTTCTAAACAAAAGTGATTATGACACAAGCTCTATTCTTAAATCAATAAAGCTGACCCTTCTTGTTTAAGAGGGTGCACAGTTACTGAAACACATACACGCATGGGTACATGTGCAGAGAGAGGAAGGGTGCAGCAGGGAGAAGTTGAGTCCTATCAGCTAGAATATCAGTGAGGATGTGAAAGTGTGCTGCTGCCTGTGACTCTTCTTGTCACAGATGGGCTGAGTCTTCCTAATGAGATAGAGGCCACATCTCCTCTGTGCCATTTAAAGTCTCACTATAGCTCGACAAATTTCTCACTCGCTGTCAAACAATTCAAGCTTTTAGCTCCAGCAGGGTCAGGCCTTGTGACTGCAGTGCTCTAGAAAAGGCTTCAAGCTCAGTTCTATCCAAAAGGCAGCTTTGTGTGATCTGCATCTTTGCATCTATGATTATTCTAAAACTGTTTATTGTTTTTTTTACATTTACTTGTTCTGTTGGTTGTCGGTGAAAGTCCTCCGATCTATTTAAAAGGGTAACCTGAAAAGTGCTTTCGCTATTGCTCGTTGCTTTAGGTCATGAAGGAGTGCCCATTTGTCAAACAGCTCGCTAATCTTAGGATCAGTGGTTTAGCTTGATTACCTCTTTTAAGGACATGCCTGTGCTCTGCAAACGCTGTTCAGAGCAGCTCTCCAGTTTGCAGGCAGGGGGGAAGGGCGGGCTTTTTGCAAGCTCTGCATGGCCTCTGTGAGGTACAAAGCTGGGGTGAGATCCTTCACTTTGATTTGAACTTGAGGTTTGTAAAGGTTAAGAAAATAAAGAAAAAAGCAAAGAGAAAGTTCTGTAAGGATGCAAGATTCTTTTTTTAATCAAAATCTAATGTTTGCCTTTTTTCCAACATCTTGAGAACTGATGCTCACACTAAAGCTCATCCACCATCAGAATTCCCTGTGGTGGTTCTGAAATATGATCATTCCTACTTGTAAATGCTTTTCTCATTGTGCACAGTCAGTGAGTTAAAAAAAGGAAACTAACTCAGCTTTGGTTTAGTGCAGCAATACTTGGTAAATTGTGTGAATATAATCACAGAGGATGATTTTGATAATTGCAGTAAAATAAACAGAATGATGAGTCGTCTTTTTTGATTATCAGTGGACATGCAGATTTTGAAATATTTATATCTTGATTTAAAAAATTCAAAGATAAATGTATTTATTTATTTATTTTGGCTATTTGGTTGGTATCTACTTTCTCGTCATGCTCCTCCTCATCATCCTCATCCATGTTGGTCACTCTGTGCTCTGCACACTTGGTCGTCATGTGACCAAATAAACATGCTGTAAACTTCTACAGTAACAGACTCTGAACAATCTAAGAAGAGGTTATAAAGCTTAAAGACACAAATGTACATGTTTATTTAAACTGCAGCCTTTTGCATCGTATCATTTTTACATTTTCACATTGAAACTGTAATTGCAGTCCACAAAAGGTTGATAGTAAAGTTCTACTTAAGTTACATGCTTTTTAAAAAAATTCCAGCTGAATATACACTCACTGTTATTTTCTGTTATTGCTATTTTTCACAAGAACAAAAATGAATATTTATATTTTCAAAAAATAATTACAAAGGTTTTTGATTTTGGTATTTTTGTGTATCGGAGAGGCAAAACTTTACCCATGAGGACAAATCGATCAATCAGTATTCATTTTTAGTTTTTTTAGGTACAGGTCGAAACATCCTATTAGCTAAATTAGAATATAAATCAGCAAAGAACAGATATTTTTTTATTCTTTTTACCAAATGCTTCCAGGTTAAAGTGGGAGATAAAGTGTTGTTAATGTTTGTGTGTTTCCACAGGTGGTCTGGATTCAGCAAAGATAAAGGCAGACAGCGACATCCGTATCTTTGTGGCCCTCTTCCCTTATGACCCCGCCACTATGTCCCCCAATCCTGATGCTGCAGAGGAAGAGCTGCCCTTCACTGAAGGACAGATCATTAAAGTATGTCCCAGCTCAAACATGACCTCAGAAGTCTATCTATCTATCTATCTATCTACCTATCTACCTATCTATCTATCTATCTATCTTCATGTGTTTCAAACATGAATACATGTTTTACACTCCTCTCTTCAGGTGTACGGAGACAAAGACCCAGACGGGTTCTACCGAGGAGAGTCTGCAGGTCATATGGGCTTTGTGCCGTGCAACATGGTTTCTGAGATTCAGGTGGAGGATGAGGAGACGCGGCAGCAGCTGCTGCAGCAGGGCTTCTTGTCCACAGCTGCCTCTATGGAGAAAATCGGTAGGTAGTTGTGTCACTCTAGTTTGTAGCAATGACTTTTAGACAAGATAAACCTCTGTCTATTTTAATGATGTATGCTTTTAAATGTGTTCTTAGAGGAAAGAGTTCAAATGTATGTAATGAAATGTATTTGAAATTGGGGGATTGAAATGTATTTCTCCTAATATCACTTCTATCCATGTGTCATTGGTAAGTGATAATAGCAGCACAAGTGTTGCAGAATCCAGACCAAGCATGATTTTTAAGATTTTACTCTCCTCCAGTTGTTGGTGTAAACAAAAGTCCTGTACATCATTTTTTCTGCAGCTAATTGGAGAGACAGTGAGAGGATCCTGTGACCTGTTGACCTTTGAGCCAGCAGGAAGCACTTATGCATACTTGTATGGATTCTTGTTCACTGTGTGTTGCCATTCAGGGAATCCTAACCATCGACATATCCTCAGTTACTGACTGCGTTTTCATGCAGGTGTCTTAAAAAACACAAACTTAAGTCAAAGTGTTTGCCTGTGGCGGGTCTCACTTTGCTTCAGTTTCCTGCTTTACGCCCAGAGCAGAGCAGTGAATACGACGAGATGGTTTAACCTTTTCACTTCCACTTGTTCTCGCTGCTGTGTCTGCTGCTCACTGGTTGTCTTTTTTTTGAACTGCTCTACACTGGCTTCTCATTGTCTTCTTTGTCTGGTCTGCTTCTCTTAAAAATATTCCATCTCTGTGTTGTCGTTGTTTTTTTTTTCTTTTTTGTTTCATTTTCTTTTGGTTTTACCTTTCTTAAACTCCATAAAGGCACTCGCACACACGCACAGCTTCCACGTCGCCCTGTCCCACCGCCGAAACCGAGACGATCCAAGAAAGGTGTGTCTCACTGCAGATTGTGGCCTCTCACCTCTCTCCTTTATTCTCCTCTCTGGTTTGCTCGTCTTTCTTTATTAAAGCTTCTGCTCTTTCAGTTGCTGCTTCTCACTCAGTGACCAGGGGGGATATTTAGGTCAGCTGCTGTATTCATCAAACCTGACCTTTTTCAAATATGACCGTTAAATATGCCAACTTTGTGCACATTGAAGCTGTAGGATATACTTTGTATTTAAGGACTCTAAAGGCCTCTACAGCTTAAAGATTGCCTTTTTTGAGATTTAGATGTAAACACCTCTGCAGCATCTTCATAAACATTACAAAGCACATACAGAAGTAGTGAGCCAGTCCTGTCTGCTCTCATTGGATTTTTATGTAATACATTACAGACATTGCAGCAGATCTCTGCCTCATTTGACTTTTTTGTTGAAAACATGAAGTGTTTTCAGACAGAGTTCTGCTTCAGTGTCACAAATGTATTACATGATCACTCAAAGTCCACTTGTTGAAGCATCTGTCCCCTCTGATCTCCATCTTTGACTTTGTGTGTGTGTGTTAACTGAGACATACTTTATCCTCAGACTGGATTATTCTCACATGGTCAAGTTATTGTGTGTATTCTTTGTTTTCCCCCACACCACCTCTTTTCCAGTGGAGTCTGCGGCGCTGTGGGAGGAGAGTTTGGACTCCTCCAGCCAAGGTTTGTAGTTAGTGTTTGACCCTCCATTCATCCCTGCATGATTTAACAGGCTCTTCAGCGTCTGCAGGAGGACAGCATGAGCTCATTTACAAATCTTTTCATTTATTTACCATCCTGTGAACTCTGTTTTTAATCCACCGTTTTCACATGGCTGCCATTCTTCAAAGTAATCTGCTCAGGGTTGAAGCTCAAAAGCTTTTGTGATGTCTTATTTTGAGCTGTTGGGATTTGTGATGAGACACGAGATCAGACCAGTTATTCTTTCTAAATCAGGGTATTAGCTGACCAGTGATCAGTCAGGGAAAATTTGGTAACACTTTACTTGACACCTATCTCTATAACGCATTATAAATATATGTATAATGTTCATAATACACTGTACTACTGTAGTTATAAACACTCGTAAATGATCATAATGCTTTATAACAATAATCATAACACATTATAATGTGTCATAACTGTTAACAACTCACTGACAATGCCCACATAGATAATGCATTATACATATGTTTATGATGTGTTATAAAATGCTTATAAACTTGTATAACAATCATTATTAACACTTAATTATTATCATAAGGCTTTATAACAATAAGTATAAGACAGTATAATACCCGACCTTGTAAGTCATGATTAAATGCTTTATAATGGTTTTTAATGTGTTATAAACACTTATACATGATCATAATGCTTTATAGCAATAATTATAACTATAGTCATACAGTTCTATAACGTGATTATAACCCATTATACACATATTTGTAACGGGTTATAGAGATAGGAGTCAAGTCAAGTGTTACCGAAACGTTCACCCAATTTGAAAAGAAAGCAAAGACCTCATATGATTCTGTTTACCACCAGTTTTTGATCAAATCGTAATATTAGACAGAAAGTAAGCATGATTAAGAAGTAGCCTGAGAGTTATCTCATGTAATTTGTTTTAAATTACAGTCTAAGGTCCCTCTGAAGTTTACAGTTTTTCATCTTTCTGTTTCAAGAGTATCAGAAGGTGATGAATCAGTGATCTTTCAGATCTAGTCAGAGGTTTTCTGATAGAAGGTTTCAGCCTTGAGCAGGAGGAAGAAGTAGAAGATGGCAACAGTGTGACTCTGGTCTAGGATAACAACAGGGTTCACTGTCATTCATCCTAACAAGGGACTGTGAGATAATTCTGGGCAAAACTGGGGGATTTTTTTCTAAATTTGTGTATTTTTCTGAGTCGGTATAGCTCCAAGCAAAAATTCTCTTACGTTACTAAAGTCTTCATTAGTCCCCAGTTGTCCTGCAGTCCCTCCTCTTAACTCATCTCTTCATTTCACAGTTCAAGTGACATCCTTTCCCATCAAATAACCCTGGAGTCTCCTTTATTTTAACAACAGAACTACAAAGAGTTACGTACAGCCTTCATCCTTCTGCTATTGTTTGCTCTGTCTGATGTTTCAAGATAACAATCTTAACTCTGATTTCATTTTCAAGTGTTGGCATGAAGTGGTGTGACTGTACGTCAGCTGAGCATGCTGCTGAGTGAGTCGCACATGCAGACTTGAAAAGCTGCATGCAGATGAGCTGAAAGGATCTGCAGAGAGTTTTCGCTCCTTAAACTATCAGGATGTCAGGCTTGATATTCACCTCTCTCTGTTTGACTGGCAGATCCCAGCCAGACTGCTGCCCCTGCTGCATCTGTGGGAAACCCCACTCCAGGAGCTCGCAGGATGGTTGCCATCTTTGATTACGATCCACGAGAGAGCTCCCCAAACACTGACATAGAGGTCAGACAGGAAAGATGCCTTTTTATCATATACAGTGCGTCTACTTTTTGCTCATTTCTCACCTTTTATTTCATCTGACTTGTTCAGGCTGAGCTGACCTTCAGTGCAGGAGACATTATACATGTGTTTGGAGACATGGACGAAGATGGTTTCTTTTACGTAAGTATTTCAAAGCATAACTGCCATCTACACGACATAATCTAAATCAAGCTGGGATCATAAAGTCACCTGAGGGAAAATACACAATGATGATACAGCCGCACAAACAGAACCTGAAATAATAATTCAGTCCAATCTGAATTCAACATTCAAGTTTACCAAAGTGCTGCACAGCAAAATTAAAAGAACAAACACTGCAGAAAACATAAAGAGGAAATAAATTAAAGCAGGTAAAAAACATTTAAAATGAAATAAGAAAAATGAAATAAAAACACAAAAGCATAAAAGAAATAAAAGTGATAAAAGGACCATAAAAGACATAAAGGACAGAGATCACACAACTCTCATGCTGAACTAAAAGCCAAGGATTAAAAATGAGTTTTAAGACGTGATTTAAAGGTAGAAAGAGTGGGGAATGTTTTAATCTCGAGTGGTAATTTGTTCCACAATTTGGCAGCCACAGCCGAGAAAGCTTGGCCACCACGGGTTTTTAAAAGAGTTTTAGGGACAACGAGTTGGAGCTGATCAGCAGACCTCAAGAAATGTGGGGGGATGTAAACATTAAAGAGGTCAGAGATGTACTGTGGTGCTGATCCGTGTAAAGATTTAAAAACAAACAATACAATTTTAAAATGACTTCTAAAATGAACGGGAAGCCAATGGAGAGACGCCAGAATTTGAGTGATGTGATCCTGTTTTCGTGTACCTGTTAAAAGACGAGAAGCAGCATTTTGGACTAACTGCAAGCATATGAGGGAAGCCTAATTAACATCAACATAAAGATATGATAAATAAATACAGATAAAACAAGAGGAAATCATCTGGGCTAATGGAATAATGAGTGAAAGAAACAAAAGCAGCTGTCATAGGAGTCAGGACTTGAATTATTGTTGCATTTAGAGGATTAAGAGTGCCTCCATGTCCTCTTTTCTCCTTCTTGCTCTTCCAGGGAGATTTGAACGGACAGAGAGGTTTAGTGCCCTCCAACTTCCTGCAGGCCCTACCAGAGGACGCTCCCACAGAACCTCCGCCTGCCCAGCCCGCACCAGAACCTAAGAAAGAACCACAGGTAGCTCAGGGTTTCTGTAAATCCAGCATGTACATGAAAGTGTGAGCCGCTCGCTTCTTTCACTTTCTGTCAGTTTGAAGTGAACATTGTTGTCAGAAGTCGTTTTTCTGTTGCTTTAATTCTGTCTTGTCACGTTTCTTTTGCCCCACTGTTTCCTGCATGGTCTTTGCAGAAACAAAAACGAACTGTGCACTTTGAGAATTGATTGTAAGTGTTTGGTTTTTTTTCACTGAGAAACTAGAATCCCCTTTTCAGTCGACACATTGCCCTCCTTCCTCAACCATCTACCTTCCTATAGTTCAGCACTCCTTCCCTGTGTTGGACCCAGCACTTACCCTCAGTATGGTTTTAGTTGATTGAAAAGAAAGCTGAGATCCCACATATACTGACTCCTTTCTTTTGTATGTGTTTGTGTTTGACCCCAAAGTTTTCATCAATTTTACTTCAGTCGTATATTGAACAGTATATTTATTGTCCCTGTTTTAAAGTGACTTTTTTCTTAAAAGGGGACCTGCAAGACGTCATCACCAGAACCAAAAGATCCAGGATCCCCAATACCAGGAGCTCTGCCTCCAGAAACCGATCCTCCCTCTCCTGACTCTACTGAAAGCACAAACCCACCACCCAAACCGGCAAACCCCTCTGCAAGTCCCACGTCAGACCGTGATCCAGCCCCAGGTCCAGCTTCTCCACGTCCCGCTGCAGCTGAGGCCTGCTGCCCTCCATCAGCCCCCCTCCAAGCAGACACCCTGACACAGACTGACAGCTCTGCTCAGGCCAAGAAGAAGAAAGGCTTTTTCTCTAAAGGCAAGAAGCTGTTCAGAAAGCTGGGATCCAGCAAGAAGGATTGAGAGTCAGGACGTCTGGCTCAGAACACTCACATCACATTGAAAGCACTTTCTATCTTTACTGTTACTCTCAGATGGTAGTCAGAGCAGTAAGCGACTGTCAGATCTAATAACTGATGCTTTAGATTTCAAACATTTGCCTTAGAGCACCCGCTAGATCAGCAGTTAATTTTAGAGTACATAAAAACATATAGATGCAGCTTACTACGACGCAAGAGCATGCAGTAAAGCATGTTTAAGATTCACAAATATATAACCTGAATACTTCCTAATTATTGAAGCATTTGCAGTGTCTCAGCTCAGTTAGGCTTTATTGCTCAATATGAAACACTAAACTCCAGTGGATCAGGTTAATGTAGAGCAGTCTGAAACAGCAGACACGGCTAATGAAGATTAGCTTTAATGTTCATGTACTGGTGCCACTTTATCTCTCCAAGCATCTCTTCCTCTGGACTTAAACAAATGCACTAAACCATCCTGAATGGATGTTTTTTAAATCTCTGTCTGCCCGTCCCTCATGTGTTTCTCATCTTTGACAGTATTTATATCCACTACTTTGTACAGTTATTTATTTGTATCAGACTCCTGCCCTAATGAAGGCCACGCTGCATGAGGTGACGTCAGGGCAGGAGGTTAGTCGTGTAGAGCTGTCAGAGACAGTCGTCATTCACTTTGATGTGTGGAGTTAGATCTGATCTAAGTGTGGGGTCGAGACTGTTGAACGTACAGTTTAATGTAAAGAGTGTGAGGGTGTGTCCGTCTGTGTGTGTGTGTATGCGTCTGTGTGTGTGTGTGTAGATGAAGCTGTCCAGTCCACTGGTTAGACTGAAGCAGAGGCCTTTTCAGACGTAAATGAGAACTCGTGATGTTTGTAGGAACAGTCACTTTCAGACTGATGATTGACGTTTTTTCTCTCTTTGTGGGAATCAGATAGTGACCTGCAGTGTAAGTGAAGTCTGTGCTAAGCTGACGTAGCATCTAAAACTTTGTGGGCTTTGTTTGTCTGCAAAATGGACTTAAGACTAAAACAATTTATAAAATTAAATTATTTTACATTCAGCTTTTATTATTCTTTTAATTGCTCACTACATAAAACTGTGAATCATGTTCATAAGGTGTCTCACAGCCTAAAACAGTCCCATCTGATGTCTCTAAGAGCATTCAACACACATAGTTTATCAGTTTAGTTGTAACAGGAAAAAACTTATAAGCACGAAAGCTGACATTTGATTAATGCTGTCGCTTCTGTTAATGATCATTAATTTTGGCTTAAAAGATACCAAGAGAGTTCCTGTGTTTGCAGCATGTAGGAGGGAGTTTGTTTATAGGAGTTCACACTCTGCTCGCAAACTGGCGCCCTTAAAAATACGCTAAATCAGCTGAAAGCAGCTCCTGTGTGTGTGTGTGTGTGCAGTTTACTGATGAGAGAAAAGACAAGAATCACTCTTTTGCTTTCATGCTGAAAAGTAAAGCTGAGTTGATAATTAGGCAGGTTCTTTGGTTCTATTAGTGACAGAAATCAAAGACAATGATGAGCTCTAAACTTTTTAAATAGCTGCAGCTTTTGCTTATTTAGCTTATTTATGTACACTCCAAAATTCCCTGACTGTGAATTAATGCAGTTCAAAGCTCCTGTGAGGGGTTGTTAGTTTGTTATAAAACAGACTGAAATTATTCTTGAAGGCTGTTTTTGACCTAAAATAGTAAGTAGGACCATCAGGAAATTTCATGGTCAAGGAAACGTCTGTTTTGATGCAGCAACAATTCTTGGTTAGTGACACATTTAAGTATTACATGAAAGCAGGATGAGATTATTTTGACAAAAACACAACGTTTTAACCCCTGTTAAATCAACTCAATACAATAGCTTATTCACAACATCCACTCTCACTTGTAGGAACCATCTATGGCACTAGTTCTCGTCAACATGGTCAAACAGGTGATTGTTGTGTTTTGAATTAGTTATTGAAGTTTTGCACGTGGGGTAGAGTTCATTATATTTAAAAGTGTTCCTAAAATTTTGTCCTCATATTTTCTAATGAAGTGGACGGAATAAGGAACATACTTCAATACAGAACACTCCAGTACACCACCAAGCACTGTATCTTTAATGAAGGTGTTACAGCTGCTCAGTGTACATCCACAGTCTAAATCCGGCAAAAGACAAGCAGTATCAAGTTGTCCACAGGGGGCGCCAAAACCAATTCAAACAAAGTTCCTCACAGGAGCTTTAACATTACACTGCGACGAGAGTGAAGCATTGTGGTCAAGGTAGTTAAATTGATAACCACAGTTATCATGCTGTGTGAAAGCCTTTGGGATTAGGTTTGGTGTGTGTTTATTACTGGGGTTGGTTTTGTTTGAATGTATTATGATGGAGATTTTTACCCATAATTCCACAGCTAAGAGGGGCAACACTCAGTAGAATAATATTTAATCTAGTCTGTTTTTTTGTCATGGCAGTGTTTGACTCTGCAATAACTCTGTCATGTATTTTTTTCTGTTTGTCTCTGTTGGAAATATTCGACTAGCGGGGTATGAAACTTGTGGCTGAACAGTGTAAGAGCATTTATATCAGCTGATGCAGTGAAGTTTTATCCATGTTTTTGTGTGTTCACACGTTTACATCAACAAACTGTCGGCTGTTTAAAAACTAGATTAGACAGCCTTAGCAGTGTAGTGCAGTTTTAAAAAAAGGACCCATCTCTCTCATGTGGACCAGACGTTAGCGCTCAGTTCCAACATGCCGTGATTTCTCACTCCACCAGTGTGATACTGGGCTGTTTAGGTCACTTCTCAGGTGTTTTACTTGTGGTTTTCCTATGAATGCTGAGCCACCTGTTGACTCTGTCTGTTAAATAAAAACTGCAGAATATGCCAAAATCTTAGGTGCTTCACCTGTTACCATAGTAACCAAGGTCCAGCAGCATGGGGTTCGAGAGTGTTTTTCAAAATCAGACCTGATTTCACTCACTTTGTATGACACTTTTTGAAGGAGTCACACCTGCTGAGACGAGTTAGTGTTTGTTTTCGTCACTGTCATGATTGTTTAGTTTGTCGGTGTTATTAGAAGGAGCACGATAATGCCAAGGAGTAAAGATAGGAGGACAGGCGGGTGGACAAAGACACTTTAGATGTGAACTAGCCGGGACAGAGCAAGACTGAGGCTGTACTGTATATCTAATTTATTTCATTTCTTTGTTTGTAAAGGGGAGTGAATGCTCATAAGTTGCCGAAATGTATTTGTACTCATATTGTATTTGACGGCCTTTAATGCACAAGTATTCCTCGACCTGCTGTGTAGTGAGTAGGCGGCTCCGCTGTGGACTGATAGATCCATGTAGGTAGTGTTTTTAGCTCAGCTCTTCATATTTAGCCTTACAAGAAGAAGAAGACAAACTTGTTTAGTCTTAATATGTTGTTTACAGGATGTTTATTGACTGCATGCGTACCAATGTTATACCCATGTTCTGCCTTATTTATGTTTCTGTCATATTTATGTGGACCCAGGCTGATTGGTCTGCAGTGTGTGAACTGTGGGCCAATCAGCAGAGTGGAGAGGAGCGAGTAGGAGGTGATGTGTGTGTGTACATACTGAACAGTGTTGTGTTATATTTTCATACAGCGCAGGAAACTTCTTATTTGTTTGGTTTCTGTTGTTCCTGCACTCATTGTAAGATTTCCCTTTTTATAAATTCATGTTTTTATTACCCTTTTGGAATCTCATCTGTAAATATTTTGTTAATATTGTTTTTCAGATTTTCTTTTTGCATGTGCAGACTTTGATGGTGGAGGAACAGTGAGTAAAGATGTAGAACACGAAGGACACGCTGACTTGAAATGTGATGGTTTCTTTCAATATGGATCTTTTTACAGGAATAAAGTATGTTTATTTTCACAGAAAACGAGGCGTGTGCGATGTTTGTCATGTTCAACAAAAACAGAAGATGATTTTTCAGTTAAATCTTTATTGAAAACCACAGACAAAAGATCATACATGAGAGATTCTCTCTTCTTTTTCAGCAGTAAAAGGTTTCAAAATGGAGGAAGAAGCTGTGATCTTTGTTCCCCGCCGCACACCACCCATGTGAGCAGACTGGGGCGACACTGTGGGTGATGTGTGGCCTTGTGAGACAAAGCAGCTTCCTCCTTTTTCTGACTCTGTGTGCGCCACCACCTCCTCCTCGATGGGTGTCCCTGGTCTCCCTGAAGAAAACAGTACACTCATCCATAAAGTAGGAAACACTACACTGTGGCGAGGAGTTTAGTAGTGCTTTCTACTTTATGGATGACTGCACTGTACATCCACCGCTCCTCTTCTCTTCCGTCTTGTGTCCTCGCCCACTTCTCTCTTCTTCTGCACCTGCACACACACACATGCCAACCCCCACCCAGACACACACTAAACTGAAACCTCCCAGCGCTAGACGCAACGCTCTAACAACCCAGAAAACACACACTTCCTGATTTGTCATAAAACATTTGCATTCACAGTTTTACATACAGTTTGTTCAAATCAACATTTAAAAGTGTAGTTCATGAAAATCCTCACAAAGGCCCCACTAGTGGGCGTCAAATTGAACTCTTGTTGCAGTTTTTGAGGCAAAAGTCAGAGACAGACTGTGCTAGAGGAAGCGCTATCTTGAGGAAGCCATCTTGGCAGCCATGAGTAAGCTTTTCTGCTTGAGGAAAAGGTCATTTTGTACTTAAAAAGAAATGTAACATAAGTTCTATTAATAAAGACATGTCAGATTTTACACTAAAGACAAACTGGACACAAAAATCCAGTTGATACGTTGAAGAAGAAACCAAACCGATGAGGTCTAGAGAGCCGTCTCAAAAGACAGATCGGCTTTACTTACAAAGTTTTATATACAAATTCAAAACTGACGTTTGACATAAGAGTTAAAGTTAAGACATGAAGTAAAAAAGCAACTTTCTTCTAAACAGTAATTGACAAATTTAAAAAAAAAAAAAAGTAAAAAAGAAAGAACATTTGTGCTGAGTCTTAAAAGAATAATTTCAGTATAAAATACAGCCTGTGGTCCATCATACTTCACCCAGTCCTTGGTTGTTTCTGTCTGTCTTTGTGAGGGACGAAGGTCCAGCAGTCTGGCAGGTGTCTCCTGTCGGTCTTCAGAGTGGATGAAGAATGAAGAAGAAGAAGCAGTCGTCTCCTTTTGAACCCTCTACAGCCACGTGATGTAACCACAGGAAGAGGTCTAACAGTCACAGCCGCTCTCTTTTCTCTCCTTCCGTCTTCGCTCTGGGCCTTCTGCAGACGCTTGTACAAAACGCTGACAGACAGAAGAGACAGTTTTTACACTCCGTACAGATCCATTATCAAAGGGAACTAAAACGATCAATAACTAGGTTTTAATGCTACACATCAATAATATTTATTGTGATTAATACTTTTTTGTACTAACCTTGAATCTAGCTTGTGTGCTGTCTTTCTTTGTCTGCCTGACTTTGTTCTTTAGATTCTTCAAATGGTGCCATTTTCATCAGGTCGACTCCAACTGTGCACTGTTTATATATATTTAGATTTTAAGTTGTTTTCATCTTGGTCTTTAATGTTCAAATTCACTGATAGCTAGAATATAATTTCAATTACATAGAGCAGGAAGGACACACTCTCTTCCACAGGTGCCCCATAGCAACACAAATAAAACAACCAAAACACAGTAAAAAATAGTCACAAACTCAGACGCATCGTCTTCAATTTTTTAAACAGCTCTAACCATCTTCCTTTAGTAGTTCAGAGACTAACTCTTAAAAACACAATATGATACCAGAAATGGTGGCTCAGCTGTCATTTGAATTTACACATCATTAAAGATGCAGCAAGACCTAAGACAGTCTAACCCCGCTTAGTCATAAATCTTGATCATTTTGAAGTGACACAGTTTTTAGATCAGATTTTTATTGGGCCTGACAAGACAGTAACCAAGTTAGGAGATTGTTCACTGATAAGTGAACACAGAGTTTATCTCAACAGCTACCCAGTGAGGACTAGCCTTCAGAGGGACAAAGGTCACAGTGATGGATTTAGTATGTAAGACCTGTGATAAAGCAAAGAGCACTTTCATGTATGGCATCTATTGACTAGACTAAGAACCAGTCGCATGTGTATAAAGTGTGCGACCACAGACCAAAGTTGGCAGTCCTGTAGTCAGCGCTTTTTTCCATTTTTTGTAGATCAGGACTTGAAGAAGTCTAAGTTAGGTCTTAGCTTTTAAGCTTTTTAGCTCATTTAAATTTGGGTAACTATTTAACAGATCAACTCTGGGCCTGACAGATACTCAACTATTTCAGCTGTTGGAAATGTTTTAATGTTCATTTTAATTCAGCATCCTCAGATCATCTTCGAGCATTTCGAGCCTACCCGTCCTTATTTGAGCATGAAGTGGCCTCCAGCTCAGACCACATATAGATACAGGAAGGTGTGGTTATGAACGAGTACCTGATGAGTAAAACAGTTCCTGTGAGACGGTAGTTTTACTCATAATCTGATTCTCTTTATCTGGAAATAAGAAGTCTTCAGGGTCTTTTTTCAGTCACTAATGTTGTTTTTTTTTTACTGCAGCAGCAGATTAGACAGATACTTTAGGAAGGGTTATGTGTGTGGAAAAAGTGAAAAGGCTTTTTTTTATATTTTCGTTTCTTCAAAATGAACCAATTCAAGCTGATATTAGTCATTTAAAAGTACATCAGCAGGTGGTGCTTTCTGGATTTGACGACCATGACCGTATCTTTCTTATCACAGGTCCTTTTCTGTTCTTGAATATTTACGTCCTCAAAGGGATATGTTTGCAGGTGTAGTCTCCATGATTATTGTTTTATCTCTATCCTTTTAAAAAGTGAAAGGCTGCAGGTTTCGGTTCCTTCGAACTGTGAATGTTCAGCTGGAACCACGTTGTTTCTCATAATAAAGTCTGCAGGTTAGTACAATGTACAGATGATGGTTTAAGTCCCACTGATGACATTGAGTGATGGGAATGTGTCACCACAAACCATTAGATATGTACAGCACAATGTCAAAGCCGTCTTTTGCAGTTATGAAAACAGACCATTTCAAAAGAAAAGAGCCTCTCTCTCTGTCTCTCTTGTTTCCAGCCTCCTCTGCACTCTGGTCTTTGTTGTCTCTGTAGTTCAAAGTCTGATTTAGGTCACTGAGGAAATGCTGGTGAAGAAATGAACCGACCTGCCTGTGTACAGACAGACACAGACAGACAGACAGGCAGAGTAAAACTACAATAGCAGTTTCAAAAACTCAGTTTGACTTCTTCCACAGATTGCTCATGTGTCTAATATTTCAAAACAGATGCTGAAATATTCAAAAGCATCATCTGTTTTTGCAATGATGTCTAATGGAATAATGAAAAAATAAGAGTGCGTATTTGCTTCAGTTGATTGTTTTTGTCACGTTTACACCACAACTGCGTCTGCAAGTTTCTCCTAAATCTGAATAAAATGTCAAAGCAGATTTTTCCACCACAACATTTCACCTGAAGGAAGCAGACAGCTATCTTGAGCTCCATCTGTCAACAGCACAATAAGCCATAAAACCAAGGTTTCAGTTCAGAAGGTTAAATGTAAGTGGGAAAGAACAGCTTGTTGACATAAAATGTTTGTTGTTGCAAAACATTAAGACTTATATGAGAATGCTTCATCTAATGATGAAGTCAGTTTTACTAGCGCTGTCCTTGTCATAATTTATGCGTTTAATGCTCCAAACCTTACTTTCTCACTTCCTTTTTGTGTTATTTTTAGTTCTTACACTCGACCACGCTTAGCTGATCTTGTGCAGTTTGGTTTAATCTACTCTATCTAAACAATACTCTATCCTAAAGACATATCGGTCTGCATGAATACCTGTAGAATAAATACTGGCGTCTCTTTATTTTTAAGTGTATTTTGCCCCCTTTTATTGAAGCCAAAGTTATACTTTTGCTCTCTGTTCTTGAAATAGTCAAAAAAAGTTGAAGGTAGAGCTGGATTCTGCTGCAGGACTACTTGTGTCTGAAAGGGCTGGTCTCTATCAGGTTTTTAAAAGTAGATTCTAGGTGTCAAAGATTCTAGGTCTTTGATTTCCAGTTATATGAACTAACATGTTGTTGGCATCTGTAATTGTTTTGTGTTTTGTGTTTGAATGAGCTGCCGTCACTCGTAGACAGGAAAACCTTTCTTAAGAAGACTTTTATTATCTCATTGAGACTTTTGTGAATAAATTTCTACATGAATCTTAAATAAACCTCTAAAAAAAACTGTTCATGACAAAGTTGAAACATTAGATTGAGCTACTATGGAAGAGAGAAAAGCCCTGCTTTTACTTGAGTGAAAAGTACCAGTGAATAAGCAGTTACTGTCAAAAGTAAAATCCTAGAGTTATATTGACAGCAGAGTTGATAAAAAAAAACCTTTTAGATAAAAGTTTTTGTTTTATGCCTATTACTGATTTAGGGCCTGTGTCCACCAGCAGCATTTTATCTTCAGGCTGCTCTTACTGCAGGTTAGTGTTTTCAACAGCCAGTAACTTAAGCACACAACACCTTCATCATTGCCCTCCAGATAAAAAAGGTTCAACTTTTGGAGCATTGTCACCTTCATCAGTGTCATTTCTCCACCTCTGACCAATCAAAATACAGAAAGGACGGTTCCTGATATCAGTATAGTCAACAATGGTGCAGGTCTATAAAAGAGGGAGAAGAATATTACGTATGTAAGTGAAAATTTGAGTGTAAGTTTTGGATTTGTTTCCAGGGTGGATTTCAAAGGGAGACAGTAGAAGACATGGACATGTCCTGGTGATTTGTTGGTTTCTGGGGTTTTGGTGGAAATGTTCAGTTCTCTTAAGTCTGGATCAGCTTAGAAACAGACAAAGTTGTGAAGCTGAGGAGAGCTGTAAGCCTCCTGGGGAGTATCCTCATCACTTTCACCTTTCAATCATTTTCAGCTGCAACTGCATTTTTACTATCTCTGGTATTGGCTCCACTGTTGAACACTGGAGGTTTCCTCTCGGTTTGAAACAGCACAGGTGTACAGAGAAAACAGTGACATGGTTTGGTCTTCTAGCTAAGTCCTGATGACTCCTGTGGAAAGTTTCTGTGGGTTAATGACCACCTGTGAACACAACGATAACACACTTACTAATCAAAACTCATGAAAGAGTGAAGGTGACATCAGCTGATGCCTGATTCTTTGACACACATTTCGCAAACTGAGGATTCTGGGTAATAATCTGTTCACTAATGCTCCAGGCAAAGGTCACTGATGTTTCTCTGCTTATAAATCGAACGGTCACAATAAAGTGTTGTGAAGTATATTCAGCATATGGTGTCTAAAAGCCACTCATATTTTAACCTCTGACCGTTCAATCTCATGACCCCTGCTCTGTATTTCTCTAATCCGTGTGTGTGTGTGTGTGTGTGTGTGTGTGTGTGTGTGTGTGTGTGTGTGTGTGTGTGTGTGTGTGTGTGTGTGTGTGTGTGTGTGTGTGTGTGTGTGTGTGTGTCTGTGTGTGTGTGTGTGTGTGAACTGAAGCTGTGGGCTTCGAGTCCCTGCGCTGCCTCCTGTGATAGACCTTATCTGAGCCGGCAGCCTCTTCCCCTCCCTCCCTGCTTCATGAGTTCCTCCTGGGCAACAGCCAGGTGTCGACACTGCCATGACACCCACAGGTTTTGACCCCCTTCTTACGTCTGCCGTATCCACATAGACCTTTAACTGCTGTAAACCACGGACGCACAGTTACTCAGGAATGGTGGGTTTTATTTTGAGATTCCCGTTCTTAACAGATACTCACTGTGCCCTTTAAAGTAGAGTGAAATGTTGCTTTTTTAAACTATATTAAATTTTTTAGGCAGTTGTGGTTGGTTTTTAGACAATATCCTTACATGAAAAAGATAAGCTTGTATAAAACCTAAAATATTGCTGAAAATCAAACAAGTGGTTCTTCACATTTCTGGCTGGTTTTCATCACAAAGTCAATTCAGGTCTACTTACTTGGCACCTTTTAAACCGTGCATTATGTACTTCTTTTAAGAGAAGATTCACTTTAAAGTCGGATGTATCATTTTATAGATTTAACAAAATACAGAAAAGACAAAAACTCAGACCGCATAAAAAAGACAGATGCCCAAAGAAAGTATTTGAAACAA